AAAAGGTATAACACCTGCAAAATCCAGAAGATTTTTTAAGTTTACCAGTTAATAACATTTTTTAATAAGTATTTATATAAGCAAATTTGTAAACCAGTGACGCATGCGCGAGTTCATAGGTTCACGCAGACACGTATATGCAACGATCGTCCGCGAAGAGTTAATAACACGGTAACATCTAACGATGACCGAATGAGAAACAGATCGTCATTGGAAACGTATACCAGTCGCGATCGGTACCACGCCACATGTATCTCGGAATTAATGTGACTTTCTCGAAAATCCAACGCCGACATGCCGCGATGGCTCGCGCTGAAAATCGTCCATCACTCTCGCTCGCGCATCAGTCTCCGAGAAATACACTGTTCAAAGAAATGAATCACGTTTGTTAGCAATGTAGATTCTATCTGTATCATCGCGGCTACACGATATAACGGAAAATACACAAGTTGTACAAAACGAACGATTACATAAAAAAAACCGTATACCGAACATCGTTCGTCAGCGTCGTTTCAGAAATTTAAACTTCAGTTGCATGAAAACATATGCTTAACATTTTATAAAATTAAAGGGAATGACGAAGCAAAAAATTTCTTAAAACAGATACACAGCTGGCCGAGACCGGTAAAAAAGTAATCCCTTTCCTACTTCCGATCGTGGAAATCATTTTTTGTAAAATCAATACGGTCGAATTTATTTAAAATAAAAAACGCGGGAAAACTTTCAACTTCGACCCAATATTTAAATTTAGAGCTTCGAGAGTGTTTCGAGAAATTAAAAATTAGGTCTCGACCCACCTCTGTTTCAAATTTAGCGTTTATCTTGGGTGGAGAAATTTGTTTATTTAGGCGAATGGCTCCCCCAACAAAATTTGGAAATTGCTGTGTTAAAGTTTACGACACCTGTTATATTTAAATTTAGAGCTTCGAGAGTGTTTCGAGAAATTAAAAATTAGGTCTCGACCCGCCTCTGTTTCAAATCTATCCCTTATCTTGGATGGAGAAATTTTGTTATTTAGGCGAATGGCTCCCCCAACAAAATTTGGAAATTGCTGTGTTAAAGTTTACGACACCTGTTACCGAATGTGAACACTATAGTAATCGATAAATGGATAGAAGGGACGTTTAGTGTCCGGGCTCTGATTAGAGAACACGAAGAGTCTCGCCAGGTATCGTTATCGAGCAAAAGGTAATACACATTGTAAACAATCGTAAACTCGGCCATCCGAGAGCCGCCAGTGTCTTCCTGCGGACGTAAATAGCGTGCATAAATTGAATTGCGCTCGCGTTATCGCGTCGTTAACTCGAGAGCTGTGAGGCGGTAAAGACAGATAAGGACGCATTGCGCTTCATGCTCACGATTATTACTAATCGTAAGCGTTCGCGCGAACGACGGTCACTGGACTCTTCGTCTGGTCCCTTTACGCGACTTTGATCCGCACTTTCGATACATTTAACACTCGAGCAACTCGAGAGAACCGTCCTATAAACCGCAGCGACACCGATGGCGATCGTTATGAATATTAATCGGACCACATTGATCAACAGCACGAAACGACAGAAATCTTATCACATTCTTATTATTTGTTTCGCCTTATTCCGATCGACCAAACATTTTAAGCATTCCAACGAGACATTCATAGAATTTTTTTACAAGCAAACGCATAATATCCGGTATACAACGCAGTGACAGTATTAAAATTAAAAATCTATATTTGAGATTTACCTATACTCCTACTATTTTTGTTCGATACAGATTTAGTTCCTTGTTGTGTTTTAATAGAAAGCATAGACTACTTAGTTTATAGTAATATTACATAATATAAAATCTACGGTCTTGAGTCCTAACTATAGTAACTGTTCAAGAATCATAACCATCACAATTGTGCTCGTTCGAAGGAAGCGAACAAATTAGTACGCTAAAGCCTCGATTTATCGGTTTAATCGGAGGAAAGGAGAATGATCCGTTAAATTCAAATGTTCCTAAAATGGTGTCAACACAGAACCGAAAATCCGTTAACACGATGTCTACTGACTCACATGTGGGTCACGATAATTTTCATTTAGGTGTCGGTTGAATACAAAACAAATTTCGCTTATACGGCTAAACCAAAATTTTTTTTTATATAAATAACGTAACTAATTAGTAATTTTTCACAATTATCACAGCCGCCATATTTGTTATTCGCTTTTATACTCTTTTTGGAAAATCTTTTTAAGTAATTAACATTTTGTATTCATGGCTCAACTTTTGGGAATGTTTTCAATGTTCTTCTAGCGTTTCTAATTTTGACCAGCTTTCCGATGTTTTAGAATACTGCGCGAATATTCGATCGGTCAGGTAATCATCAGGAAAAGCGGCTCTGTCTACGACACGATTCGCAGTTGCGTAATTTCAAAAAATTAAGAGGCAATTTTCTTCCATATTTTCACGAAGAAGACGACTGTCGTTTACAGATTCGACTGTCGCGGGCAGACTTCAACCCCCACGTGCACGATGAACAGGTATAAAAGTATCAGCTACTGGCGACTCTCAGAGCACATCGAGCTTACATCTCGAACAGAAACGTTGCATTTGCAATACCCGTTTCGCTAATATCAACAGGCAGTTGAACATAAACAGGTAATCCAACTTACCAATAGTTTTCGCGAACAATTGGCAAAATATTAAGTTTCGGTCCTTTTTTTTGAGGGGTGTTTCCTATTTGAAATAAAATAAAATAGAATTAGAGAATATATTAATAAACAGAATATAAATAGAACATATAAATATAGAAGATACAGGTTTGGTTCATCTTCGTCTGCAGGACCGTTCCTGGCGGGGGTGCAAATGATACCTACGCACCTAAGCGGTCGTAGACTGTTTATTACAACGATTCGTCTAATATACCTGCATGTCGTTTTCAGAAACAAAGATGTCTCTAACCAAACGCATGATCATCCTGATTGTGATATTGGGAATCGCATGTGAGGCGTTTGCGTCGATCGAGGACTCCGACAGAAATCTCTTGAGCCTAATCTATCCGTACGGCAGAGGACTGGTAAAATCATACACATAAATTCATCAATCAAAAGCGTGGTCAGGATTTTGTCTAGGAAGGAACAAAAGTGTTAAACTAAAACTTAATTCTCGGCTTTAATTTCCGAGATATTTTAAAAATTCTGTCGATATAGTAGTATTGAATTATGACTATACATGCACGCAGCGTCAGCATCAGTGGCAGTGCATGCGTGAACTTTGCAACCAGTCACTTCTCTTTTGTTTTAGAAACACATCAGTGGTTAGTAGTAATTTAGTTTAGGTTGGATATTTGATTGTCGAAGTACTATCAAAACAGTATTAGTTTTTACGAATTGGATTAGGTTTTAGAACCTAACCTAATAAATATTTCCCCGTTTGATTGTCTAAGTTTTAACATCTCGTTTCAAACATTCTTTACATACACAGAACAAAATTTCACGAAGTTATGTGTAACCATTCTGCTTTCAGGATAGCGATTTACAGCTTGCAAGACTATTGCTGCTACCACCGCGCCTCTATCATCCTAAACGCAACTCCGAGCTGATAAACTCGCTGCTGGGTCTACCAAAAAATATGAATAACGCTGGAAAATGAGAATTATCCTGAATAAGCTCCGTTGGAAACAATATTATACAATGTTATATATAGCTCATGTAAAAAATATTAAATATTGTGTGTAATTCCTGAAATTCAATGTCAACGAAGCTACACTTTATATTTATCGTGTACGCTTTAACAAATCTTTCGAGCTTGTAACGTGTCAAATAGAATAAATGTGGAAGAGTACATCGTTGATCATATTTTTTTAACCGTCCATCCATTTATACCTGCAAATTTTTGATACTGTACGAATAACTCAAACAAAATGAAGTCTAATATACTTCCGTTCTTCGACGAGACAATGTCTGAAAAGACAAGATTTAATTATAGATCGATGATCTGAAATTAGCTAAACGATTGTACAATCGTTTCTAACGATGAGACTAATTCCGTATCGATACTCGTATATACTGGGACATTGTTTAACGTCAAACCATTTTGTTACTTACACAAAAGTATCATTATGTATCAATTATATACATCATTTTTATGGTATTAATTTTCGACATCAATACTTTTGAAATGAATACTTGATTGGTGCCCATAACCTTTACTACGAACCATGCTGAACAAAAGGCAATAAAACTGTGAGAGTTCGATTTTACTGTTTCTCGTTCGGCGCGGCTAGTACTGGAATCGTCTGTGCTATAACGTATAATACTGAGAAAACGTGAACGCGCCCGAATCTGCCTTCTGTATTGTTCCGAATACGTTGATAAAGGTTTGGAAGATTTCATAAGCGGTGGAAAATTTCGTTTATACAGATTTTCTGTTGCCCGCTTCGTATTTCCTGCCCAGATCTACATACGTGTTTTTTCACAGCACCCCATAAAAAGAATCCAACGGATTTAAGCTAAGTGATCACGAAGAACATAAATATAATACAGATGTCCAATTTGTTCATAACCGAACATATAATAATATTTAAGAGTTGTGGAATCGATCTACCTAAATGTGATACTGTACCATCGTGCATAAAATAAATATGTCATTCCTCACGTGGTATAATATACATCGCAATTCGTTGTAATAAGTGTGAATGCAAACACCTAAGATAGTGAGAACTGATTAGACGATTTGGTAGATAAAAAGATCCAATTATAGTTTCTCACAAAGCTTCCTCGCTTGACTATCAAGATCATGGCCAATTTTCCTGCAACTTTTCTTGACAGGTCTCCATCGATCCCAGGGTGTATAATTCACCAATGCTAGCCACGACCAAACATTTAACAACCTGTATATAGTATGTAAAGTATAAGTAGTGTATAGAATTAAATATTATCGAGCAAAGGGTTAATCGATATATCGTACATCGATATATATCGTACCTGCCCGTCATTAATCGTTTCAAATTAAAATTTACGTCTTTTGATTTCGTGTTTCATATTAGTTTAATATTACAATCGAAATGTGAAACATAAAATATTTCGAAATATATGTACAAAGTTTATTTCTCGTAGAAAAGCGCAGTCACTCGTGGATTCGATTCACTCGCAAAATGTGTTGTAACCATTTAAAACTTTAAGTGAAAACCGCCGCCGACAGGCGGCTGCCTTCCACCTTCTGTGAGGCCCATGTGAAAGCCAGAATTACTTAAATCAGCATCATCGCCATCTCCCAATTGTTTGTACTCTTTACCACCGCTTGGTGGTTTAGGAGAAGCGTTTGCTGTCCTAACACCGAGCTCAGATTTGGCTGGCCACGTGGGAAACATCTGAGGATCGATTGGCAAGGGTGCTTCCGTGAAATAGCCATGTTTCAAGGCGTCTTCTGATGTTACTCGTTGTTGAGGATCATATGTAAGGAATCTGTAAATGTTTTTCAGAAAGAACATAAAATAAATGATATTCACTAATGTTTAGTTTTGAACAAATCGACGTTCATAGAAAGAAACATACTTGTTTAACAGCTCGATGCCCAAATCCGACAGAGATAGGCTGAAACGCTGCCTCAAATTGTTTACGGGGTAATGAGCAAACGGAATTTTCTGCACCATTGGTAATTTACTATATCCTGGCCATATTCGATCATTCGGCGTACCTAGTTCCTTAAATATCCTATTTAACTGATCAATCTCAGATTTACCTGGAAACAATGCTTCCATTCTTAGTAATTCCGCAAAAATGCATCTGAAAAAAGCAACATTTCATTAACTAACACTGATACACTGTTGGGAGATAAAACATTGAGAGACTATGCACAGGAGTAAATCGATAAAAGTCACAATTGAGATAACCAACAACCTGAAAAGAAGAAGGAATTAGGTAGAGCAGGCAACCGATTCCCCTCGTCCTTCGCGTCATTTAGTTTGTAGATAGTATCTCAACATCTCGTTTCCCAATAGTAGATAAATGAAATGCCATTGATTGTTCAAATGTTACTTTACTCACCCCACGGACCACATATCAACAGGAGTACTATATTCTTTTCCGCTCAATAGCAATTCAGGAGCTCTGTACCAAAGTGTTACAACAATCGGAGTATACTGTCTCAAAGGAGAACCGTATTCTCGCGCTAAACCAAAATCACCAACCTTCAAGATGCCTCGGTGACTTAGCAACAAATTCGACGTTTTCAAATCACGATGAAGTATCCAATTATCGTGTAAATGCGCCACCGCTCGTAATAATTGTTGCATAAGACACTTGACTTCTCCTAGAAAAATAATATTTAATCATGTATCCTGTTTCATAGCACTGATTCGGTATCATTCTCATCGCTAACCAACGATCGTTTACCTGGTATGAAAACTTGCTTTTTCTGCTTCATTGTTTCCATCAACGATTTCAGATCATGCTCTACATAATCCATTACAATAAATATTTTATCCATATTGCTACCGACGACTATTTCACGGACAGTAACGATGTTCGGATGTTGCGCCTTTAACAGAGTATTTATTTCACGGAGACTGGTGATCGGAAATCCTTCCTTCTCTTTTTCCATCTTTAATCGCTTCAGAGCAACAATTTCGTCTGTGCGTTTGTCACGCGCCCTGTACACGACACCGTATGTACCTTCCTCGATACGATTCAAGCATTGAAATTCCTCTACGCTTCTACAACCTGCGATAAAATAAAGTACTACAATTTTCCATTGTTTCATTATCGACACTACATTCGTCTTTATTATGCTACTTGATGATCGAAACGTTGTAATAAATAACTTAACAAATTCTGTTTTTTTTTCTGTTTGATATAATCAATAAACGTATAAATGCTGTATAACATTATTTTTTATAGTTACAGGAGCAAGAAAAGAAAAAATAACTTCTTGATAAGATAAAATGTTCGTTGTACAATATGATGACATAACGTGACAAGAAGTTTCTTTATTTACCTTGAATTGCTGGCAGATATGGAGGTAATTCGGGCACTTCCTCTTTCTTTTCTTCTTCCTCTACGGTCTTGGTCGCGCCATTTGAATCAACGTGTCCGGGTGAGTCCCCGTCGGAATGATCAGACTTAGCTAACCGATCAACGGACAAAGGGCTCGGATTATTGTAATCAGAACCATCGTTGGAATCGGCATTAGATCCTTTGTTCGAATCGTTAGATTCATCATCATCCTCGCTGCTGGATTCAGACGAATCAGAAGAATGTCTATCTGAAGATCTTTCACGTATACTTCTCTGACCGTCGGATGAACGCCGGGACCTGTACACCAAACATCAATAAATTATTGTATATGTGTTTCCAACGTTAACATAATAAAAACTTACTCCACGGATTTCGAACGAACTTCGTCCGAGTGAACAGGACTTGGACTTTCGTCCGACAGTTCTACGACGGACGGATCTTGATTGTTCTCGGGACTTAAAGGTCGTTTCTCTCCTCTTTTCATTCGACGTGCTTCTAATTCCAATCTAGAGACTTCCTTCCTCCTGGCCATCTCTCTATCAGCTTCTAATAATCTTTCTTTCCTGAGTTCTTGCTCAGTCATTTCCTTTGGATCCTTTGGCTGAATCGGTATTTCGTTAATCTCCATTTCATCGGCTTCCTCGGTAACAAGTTCCATCGCTTCGCGCAATTGTTTCTCTCTGTGTTCTTTTTCTCGTTCGGCTTTCTCTCTGTCCCTATCGCGTAGTCGATCGTGCTTATGCGATCTTTTATGACGCTTCTCGCTTCTCTCGGGTCGTTCAATGAGCTCCGTTTCAGAATATTGTTCTTCCATCGATCTTATGTGCCTATGATCATCAATACGAATTTCACGACGTTCTCTCATATCGTCTACGATAGCACGAAACTCGCGACGCTCTCGTAGATCTTCCATTCTCTCTCTGCGCTCACGGGCCTCGCGTGGATCCTCCATACGGATTTCTCTGCGAGTATCCGCTTTGTAATCACGAATGTCCCGCGAATCTTCCCGTCTCTCTCTTCTCTTATCCAATAATCTGTAAATCAAACGGTCTGATAACAAGTATAGTTTATCAAATGTTATATTATCAATTATAGCGAAACTATGTTGGTAAAACTAGACACCTGTCCGCAAAGGATTAAACCAAACACTGTGATTTCGTAACTGATCATATTGAAAAAATATATTATTTGTATAAAGAAATAATGTAATACAACAATAGAGATGCTACAAATGCAAAAAAAAGGTACAATGCTGTTTCAAATACATAGAATTTATTATACCTTTCTCTTAAATCCTCTAAAACACGATCACCAGTGGTCCTCTCTTTTCTATCGTGTCTAGATTCCTTATCCCTATGAGTTTCTATTCTTTCTAGTCTTTCCATTCTTTCTCTATCCCTTTTGGAACCTTCAGAACGCTCTGATCTTTCTAAAAGGTCAATGCCATGCCTACGGTGTCTGTGCTTGTCCCTGTGTCTGTCTTCCCCTCGATCATGATGCCGAGATTTTCGTTCCTTTTCTTCCCTACGGTCCCTCCTATCGCTATGCTTGTCTCTTCTTCTTGACGAGTTAGACTTATGATGTCGAACAATAGCCTGTGGTGGTTTTATATCCAGAGAATCGGCAGTATCCCCGCCATCCTCCTCTGAAAAACTTTAAGTATACTTTTCTCAAAACAACTAATGTTTAAGCACGCGATACGTGAAACTAATAAATAAAAACACTTTTAAAAACGACACATTGCATGTGAATTATTTTCTTTAATACGGAAACAAAAATAACGTTTTTAATCGAGCAATAGACAAACTAGTAAACAGATAGAACAGGATCGTAGAATCGTTAACAGAAAGTTCTAAATTCAAAGTTTGAATAAAAAAAGCCACATTATATCTTAGCTATATATCTTGAAGGTTATGTTTAGAAGTTAAAATCTCGCATCGTATTATTCGTTACCTAAAATCATCCATATCCTTCGACGGGCTTTTCTTTATTTCTCCATCTTCACTTTGATTATCAATATCCATGTCAAGCCTGTTTCCTGACATGTTACGAATAAATATATTCACTTTCAATTAACAGTTCTCCGCGCATAATTACCAACGAACGGAAAATGAAATACAAATATTCGCTATGGCCACGAAAATTTCACGTCTCGCACGTGAATCATGTTTGAATAAATAAAATTTGAAAAATATAATTAACTTCCTTCTTAATATTCGATTTAATTCACATTCGTACATACATATTTCGACCTTTGATCCACGAAGAAACAAACAAGATGCGTTCGAGCGATGAATTTATCGCATCACGTACCGTCCATTGACCAAATTCTCTTTCTGTAAAATGTTGAGGCTAATTCAACAGCGTATGTATGCAGAAGCAATGCATATGTGTTTGTGGCATACATTTCTATTTGGCAAGTTTACAAAGGGCGATTTTTCTATTCCTGTTTTTCCAGTCGACCTTCATCAATTTCTAACTGCAATTAATGATGAAAATGGTTATAAAATATTGTACGAATAACATACGAATCCAAGTAGACAAAGTAGATTTAATAGATGAAGCAATTACTTCGGTTTAAAATGAAAAATGAGTTGATATAAACAGATCAGCTCAACATTCATTGGTCCGTTGTGACTATACATATACAGTTACTCTATACAAATTTAATATGAATAAAACAAAAATGTTTCTATTTATTTTGATCAAATATTGTTTATTACATCAAGCTACTTCTATTTAGAAAGTGCTTCTGTTTTTCATTGATTTAAAAAATTACGATTCTATGTCTATGTGTATTCTGGGTACTATCTTTTACCCAGTTTTGACGAAGTCACTTGATGACCTTGATGTTGTCTATATTTACTCTATCTTTCTATTGAACGAAAATTACATATTGTTTGCGTTTACATCGTATGCACATGAATATTTGCCCAAAGGCGGCTCAATCGTCCATCAAGAGTATACGTGATGACGACAGCTATGTTCTGTGCACAAATTCATTTTCTACGAGTTTGACAGGTAATCAACTGACAGTTTTTAAAAACCTCGAAACGATAACTGTTCAAAAAATATCTTACGATGGAAGCAGTACCGAGGTTGCCGATGATATATTTTCAGTTGAAAGTTAGTCCAGAACCAACTACGTTTGGACCAAAGCTAAAGCAGGTACGATATAATTGATATTGCGAAGTAGCCGTAGTATATTAACAATTGTTATATTCATATTTAATTCTCTTTATTATTATGTAAAATGTTGAATTAGTATTTCGAGCGTCGAATTTACGTGATCAAATTGTACGAGCCATCCACCTTGTCTTGATCTGCCAATTAACTTAACGAAAATTCTAAACATCTTTACTCTGCCTCTTTTTTTTTTAGTACATACGTGATTTTTACAACGAAGATGCAGAATCGTACGCAAACGAAATATATCAATTGGAAAGTTTACGGGCAATGGCTGTTCGACCACCCATTGATATGGCTGGCTGTTTATTATTAAAAAAATACTATTGTCAATTGCATTTTCTTCAAAGCAGATTCCCCATGGAAAAAGATGGCACAGCAGCAATCACATTTACATGGTAAAACAATTAATGGGTTAAAGTAAAATTGTTTAAATATTTTAGAAATCAATACATTTAATTTAAATAGGAGAGATACATATGCAAATATGGTTTGCTCACTGGCAAGTATTCCTTTTGAAATAATTTCTATCTTATATAACATTGGTGCAATGCATACTCATTTGGGAGCACGTACAGAGAGAACATCGGCCGATGGTATGAGAATGGCTTGTGCTCATTTTCAGTGCGCAGCATGGGCATTTGAACATTTAAAAAGCAATTACCCACAGCCATCCGGTGTTGATTTAGCACCAGAATTAATGACATTTATGCATCAGTTGTGTTTAGCCCAAGCACAAGAATGTATATTAGAAAAGAGCATGCTTGACAACCGCAAACCCACAATCGTAGGTATGTATAAAAGAATTGCAAATTGTATAGTTGTATTACACCTCTGTGGCTTTAATTGTCTGCTCTTGTGTATCATTCTACAAGATATATGTATCATGCAGCAAAAGTCGCAAGACAGATAGTGGATTATTTTACTCTGGCATTAACTACGCTTGAACAAGGTGGAAGCGAGGATGGAACCATATCGGATACAGTCGGTACTAAAATATATAAGGTATGTTTTAAAATTGTTCGTTCGTTCAAGCATATAGCTCATTTTTACTAATAGCAATAATTTTAATTATTGTTTACATTTATTTTTCAGAGTTGGAAACGATATGTGAAATTCAAAAAAGCTTACCACTTAGCAGTCACTCATTTGTATCAAGGCTTGGCTGCCGAAGAACAAAGAAAAATGGGTGAAAGAGTAGCATTTTATAACGTTGCATTGGCTTCTCTAAACGAGGCACAGTTAATTTATGCTAACGCAAAAGGAGCGATAGGTATAACGGGTGCAGCCGATGAGAAAACAATTGTTGAAGAAGCACTTACGTTTACGAACGATGTGATAGAAGGGAAACGCAAAGCTGCCAAAAATGAAAACGAATTTATATATCACGAGGAAGTACCTGAAAAGGAAACACTTCCTACGGTAAAGGGAGCATCCTTAGTTAAAGGAATATCGTTTAGTATAAATGATCCTGAAGTCTCAGGTCCTGATATATTTGCCAGGTACATACTGTATTATTTTAAAGCAATTTACGATAAGAGACAGTCTGAATTTATCATTTGCATAAATATATATTTCGCTTGTCATATTGGAAACAAATATTATATCGTGTACAGTCTGAATAGATATAGTTTATTCTTTAAAACTACATTTTACTGTTCCATTTATATTTTCGACTAATTTATATTAACAAAGTATGTTTATTTGTAGTATATATGCTATAACATTTGTTTAAAAATTTGTGTTTTCATATTTGATACAGATTAGTTCCAATGAAAGTACACGAAGCAAGTTCTTTGTACTCGGAAGAAAAAGCAAAAATATTACGTTCCGTCGGTGGTAAAATTGAGGAAAAAGATCAACAATTAAATACCTACTTGGCGTCCTTAAAACTCGAACATATGAGTTTATGGGACCCTGATGTTCAAACCACAGAATGGGAACGTTTACCCCTTCCCGATGAATTGGTCGAAAGATGTGCAGCTCTAAACGCAAAACAACACATAATTCAAGATTTGGTGGATATAATGGGGAAATTGTCCGACACCAGTCAAGATGTTGAAAAAATCTTAAAGGAAATTAAGAAACTTCTTCTCGACGAAGAAATGAAGTTACAATCTAATTAATCAGAAACGTATTTCACCACTTTTATCATTAACCGTTAATATAATCACTATTTGTTTACTTTTCATAGAGAGAAACAATATCAGGATACAGTTGGAAAACGACCGCCGTCGATAGTAGCGACTGATTTAACCAGAGAAGCTAAGAAGTACGAAGAAGCACACAACAAGGCATCGGAAAGTAATCACGCTTTGCATAAAGCAATAACAATGCATGTAAAAAATTTAAAAGTACTCGCCCAACCGCTGGCCGAGTTAATTGCATATGTACCTTCACCGAGTGCATATCTTTCAGGTATGTCTAAAGATTAAATATGGGAAATAACACCCTTAAGACTAAAAGTAAACTTGAACGAATTTATTACTAAATGTAACATATTATAAACAATACTCTAATATATACTTTTTTTTACGTGTGAAATCTTATTTTCCATAGAACAAAACAGCGAAAAATCACACAGTGCTATTGAATTAGAACGAATGCATACGAAAGAATTGAAACGTATTTTAAATAAAGTAGACGAAATGCGTAGACAAAGAAATGAATTACACGGAAAATTGAGAGATTCGATCGCTCAAGATGATCTAACACGCTTATTAGTTACCGCCACATCCGACTCTGGGCCCTTGGATCGCTTATTTGCTGATCAACTTAGCAAACATCAAACAGTGGTCAGTAGTTGTATTTACACGACATCAATATTAAGTTTAATTTCGTTTATAATGTATTATATATGTAACAATATTGCAGGTAAACTTGATCGAGCAAAATCTCGCTGCGCAAGACAATATTTTAGCAGCTTTGACAGATGCGTACGCTCAAACTGCCAATGTGCGGAAAGGAGTCGAGGAAATATTGAAGCGCAGAGAACACACTATTACCTCTCTGATTGCGTCTTACGATGCCTACGAAGATTTATCAGCCAAGTCTAGCAAAGGTCTGGAATTTTATAGAAAATTAGAAATAAACATTTCGAAGCTACTTCAAAGAGTTAAGAGCACCTGCAAGGTGCAAGAAGAGGAACGCGAGCACATACTCGCGCAGGATAATAAAAGTTCTCAAGATAAAGTCGATACGATGACGTCCGCCACTTACGATCAAAGCCGTAGCAGATCTGGCAGTGGTCTTAAATTGAAAGATTATTTGAATAACAGGCTAGAGAATGTTCAAAATCAATATTATAATTTATATAAAGGACAAGGTAGATCACTTCAAGCGGATGCAACCGCCAAATCGTATTTAAACGATACGGTGGATAAAAATAATGCACCAATTCTTTCTGGCGGAATTTCAATGCCGGATACAATATCGTCTGCAAAACCTATGCAACAATATTATCCTACGACTTACACAGATTACAAGACGAATTTGCCATATTCCTACGACACGTCTACGTATAACGAAAATGCTGCTGTAAACATTGCTTTAGGTCAGAATTATATGCAAATAAGTAACTCGGATACTCTAAGTACTTATCAGCAAATGCCCGTTACCGGCACGACAACGACTATGACGAACACTGCGGTACAATATCCGGTAAATACTTTTGTATCGAATGGACAATACTCTGGAGCCATGGATGGACAACACGCGTACTCTACCAATGCTCAACTACAGTACAATCTTCCTTCCAACGCGTATGACACTTATCAGCCTTCGATAAATTATACTGGATACAATATTGCACAACAGCAGTATCCAACTAATTTGGAGAAAACTGGTAGTGTCGTTAAAACGGAAGTTCGAGAGGTGCCGCCTCAAATTCCAGTAGCACAGTCGTCCATATCCACATCGAGTACAGTCAACAAAGTAATCGACGCGCAACCGCATCTTTATACCACCGTGGATCAAGAAGGACAAGCGTACGTGCCCGAATCTCAACAAAAACATGTCCCTCAAGAATCTCTTCAAACTGTTATCAGCCAGCAGCACATACTGCCTATGGATAATTCTCAGATGCATAATTACGTTGTTCCTCAAATTAGCCATAACGAGGTTCCAGGCTCTCAAAATTATGGTGGCAGATTATATTATAATCCGTCTGATCCGCATGCGCAGCAAACCGCATCGGCTCAAAATATATCCGGATCGACTAATCCTGCTGCATCCACGCCGTATATACCAACACAATATGTAAATGCAACCGTTCCTCAATCTGTTCATTCTACTATTTCCTTGACTGTTCCAGGAAATGAAATGTCCACCTCGTATTCGTCGAATTTACAAAACTCCAATATCGTCCAATATCCGCAGCAAAATTGTACGGAACAGAGCCAACAAATTTACACGGATAAAACGTATCCGTATGGATCGCAAGTAGCCATTAACGATGCTTCTTTAAGCTACCCTAGTACTTACCACAGTTTGCAGCACGGTGCCAGTGGCACATATCCACAGACCATGATGCCCGTGGATGCGTGTAACACGTACACGTACACGAACTGTCCTACTATCGCAGAAATAATTCAAAGTCACGCAAAGTCATCGACTACGCAGAATTATTCGCAAGTGTATCAATATCAACAACAACCACATTATTCCGGATACGCCGGTTACTCTCAAGCCTACGACCAGGGATATAATTACATGCAAGGAAATCAAATAGCAAACACAGCAGCGGAACCTTACAACGGTCAAATAGAATACGCTTATAATTCTACTACTCAGTGTTACGAACAAAATTCTAGCAATCTTCAAACGTCACAACCTGTTCAGATATCGCAACAAGTTCCCGATTCAACGTCAGAAACATGTACCGACGTTAGTAACGGTTACCAGCAGCAAGAAAGTAACGCAAGATACACAAATGCTAGTAATAATTCCATGGTCAGTCAAACTCCGTCTTCTCAGTATTCAGAACAACCGTTTCAACCTCAATGCTCGTCCGATATTTATTACACTACACCGTATGGTCTTCAAATGCAAAACCAACGTAAGTGTCATAATACTATAGAATTTCAAACACATTTTTACGTTAATTACATTTTATCCCCTGTTAGCGTTAACTAGCAAATCTGAAAACTATACAAATTATAATCAAACGTACATGCAAGCTGTTAACAATGGAACGAATACAACAACCAGCGCGAACCCTATGAAATCAACCTCAAAGTCGTCGGAGAAGTCCAACGTGGACTTGCTTTCTGATCTCGACATTACCATAAATCATGCGCCGTTGGTACCGGAAGTACGCCCTCTGAATAAAACTCAAACTCAAGAGGAACCTGAGACGAAAGACGCTACCGACGAAGACAATACAGAAAAGGAGAATGAAAACGAGAAAGCAAGCGTTCAGTCTACTACTGCCGAAGATAAAGTAGAAAATGAACATTTGCAAATTGTATGGGATACGTGGTATAATGATGTACAACCAAAGAAAGATCCTTTAGGTGATCCAGCAGCTTTACAGAAGTTCATTAGCGAGGTCGAAAAATATGAAAAATTTGTAGATAGTTTACTCATTAAAACGTTAAGCGGAGCGACTAACCTTGACATAAAATGGAAGGAAGTTCAAGAGTTTGAAGTAAGACTGTTCATATTATTTCTTTAATATAAATGGTACTAGTTTCTATGACATTATTCAAACGTCTGATTTAATTACAGGAAAGGGAAAGTGGAAAACAATCCTGTACGGTAGCATTGGCACATTCCTCGGAGAACAGAGTGACTGAATGTATTCCGTATGATACAACGAGGGTGCAGATATCTTCAACGGATGTTCCAAATTATATTAACGCTTCTCATATAATGGAAATTACACAGTGGATACCAACGTCGTTTATCATTACTCAATCACCATTGCCAGACAAAACGGAAGTGTTTTGGATAATGATTTGGGAACAAGAAAGCGAAATAATCGCGTGTTTGGCATCCGATTCGCAAGTGAATACACATTTTACACGTACAATAAATTCAAAAGCCAAGATCTTTTGCAATTAAACGTTTTCTATTTCTTTTAGTTGAACGGTGAGATATATTGGCCTATAAACGAAGAAGACATTTTAAATATTGGTAGCTTCAGAATTTCATTGAAGAAGAGAACGAATCACGTGTCGTACGTCCAGAGAGTTATGTCTGTATATAATAATAAAAAAGAATCAGAAAAGACTGTCGTGCATATGCAATTTCTTACATGGCCTTTTAAGTAAGTCTTTAAAGCTAATAATGCTAACGTAAACTGTCTCGTACTTCATCGTTTATATGTTTTACCCTTTCCAGCGGATTTCCGAGTAGCCCTGGTGCATTACTTACGTTTTCGACGGATGTAATGACCGAGCAAGCATTGAGGCGTTGCTCGAAACCAATAGTTGTACACTGCGTAGACGGTGGAGCATTGAGTAGTTTATTCTTAGCAGCAGCAGCAACAGTATGTCATATTCGTGCTGGATGTGGAATAGTTGATGTACCTCTTGTATTCAAGGGTCTCCTAAAGTGCCGTAAACAAGTTGTAAATAAGGAGTCCTTGTTATTCGCGTATCAGCTTGTCTTATATCATGCTCAAGATATTTTAATGAAACGTAAGTATTATGTATTGTATAATATGCTTAATCATATCCTTGGAACCAAGCAAGATTTGTTCGAAAGTATTTCTTTCTATTGTTCAAAAGTAAACAAGTTATTCGGGTGACTGATTTTAAATGTCCAATTAACCTATACAATTTTCTTATAATACAATGTTAGGTGATTAACTTGCCCTTTTCAAATATTAGGTGGTATTTTATCATCTACTCGCTCCACGTTTGAGAACTTCGAAGGATTCAAAGGAAACAAAGATAAGACATCGAGAAAAATGCATCCTTCCGATGATTTTCTTCAGAGTCTTGGCATTAGCGCCCAACATCCTGATACCGAACAAGGTACAAATATAATAATTAAATTCATCATAGTTCTCGCAAATAATATGTTTATAACGTTTTCGACCACTCCTTTTCCCCTGTAAAATAAGAATCTATCAAGATATTTATTTTTTCGTAAATGAATAAATTTCAAAATATCTATAGTTTTCAAATGAACGTTTTTTATATTACCCACAATATAATGATTTTATGCTCCTAGGTCGACAGAAGACTTCTACGAATAGCGGTACGGGACACTCGACTTCAACGTCGATTCAAGAAAAAGGTAAAGAAGGAACGATCGATCCCCTAAGTCAGCTAGATCCTTTATGGTCCATTAGAAGATAATCAAATTGAATTACAAGTAAAAATTTATGATGCACTGATTAATAAATCTATTATTTAAACGAGCATTTTCATTTCTACGTTTCTTAAATTAACAATATTAATAAGAATAGGATTATAAGACAATTGTATAAACAACGCAGTTCGTATTGCTATAAATGATCCATATTTCCGAAATAAAAGACATTTATTGTTCGAACGTTTCTTAATCCTTACGATTTAAGGGTTTTACAGTCTGTTAAATATATAAAATAAAATATATGTATAAAAATTAATGTTATCCGTTCACATTTATTTTCACGTTCACTGGAAATCACACGTGTCCTATATATGCTCGCAAAATGAAAACTGATATCAGTTATAGTTTTGAACAACACATGGTACAGATAAGCGTTTTTAAAATGTACGGGATAGTGAAACGATACATACGAGTCCTAATACATGACTGCGTGTGTATATGCTTATACCACGAATAATCTGAATATAATCGGTAATCATTTTATGCACTGTAGTGTTTTTAAAAATAACTGACCACCTTTTAAAATCAAATTTGTTTCCTAGCTAAACAATTACTGTCTTACTATAAATTAAATCTTTATACGTTTAATTGCCAAAACGTAAGAAAAATAAGTAAAAAATATTCTGTATACATTATGAAATTAAAAAAAAAAGTACTTCTGTGTGTATATATTATACGTATATAAATTTGTATAGGAAGCAATTATGATCGTGATCACTAAGTATCAACCTTTCAACACAGAGACTGTTTATTAATATTATTTTTAAAATAAATGCTTTGTTTAAAAATATTCAGTATAAAAAAAGCTATACTTTAATATTCTTTAAGTTAGAAGTTAACGGTATATTATTAGGGACAATATTAAAATAAATATGCCGTTTGATTTTATCGATCAATATACAGACTGCTTCTAGAACTGAATCATCGTATAATATCGATAATTACGTTTACTAAAATGAATGTATATGAGGTTCGAGTATGTCTTTTATAATAGTTTCAATTATGCGCTCGATGTTCATGGAAATATGTAATTCTGTATTTAGTGCCACATTGATATCTCATAAACAATTATAAAACTTATAAGTGAGCAAAATTATGAAATAGTTTACAAAGTTTTGATAGCACTACTTTCTTGTTATTAGTCTACGCTTCTCAAATTCCTCTATTCCTTAGATCTTTCACCTTGTAAATTCGTACTAGCCAATGTTCCGTGGTGTAAGCTTCTTCCAACATGTCCAGCTCAAAATCTTTATTACCAATTTCCATATTTCTAACTCTGTCGTGGCCGGAAGGTTTGCCTATTTGATTAGTAAATTAGAAACATTTACATACCCTTTAAATTTTAAAATCATATCCAGTGTTTAATAATGTGCCAAATAATTGAAACACTCACCACCTTCGGTATAAATTTGACCGAATTTATAGTAACACATCTTGTACATAAGACAGTTGAGCAAAATTGGAGAACCTTCTTTGTCGACCCTAAACTCCCCTGCAGAGTTATAATAATCCCATTCCGTTATAGATTTGCCTTTTTCGGTGCTTCCGCCGATGCGCACCATCCATAGGAACTTGTTTATGTCTGAAATTGTGACAAATCGAAATTTTATATAATTAAAATCTCCGTTTCTATTTGGTTTGTCTATTTTCACATTTAGTTCGAATGAAATTCTTTTCGCTGTGTATACCATCAGACGAATAGCCCGTAAGTCCTCCAAAAATTACAAGAACGTAATTTACGTCTAGTTCTTTCATTATTTCGTATGCTTTTTCCTCCGAACTCGCCATTGCTTGACCGACTCTTGATATGTGAGTATTGTTCCACGTATTATTGTCTACTAAAATTGTACGATTTGCCATTGCCGTAATTTGGTATCCATAATCCCACCAAGACATTACCTTGGCATTCTGCGTTTATAAAAATTAATTTTTTTAAGCAGTACAAACTACTCAAAATCATAGTCATTTAACTACTATATTCGGAAACAAAATACTTTATCAATAAGTGAAAATATCTCAGGTTCATTTAATGTACAGAATTATTTCCGAAGAAGGCGGGCGATAATAAATCGCAGACTGTTTAACACGAGATATTTTTACTGTATACTTTCATTTCATTAAGCTTATTGAAGTAATCAAAGTATAATAAAATTACTTCTGGTGTATTCATGCGTAGCCAATAATATGCTTCTCTAAAGTCATCGAAAATCATTCGGCCACCGTCCGGAGAACGAGCAGATAATACGATACTGGGTGAACTATAGGCTTCTGCTGTAACCCACGAACAATGAATGGTATACGAAAAGAATAGAATGCACATCACTGTTATGAAAAGTGTAGCAATCTGAAAATGAACATTCACTTTACAATAAATTGTTTCTTATACTTTACTAATGTAACGTTTAATATAGTTACCTCGCTTCTGAGTACATAATTACTTTCAAATTTTTTTGATTTCTTATCACTAACTTTTACACTTTCTATTTGTTTCATGTACGTAAGAAGCAAAGACGAGGCCCCGATGCCACCCAGAATACACATTACAGGAGCAAGAACTAACATTAGACGAACCATTACGCCCTGCATATTTGAAAAATACAATTAATTACATGCGAGTGTACGCATAAAGAAAATTTCTAATTAAGTTATACTCACGGCAAAATACAAACTCGTAACTCCGTATAAAATAAGGAAAATATTAGAGTCCGTTAATTTTGAGAAACAAAAGTACAATCCAGAAGGAAACAGAAACACTAGTATTTGTAGATCGAAATAAAAGGAGCTCCACGACGTTGGCTGATGTTCCGAGACGGAAGCAATTATTGGTATATGATTTTTTGCATAAGATGGATCCAAAAGTGAATAGAAACGTCCAGTCCACGGTGATATTTTTCCTTAAAGAGATTATAAAATGTTCAAACGTTAACGTTCGTTATGTCGTTAAGAAAATGAATTAATATCATTATGTACTTACCTGTAATGGTTAAAATAATCCCTAAAATAAACGAAGTACTAACTACTGAAACAACAAGACCACGAAATAGTACTTCAAAGTCATCCTGCGATACTTTACTGCGCAAGTAATCAACTAGGGCATGTATCTGACAGAGTCCAAACACTCCTAATGCCTGTAAGGATTAAACGTTGCACTTGCAGAACTGTTTTGGCAGAGAAATGAACGTAATTATGATTTTTACTCACAAGAATGTGTTCCGAACTTTGAACAGGTTGGAAACCCACGAACGATATTTGCATAGATAAAATTGTTCCTAAACAGTATAAAATACTGTACGCTGTGTATATCCTGTGAGAAAATCTGCCAGTAACCATTAGGGTTAACACGTGTAATGGAATTAGATTAATTAAAAACACGTAGCCACCCCAAGAGGAGACCATGTAAAAATATGCAAGTGCAGCACAAGTTGCCCAACAAATTGCTCCTGTTTTCACTGCTTTGATCCACATGTAATATGTAAATAGCATACAAAATATAGCTATGCCCTCATTATCATATGATCCTGCTACAGATCGTGATATATAACCAGGAACAATTGCTATCATTGCTGCAGCAAACAATCCCGATGCAGGATCCTGAAAATAAACAGAATAACGTAATACTTTCGATTCATTGCAATATTACACAAACCTAAATATCTGGTACAAACATTTTTACCTTTAACTCTTTCGTGAGTAAATAAGTAATGAGCGTTGTTAAACTAGAAAATAACGGAGCAAGGAAGACACAAATAGTACGTATATCTAATGTAATATTTAGTAACCATGAAAGACGATATAATGCTGCTGATGTTATCATTAATCCTGGATATATTGTTCCTGCAAAACAATAAGATTACGTTTATGTTACTTATGCTTATTGCAAGGAAGTAATATGTAGAATATGAATTAATTAGTGTAATCCTAAGTCTTTTGGAATTCAGTAACAGAAACATACCTCCGATTATCCTACCGAGAGGATACCAGACGCGATCGTCGAACCAGTTGTGAAAACTATAAAATCCATTTTCGGCTAAATACTTTGTTGTGCGATAGTTGAAATATGGATCGAATTCGTGAATAACATTCTCGAACCTTAGGACCGAGAACAATCTAGTTGCAAATGCTAAAATCATGAGCAAAAACATAGAAAATGTTAGAAAAGTTTTTATTGTTGCTTTTATACAGATCTAGAAAACTTACATAAAATTGCTGCAAGGGACAGCACAGTTAACTTCAAAAGCGTTTCCTGCTTTTGCGCAGACATTCGCAAACCTCTTGTTTTCATCAATGTACCCATATTGATCAAGCTATGAGATAAGACTATGAATTATTCAAGCACCTCCTTTTTCTTCAACTTATCTACGTAAAGAGAAAACAAAACATATATTATTTACATTTATAGAAGAGGTGTCGAGAACTCTTAATAGTTAGTCTTCAGTTACACACATGATTTATGCAGGTTTAGAATACGCGTATGTATTCACACATATAAGTTTTATTTTTTCAACTAATGGCATTTAAATCTATTGGATTTTAAACAGTCTCTCTAAAAGTAACCAGTTGTATTAAATAAAATACAAAAATGACTATAACAGGGGAACAAGATCAAATAGGATATATTTCTATGAACTTTTCCATCCTCTTTGAGTCTCAATATCTTATATCTCTCGTTTATAGCAACTCGCATTAATTTTTATATACCATGCTACATTATCGCCTTGTAGATAAACTTAATACAAGCATAAAGACTAGTAACACAATAGATATTCGGATGCTCAAGTACAAGATAGATAAATAAAAATATGGTAGTTTCAAATAATAATACGAGTCACTGACTATTATAAAAACTACAATTGTATTGCATGCGGAAAGCAAATAAATGTTTAGAAATGCGCGTTCAATACAGTTTAATACAATTTTAACAAACAAATGTAACATAAGGTAACAAAAAACTCGTGGCGTTTGTCATTTAGTATTAGGTTATGATTCTTTGCAAAAGTAAACAGAAAAACTCTAAAAATATTGAACATTAATAGATGAAAAAATTAATTAGCACGACAAACACGTTATTTTATTTCAACGGAATAGCTACATGCTCGATATACGAAATATGAGGATTTAAATAATGCGGACTACCAGCCAACTGACCACGTACACAAAATTACCGGCCGGCGACATATGTGTATTTTGAATCACATGTTTTTACGTTCCGCATTGTACACTTATGTAGTTTTGTGAATATTACGTAGACCGTGATGTAAACTTACGAATTTACGAATTTTACAACAATACAAGAAAAGCAATAAAATAACAGTGTCATTTAAATTATTACTATCTCGAACACATCGCGACTCCAAAGAAAAATAAACCATAGGCTAAATCTATTGCTAGTTACGCTACCTTATGCTGAAATAAACTTGTAATAGAGTTAAGTTACAGCCGACTCCAGTACTAGCCATGCTGAACAAGAAACAATAAAACCGCGAGAGTCTGATTTTGCAGTTGATAGAAAAAGTACGCAGCATTTGTGAGTCTCTGTCTATTTAGTGCAACGTTAGGCTCTCGTAGCTTTACTGCCTCTCGCTCAACATGGGCCATGTTACATGGCTTGTACGAGAATCGGCTGTTGGTAAATAAATGATTAAATACTCATATAAAAGCATTAGTATAACAAACAGAATCTTGAAGACATTTAAAGAAACGAGAATTTGTTATAATTCTTAGCGTGAAATGTGTAATATTAATTGTAACTATTAAAAGTCACGTGGTGTTTGTTCATAGAGATTTTTTCTGGACATACGAATATATATAATCTATGGCGGTATAGGTACGTCACAGCCGACTCTAACTAGCCGTGCTATGGAACGTGGCAACACCGCTCATGTGCGGATCGGGAGTCCTATTTTCAATAGTGGAGTTTTATGTTCAGGATTATAATTAACGTTATTTTGCGATATAAAATTATACTAATATACAGTATTTTTTATTAATTATGTATAAGGAATATATGAATATCATAACTATAGTAAGTAGAAGTAATACAGAAGTATATTAATATTTATAAATGCGGTATATATTTTGTGGACTGTCGGAATAGTTTGGTGTTGTGATGCATTATATTTGAAATATTTACAGAGATTTCAAGAAAATAGAAGTGTGAAAAAAGTTAAAACCATCTTTGAACCAAACTGAAGGATTTAAAAATTGATAAAGGTATGTATAAGTTAATAGAGACCTGAAATAGGCAAAATTATTGGTACGAAGCCAAACAGGTTAAGTGCCCGTGGAAAAGAGGTTAGCATAATTAGCTATTGAAAGGAACAATTATGGAGTTAATTATAAAATCGTGTTAGAGGACAGTATGATAATTGTGAAAAATTTCCTCACCACCCTAGGGGTATTTACCATGGCGCGTTACCTTTTTTTTTTATTATAATGGGTGGTTCGCCAATAGCCATATCATCCCATTTTCTAAAATAAAATTAATATTTTTAAATGGAACATAACAAAAACATAACTTTTGTATTCTTAAAGAAATAAAGTATTACATTTTGAAATAATAATAAATAATTTTGAATAATATTAATAACAAAACATATCAAAACATACTTTGAAATTCTCTTGAAATACAACTAATAAAACTTTGAATCTTGTGAAATAGTATTCATAATAAAAATATACTAAGCAAGTAAATAAAACTCTATTAATGTATTAAAACATATTAAAAGGAATAAGTTAAATATATATAAAAATTAATGTTTTAAGAAAGATGAAATTAAAAAAAATCATTGAAAATCTAGTTCCTATTAAAAGTTTTTAATTTACGATTTTTAGAAGTGATGTCTGTACGTGTTTCCAACTGACTATTATTTACAGTTTTCACATAATCGTTTAATAAAATATTTGAAAAAATTTATAATAATTTAAACGAAATACTTTGGTAAGCTCGACCACAAACGCATGTATCTGAAAATGCTAAATAATGTATGTCTGATTGAATGCTAATATATGTTAATTTACATAAAATATGTTTATGATTTCCAGATTGCAAAAATTGAGATTCTAAATTGCCATCATTTATTATGGCTTCCATTATTGCATACATATGAATAAATGAGGCTATCGCTTCTTCAGTGGGGACAGAAAGGCCCCCTCTTTGTAAGTGATCAAAATATATATTGCCTACAGTTTTAACTTTATCCTCCACAACTAATAAACGACATATATTGCAATTTAATTTTTTAGCAACAGAATGGGACCCATAACCAGAAATATAAATTTTAATGGAATCATCTACAACACAATCGGACAAGTATTCGGTATCGAAGATTCCTGAGAAACAAGTCACATCAGTGGGAAGATCATGAAGATCGTTATTATTGTCATCACAAATTCGAAATTTATTTTTGATTTCAGTAAGAGAAAACGAATTTGCCGATTTTGTAAATATATGTTTTAATCTAATTTTTTTTTCTGCATGAATTATTTCGTTATATGACACATGATAATTACAACCAGATAAAAGTCTATAATTTCCAAATCGTTTTTCTAATTTTTCGGTTGTAAAATGGAGGGTACTACATTCCTTATAAGCCTTGGACATCTCAACAAAACATTCTCCAGTACACCATTGGGCGATAGAATACCGTGGTACCTTTCAATATCAGTTTCTGCAAAATGCAAACTACAGACGGCAGAATATTTTGATGGTGTCCAATTCTTACGAGGAATAGCAACCCTCCATTTCTCCCGCAATTCCTCATCTTTGGGGAATAAAAATATAGAATTGTAATTATTATCTTTTAAGGTACTATCATAATTTCCCTTGCAATTGGGAACACAGCAACGCCGTGGCATTATTAATGAATATGTGAAATTTATAAAAAAAATGTATATAAAACAAAATGTCCAAAAATGCTATAGATTATATTAAATAAGTGTGTTACACACCAAAATCAGGATCTGTAGAGTTAATATAAATAAATGAAACACCTGGATTATTGCTCCGTTGCTCACATTTAATGGACTTCAGTACATTAATATTTGAAACATTTGAAAGATAGGCGGGAGACCGGAAGGCCGGTGGGTAGTGGGAGGCTGGGAGGCTGTTACGGTAGGTTGGGCTAGGTATATCGAAGCCGGACTCCCGCGGTGTTGCCATTTTACCTTCAGCACGGCTAGTACTACTAGAGTCGGCTGTGGGTACGTGCATGTCTCTCTCTACTGTTGCGCGTCCGGCGGCGTATTTCCGAAACTTCGTAGGGAATTCGGTGGGGAACGCTGCCCGTGGAGTGCTAAGGCACTCTGCTCCTTGGACGCGGGAGTTTCAAACGGAGATCGCTAGATAAGGAAAATAATAAATGGATACAACGATTTGAACACACGTAAATAGAACTTTAATTAACTCAATAAAGGAATATAAAACAAAACAACCAAGATTTCGCAGGAATTATTATAACCCGTTCGTACACTTCCGCTCTCTTAATTCAAAATGCTTCTCTCTTTAATCAACTCAATTAACTAACTCAAATGATACAAGTACGATCTCGTTTAAGTTACAATGCTACGTCCGTTCACTTTCGATCTCCGGATTCAAGTGTCGCTCTGCCGGCCGGTCGAGGCCCAGCCCACACGTAGGCCCCTTCCGATCGTCTTTTCTTTTATTCGGGCCGGGCGCAAAACTCTCGCACGCGCGTTCCTCGGCACACCCCCGATCCCTCGAGAACGGTCCATTGCGGCACGTGGCCGTTATCGGCTTTTGCACGCAGCCCGTTTCCGGCAATCGATAGCGCACGGCCCAAGTCCTGGAATTACACCCCTAGGAGAAGGGATCAAAGGGGAGTTCACGACTATCCAAACATCCGTCAGCCAATAAATTATTGGCTAATCTATGACCCGAAGTGAAGTCATTAAAAGAATCTCTAACTACTTTTAAACCGTAGAATTGGCGCGGACTCCACTTTGTTTTCCCTTCCTATTACATTCGTGTAATCTGATTTAAACCTCGCGCCCCCCAGAGCTTCTGCTACACGGCGCCAGGCGGCGACCGCAACACTACACAAATCTGGGAATATTTCTGCCCTCTTGCACAATTTTTCAAAATAAAAACACTCGTACACAGTCGACTCTAGTTAGTACGAGCCATGTTGAGCAAAAGGCAGTAAGCTATGGGAGTCCGATTTTGCACTGGATAGACAGAGAGTACAAATATTGCGTACTCTTTCTATTAAGTGTAAAACCAGACTCTCGTCGTTTCTTTGCGTCCCATTAGCATGGCTAGTATTGTAATCGGTCGTGACTGGTATAGAAAGTGAATTTACAATGCAGTATCGGGTAACGTTATCCAATAGTCTATGACTATCTATAAATCCGTTATTCCCGCCAGTATGGTGAGGACCGGTATTTGTATTATGTTGTACAAAATTTCTTTCTTGCCATTTTATATAAGTACAGCGTTTAGCGTCGACAGATTTGTGTTTTCGTAACGTTCTACTTGTCACAAAAACATGTCCGAAGGTAGTTTTCAATTTCTACGAATACTTATATTAGGAATGTTACATGAATAATATAACCTCCAATGTGCGAAATATTATGATACGTTTATATTGTATTTACTTTGTCAGTGTGCTTAGTACTGTATTATAACATTACAGTAAAAGTATTGGTTTTAATATAATTGCATATCGTGTTACCAAAAGGTTGTGTAAATTTTTTATGTATGCACTTTAGAAAAGACAACAACGGAGGACATGTGGACTCCATACAAGGAATTACAGAGTCTCGTCGAACGGAATATTACATCTGCTCCTACCACTCATGATTTCCAATATCATGAATTCACAGAAGCATTACGAAGTCACAAACAAAATTTTCTTACCCTTCTAAAACATCCTGTAAGTGATTATATGATATTAAGTAGTTGGTATTATATTCAACGATAAATGTAAATACCAATGATATATGTTTTAAGATGTATTTTATCGCAGCCTTCAAATGTAAACAGCAGAGAAGAAATAAAAAAGGGAGTAACAGATGGTATTACACTTCCTGGTTTGGGACACCAATCATTATCAAAAGAATTAGTTGACGAAACTCTGATTATATCAGATATGTATAATCTTAACGAATTCATGGCTTTGGATCTTCTCTGTATGGCACAGTTACAAATGCCACATCATCCCGGTTTACCTCGAGGTTTAACAGCTATTTTATTATATTATGATGGGAAGAAAGCACTTACATCGACCTTAAGAATGCTTGTACAAGCTAGAATGGGACATAGCTGGAAAATTGATGCCCCTATTGCTCTAATAAGACACATTACAGAATATACAAATAAGTTGCAAGAAGATAATTTGTTAGATAGAATTTTAGTTTTGTTGGAACAAATGGATCCTGTAAAGGTATAGTTAAATATCTATTGTAACAATTCTAGAAATTGTTTATTTCTTAATTTTAAACTAATATTCGTGTTTTAATAGGAACAAGACCTGCTAGAAAAAAATCGGGCATTGGGTGGACCAAAACATCGTTACATGGTCATGAAACTTTTTAACGATTCTAGACAAGATTTGGCAGATATTTTATATTTGTGGTCTGCCCAATCCTCGCTACCAAATACAGTCTTGTTTCATTTATTATTCGTATTACAAACGAAGCGAATAGAATATGAAGCGTGCGAAGGAGGACTGGATAAAGTTACCCTTGCTCTTATAATGAGCATGTTAAATACAATTAATTTTAATGCATTACATAATCGTGAGAATGGCGAAGGTATAACACATATTTTAACCAATTGTAATTATTTTTTTTTTACAATTTATTGTACCGTTTGTAACATCTGTTTTAGAGTTAATAAATTCTATGCCACTGATCACGGAAAGCGACGTGCACGAAGAATTACATCAAAAATTAATATCGGCTAACATAAATTGGGAGTGCGCTGGATTGCGTGGACTTATACAGTTTGCTTTTGCAGTTGCTCTGCCAACGATTAAAGCAGCAATTAACGCGCAGCCCACGAATAAGACCAACGACGATGTGAGACTGCTAGATGCAGCTTTGTCGAATAAATGTTTTCACTTTATGGCAGAAGTATTGTTCAAGAACAGAAGCATATATCACGAAGAATTTTATATTCGTTACTTTCATTCTCTCATTTCTGACTTCATATTATTAATGCCGTTGAAACTAAAAAATCTACGAAGTCGAGCAGACGAGTCCATGCGTTTGATACAAGCGTATCAGCAGGAGGGTATCGAACCACCTTTAAATTTAGATAATCACTTCGAATACTTGATGTTGACGATAGCGGAGCTTTATAAAGAGGATCCTTTAAAATTGGATTTAGTCATGGACTATTGGTGCTATCATTCGGACTCCGCACATGCACCCGCTCCTGCCTTTACGAATCGTTTGCCATCTAGACAAGTTGCTCTGTTTAAATTTGTACGTCTCGATGATGAAATATTACCAGCAGGGTTGTTCGTACCATATCTCAAAATGATAGCATCTCTTGCTTCTTCTCCACAAGCAGCGAGACAAGCATTCAATTTTCTTAAACCAAACGGTAATCATTTGTATTTCTATAATATCATTTATTTTATCAGATTGTATTCTTTTTTTAAATACGTGTAAACGAATTTCGTTTATAGGTACTTCCGGATCGACAACTATTTCCTGGGACCACTTCTTCGGTTCTTTGACTCGATATTACATGAATCTTAGGAAAGAACTGCCTCCTAGTCAGGATACTGTTTACCGTCAAAGAGGTCACCTAAAAGGTATCACGCCGGACGAAGTTAAAGGACTCGAAGTTGTATTTTTAGTCGTTCAAGTAATCGCGAAGAACGATGAAATGTCAAGAATAGCAATATGCGATCATCCAGGATGGAAAATTTTGCCGTCTTTGATCGGTTTGGTAAGTTGCGGAATATCGATTCCGTTAAAAGCTGTTTTAATACGAACTCTTGCTGCGTTAGCAAGATCGCCTGAAAGTTCGTCCACTGTGTGGCAAAGTTTAGAGGCTGCACAGATACTATCCACTATACCAACCATAAGCAGCTATCAGCCAAGAGGAGTTCAAACCGAATTAGAGGAGATCGAGTCGAAGAAAGATGAATATCCGCTGACGCGAGCTATGCTAGAACTTCTAGATGTGCTTACAGACTTTCCTATTCCACGATTACTAGGAATGGGTCAGCGTAATCCTGGTTTCGATCCATATTTGCATTTCATTATCAACACCGTATTTTTGAAGTTTCATACGCGATCGTATAAAAATCCAGCAGAAAAGTGGGAGGTTGCCGAAGCATGCTTAAAAATATTTTCGAAACTTATCAAACAATATGAACCCGCCGTGGAAGATTTCACCGGATGTAAAATGGAGCTTCAAAGCGGAGAAACTATGCTAGTTAATTCCGCGCCTGGATACCATATAATGACCCAGTTACATTCCAAGTCGGAGCTTCTCCATGTCATATTGTACGTTCTTGATAAGGGTTGTTCCAACTTCGATACGTACGAATCTTTCGCTGGCAAAAAGAATCTCGAGAACGCCACTCTTTATTGTTTGGAAATATTGGAAAGGGAATTGAAGACGCAGCACAATTATATGTCGCAGCTGGCTTCCGCGAAGTCGATACACAAAATTCTAACCGGATTGTCGAGATTGCTTCTGGAAGTGGATCCTCAGTCGAAGAAGCCCGATTACATGATAAACGTTGCTAAATATGTTTCCTACAGTTCGTGGCTGCCGCAGCACGCATTCCACGCCGTCGGTGTCATCAGTGAAGTGGCCAACGAACCAGGAGCAGACTCTGAATTGCTTTCAACGTTCACGGCCACTCCTACCTTGACCACAAATATCAGACACGGTTTCGTGGAATGTCTAGACACGGACATTACCCTCGACGAAGACGTCGAATCGTCCGAAAAGCAATATACTGGCAATTGCAAGGAACGAATTTTGCTTCTTATGATGCAAAGCATCACGCGACCCACGCCGAATCTTTCTCACTATCTTCTGGGATTCAAAATAAATAAAAATATTCAGAAGACTATACTGCTGCAGCCCGGCTTCTTTGGATTCCCGCGAACGTGCTTGCACTCGATATTAGGAATTTTGGAACAATCTCTGGAACGTGGTCGTGACAAAATAACGGAAGCTTGCTACTGTTTCCTTCATACGTTAGCAGCGAACAATAAGGCGTCGGTTCCAGTCTTTAGATTTTTACGGAGCAACGCCAATCAAGATTTCGTTCAGAGACACCTTCTGAAATTGCCGTTCGAGGGTCAGAACACAGCGACGGAGCTCGGTTGCATGTCATGGTTGTTGAAAATAGCCGCGATCGAACTGCAAGTGATCAGCGGACGATTTCAGAGTTCTCTGGTCGAGAGGCTGATTGGAAAGTTCGACCAAGAACAAGGACAGACCGTGCCTTTGCAGAAGCTTCTGATGGATCTTCTGCATTACATCGATTTTCAACTTCAGCTGGAACCACCGTTGTCGTTAGATTTCTTCGATCCGTCGCAGATCGAGATGGTTTTAGGACGCTGTAGCATTCCGGTCACGTTGGTAGGAAGTCCTCGGCTCATTGACATCAGGAAACTGCATTCTCTTATCACCGAGGAGTTGGCCGTCACGCAGAGCAGCGCGACCGTGACTCAACGTAATCTTATGCAGCAGGAAGTGCAGAAAATTTTAATGCACGCATTGAAAAGGAACCAAACGAAATCGTTATCGTACGCCATGGTGAAGTTTGTCGAAGGTTGGTGTCAGACGACAGAGATATTCTTTTGCATCGCTACCAACCAGGTACTGCCCACGCCTCAAAAACAAAATCTACTGTTGAATTTGTCCCACGACCTGTTGCAGAAAATGACGTCTTGCGAGGCTTTGAACGAGATCAAAACCTTGGTGTCTGGCACCGTATTGATGCTGTTAGTGAATCTGCGAAACAGCTTCATCGCGCAAACGGACGGCGAATCGTTCCCGTCGTCGCCCTCGAACACAACAATGATGAAAATCATTCTGAGTCACATTTTGCAATGGATCTTGAACGCGGGCGCCTCGTCGCAGAAAGTCATTACCCATTTGTACGCGGCTTTGTTAAATTTCCTCTGCGTGGTCGGTTTGCAGAAGTCGGAAAGCGCGAACTTTATAGACTTCATGTACGTTAGCCAGCTGGACAGCACCGTGAACAGAATCATGCCCGTTCAAGAACGTTCGCATCGATATGCAACGATACAAGTTATAAACAGTTTCGGGAATAAGTTGATGGACATTTTGTGCCAAGATTGCTCGGGCGGCCATGACGTCTGCAAAATGCTGGCGTTGTCGTGTTTGGATAAAATCTTAGAATTGGATTACGACAACGCTTGGATAATCTACTTGGCCAGCAGGGGATACTTGAAACATATGATAGACAGTCTGTTGGAATCCGACAGCATGTTACGGTCCATGTTACAACCAGAGCCACAGACATTAAGGCCGTTGTACTTGTACGAGGCGAAAATGGCAACCTTTTGTAGAATAGCTTCCATGAGGCTCGGGGCTGAAAGTCTGTTAGAGAATAAGATCTTGTCGTTTCTATCGAGCATGGTCGTTTTTGATCACCATCCCGATGTTCATATGGGATTCGAAGGCGGTGACTACTCGTTTATACCCTCTATTGGTCAACGCTATCAACAAATCTTCCTACCAACTTTGTATCTTTGCGACGCCTTGCTTACCACTCTGGGAACGGAGAATCAATCGTGTGCCATACAAATTTGCGGGTTTCTACAAAGTCACAGGGACACGATTGAGATGATCTTGCGAAACGCCTCCTCGAAGACGAACACACTTTTCCTGAAAGAGGTTGCGTGTCTCACTGGTGTAATATCCAGATCTGCGAATATCGATATTTATAAATTGGTGGACGAAGAGTTGGAGAAATCGGATTACGACAACTGTAAATTAGAAAATTCCACTGGAATAAGAGAGCTTCGTGCGCACCTCTATCGATTGCAGAGACTGATGCTGTCGCTATTGGGTAAATTTAAGTTGCAACCAGCTCCGGTTCGCTTGAGCCACGAGCAAACGGACGCAAACCAACAACACATCTCTTCGGTGCAGATAGTCGCGAATGTTATGTTGTACACGCGTAATCAGATGCAACACAGCAGAATGGATCAAATGATATGGAATGTGCTGTTCGAGCCACACTTGACGACCCCGAAACTGGTAGGAAGGGAGGACAGGATGAATGATTCGACCGGTGGAATACACTTGGGAACAATTGCTGACCAACTTGTATCCGTGACGAAGTTATTGCACACCGAATTGCCACATATCGACACTCTGATAAAGAAGGTGGCCATTATAGGAGAAATGAGTACGACGGAATTGAAAGAGTACTTGTCCGAGGAAGAGGCGGAACTTGTTGTTCAGAAGCAACGAATTATAGTCGAGCAACGATTGAGTTGCTGGGTAAAAGAGAAACGACAAAACATTAAATATTGTTCTCTGATAATAGAACATGCTTTGTACATTCTTTGGAGTCACTGCGACTTTTACATACCGCAAGAAACACAACGGCATAGCCAAATGCAAGGTAATATACCTTTTTCGTTTTTATACAATTGATCAAAAATAATATACAGTCCTGAAAGTCTTGATATACCGCGCAGAAAAAGATTTAATTGTAGATTATTTTTAAAAAATGTCTAAACTATATGTCAGCAAGTACAATCAAGAAATTAATTTCCGTACATGTTTAGTTCAATTAGTTGTACTTATAATACTTATAATCGATAACGGTATTTAACTTTAAATTGTATATCGCAGTGAGATTTTATTTATTTTTTAATGTCTTCAACAGGTATAGACGAAGTATCGTGGAAAGTGTCATCGGAAACGAGAATGGAATTGAAACAAGGCCTCGTTTCTATATTTACAGATAGTTTTATTACACAATTATTAGACATGCACAATGAATACGCAACAGTGGATCATAGCTTTATCGAAGTTCTGGTTAGAAAAATTAAAAGACTACAACAGTTTATATTATGAGGCTATTATTCAAATGTTTGTATAAGAACATATTTTTTTACATGTCCGTCTACATTTATGACAGACTTCCGAAAATTCCACAAACAGTATTTATTATAAAAATTAACCTGGACTGATAGAACTATATAATTATCGAATATAATTTTGCAGTTATTCAGTCTTGTATATGTACAAGGTAATTCGGTCGAAAAAAATTATACAATTTTGTAGTATTTTGTTGAGCGTAATATGTACAAATATTCTTCCATAATAATGTTCTGTTATTATATTACTTGTGGTATCTATTATTAATAAATTAAATATTAAAATATTGATATTATACTCCTCTCATTAAATTAATGTATACAGCATGTTTATGGTCTATTTACAAGTTTGATATATAACAAAATAGCTTATAATAACATAACTCTTATGCTTTTAACTTGTTCAGGATGGGTGTTGTAAATTTATAGTGAACATATGTGTAAATGTATGATGCTCGTCTTGAAAGTGTTAAATGTTTCTAAGCAGTTATGATAGCCTCGTCCCATGGACCATAAATATTATCCTTATATGTCTGACATCGTACGTACCAACACGGACAAATAAAATGTAAAAATACTATGGACACAATAAAGACGTAAGAAATCGTTAACGAAATAAACAAAAGAAAGTATAAAGTACTGAATGTTAAAACAGTTGAAATAAGTATTTTGTTACTTAACTTATACATTACAAATGGTAATAAAACGAAACATTGTACAGCGACTGTGAGAAGAGAAAAAGCATGCAACGGGGATGCTAATCTGGATGCTAACATTAACGAACCAAAAATTGAAGAGGTTATGGACAAAGAGTCTGATAAAGAAATCTGTAGAGATCCGTACTTACTAAATATTAAATGAGTTAAAAACATTAAGATCGTCATAGCATAAATTGTGTCCGTACTAATGGTTTCGGTCAAAGTCTTTAAAACAGGTGATAAAATATAACCAAATGTGAGAAATATTAACGCGGTTCTAAAATCTTTTGTTAATTTTGTGAAAGTATTTTGTTCTTTTAAACAATATACGAAGTAACCAAACATCGTTAAAATTATGCTCGATACAAGGATGATATTAGGACTGGCCCATTCTTTGTTTAACCAGATAAATATAATAACAAAAAGAATTACAATGTTTAATTGAATACATATGCTGGCTCCAAATATTACTGCTTCCGTTAATGTTACGTTATTTGGATTTATATTCTTGCGTAACTGTTCCAAGAACGAGCTATCCGTATAATTGTCCGGCAAGCCATAATTTTCATACAGCTTTTTCTGCCATTGCGACCCCAATGCCATGATATGTTTTGTACTTGACAATTAGTAAAATTTCAATGATGTTCTAAGTACGTGCACAATTTTGATATACAATATATAAAAAAACTTCCTTTATCGATTAAATACGATTGTTGGAACTGTAAATAACATACAGAGTACTGTAAAATATGTAAATAAACATTCGTAATATGATATTACTTTACCTATAGATATATGTATAAATCTCGAACATTCTTATTCTTACAAATATCTAACATCGAATCTTGAACATTTAATTTTAATATTTTAAGTGTTATAACTAAACGGTGATTAGTTTTCTCTGCATTATACGTGTCTTAACTTGTAATTAATGGTTTATGCTCGTCCGACATACGACATAAACTGAACAGAAAAACTAAAAATTTGAATTGATTTTGAATTATATTTTGTTATAATCCTACATTTTTAGACACTGAAATCAGTAAAACCTTATAAATATGCATCTTTTTTAGAAAAGACGATCTTAAATAAACTTTCCAGAATCGAAGTAATTGAGAGAGATCTGCTGGAGATTTTTATGTATCAAAATGATTGAATTGTAAAATATAACCCTAAAATGAAATTTCTTGAATTTAATCTAATTCATCGATAAAGTTCAATTCGTGATACGAATGATATGATATCTTCGTCGTTATTTGTCGTCACATAACCAACAAATGTGCAGCCATACTGTTCGTTCCGTTGCATTTCAATGCTGTAAAAAAAAAGTGCGTGGCAAAAATATGGCTGAAATTTGGAACAACTGAAATATATATGCTACGTTTTAAACACAATACTTCACTTTCTTCTTTGAAATTATCATTTACGAAGAACCAATGCGCGGTATACATGTTATTTGAACGTTGATCGTTTCCGTATACATAAATATGCTTAGATAAATAAATTATAGAATTGTTTTTTAAATATTTCTTATATTTAAGCTATTCTTATTTCATACACTTGTTCATGTAATGTTTTCAGCAACGTGAGCATTGCGGTTCTATTATTTTGATGTTTGAAAACAATGTAACTTTTTCATCAGATGGAATAAATGTAGCAATAATACACGTGCACATGGTAATAAGGTTCAATAACCAACATTTTGACTCTGGTTACAAGATCTATTCATGGATTAAAATATTACTAAAATGAGAATAATCAACTCTATGTATTTATATACGTTAGCATTATGCTATTCATTGTACTAAATTTTTATGTTGTACTTATATATTGAGTTTCATTTAGTAATGTAATTATTATGTTGTACTTAGCCATACCAATTTTATATCTGATTTCATTGCATTGTATGGCTTTCATATTGTACTATACAATATATTTAACACAGAATGTTTATACGAGTAATGTTCGATACTAATTTTCTACAAAAAGTAAAGTTGATCTTCTACAAACATAAAAACATTGGCTAACAAACCATTTGCAGGTGTATTATTGTTATGTTTTTTTCTACCTGGCAATTTTAATTTACTTATTGAATTTTTTTGTAATTTTGTCATTTATGAGATATTTATTTGGACATTTATGGAAATATCTCGTATAACTGTTCCACTTGTGCTCTTAAGTTACGTATTACCTTCTGTATAATTATATTTTTTTTATTGCAGAGTGTTACTGGCAGAAAATTCTAAAGCAACATGCAGAAATTTAGACGAGCTCAAGTACAAAATAAAATAGCTATTAAGAAACATTTGGAAGCTAATGTTTATTTAGAATCATCAAGCGAGGATGAAAACGACACAAACGAAGAGAATATAGAAGATGTAATTGGCAAAGTGTTATCTGCCTACCAAGGAAGAGGAGAGGATGCAGAAAAGATTTTATCATATTTAATAAATATTTTTCAATCTGGTAGTGCTGTTTGCTTAATATGTATTTCGACTGTAAAGAGAGCAGACGCGGTATGGCAAATTTGTATTAGTTCAGAGTTTACATTTTTAGCTTAAAATGCGGTTTAAGATGTGTTCTAAATAATGAATGTAAATGTTGAATGTTTCAGATCTGGAATTGCAACAAGTGTTTTGCTTTTTTACATTTATCTTGCATTCTACATTGGATACAAGATAGTTTGAGCGTTAAACGTAAAAAAGGTATTACACCAGTCTGGGCATGGTAAGTAACACTATAAAGAAAAAGAAAGAGATAATTACAGAGATAAACAACTTTCGATCCGATATTCGTTTGATAAAGATAAAATTTTGTCTGTGCCTCCTAAATTGTATACCTATGTTTTTTAAACTTCACTTTTTCGTGGACCTGGGTTTCAAGAGGGGAATACAATTATCTGCCAACCTGAATTTGAGAAGTACTGTTCTATATAATTTAAGTGTTGTACTACTGACTGTATTAAAAAATTTTGTTCTAGCCCAAAATGTCGCATGGAATACGAGCATGATGAAATTCCTCGTGCCTACAAATGTTTCTGTAAAAAGGTCATAGACCCTGCATTTCAACCATGGAATATTCCACATTCTTGCGGAGATATCTGTGGCAAGCCCTTGAAACCAGAATGTGGTCACAAATGTGTTTTGCTTTGCCATCCTGGCCCGTGTCCACCGTGCGCGAAAACGGTGTCGTTTAAATGTTTTTGTGGCAAACAATCGCCTCAGCTGCGACGATGTAACGCCAAGGAATGGAGTTGTAACACCTTGTGCAATAAAAAATATGAGTCTTGTTCGCATAATTGCAAGGAAGTGTGTCATGCAGGGAAGTGTCCCCCTTGTCCGGAAACATTATTGCTCGAGTGTCATTGTAAGAGCAACACGGATATAAGACAATGTTCCGAGGGTGCGTGGATTTGCGAGAAACCATGTCGCAGACCTTTATCTTGCAACGTTCACGTTTGCCAGAGCACATGTCATTTACCCGGTGACTGCGAGGCTTGTCCTTTGGAAAAGAACAGAACGTGTCCTTGCGGGAAAAAGCGTTACGTTGTTTCCTGCAGACAGGAAAAGTTACCCACGTGCGGGGACACGTGTGGTAAATTGTTGGATTGCAGTTCGCACTTTTGTAACATGAGGTGTCACACAGATCGGTGTGGACAATGCTTGGAGGTGGTCACAAAATCGTGTCGATGTGGCAGTTATCAAAAGGAGATTGCTTGCGGTAAAGAATTTCATTGCAATAAGAAATGTACCCAAGTACGTCTCTGTGGGAGACACTTGTGCAACAGAAAATGTTGCGACTGTTTGGCCAAAAACACGTCCAACGTATGTGAAAAGGTATGCGAGAACACTTTAAATTGTCGTAAACATAAATGTTCTGCTCCCTGCCACAGTGGTCCATGTTATCCGTGCGAACGTACCGACGTTATTCAGTGCAAATGCGGATACAACAAAATTACGGTACCGTGTGGCGTTACGAAAAAAATAAAACCCCCACCGTGCAATAAGCCGTGTAAAATACCGCCGATTTGTCATCATCTGAAAAGAGAAACGCATAAGTGTCATCAAGGTCCGTGTCCACCTTGTAAAAAGGTTTGCGATTTGGTGTACAAACGGTGCGGCCATTCTTGCGTTGCTGTTTGTCATACGAAAGTGTGGGTACAGGTGAACAAGAACGACATGAAAGCTCGACCCACGGGACCATGGGATATACAGAAAGAGATCATGCAGCTGAAGACACTGCCTTGTCCACCATGCGAAGTATCAGTACCGGTTACATGTTTGGGAGGCCATGAGACGCGCCCGTGGCCTTGTCACATGGCCAAACCCACCTCTTGTGGAAGACTCTGCGGAAGAACGTTACCTTGTTCAAATCATACTTGTGAATTAATTTGCCACAAAGTACCGTCCGCCATGGATGATAAGGATAATACTGCGTGCATGGAATGCGAACAGCCATGTGTATTTTCTCGGCCGCAAGGCTGTACACATTTGTGTCCAAAACCATGTCATCCCGCGCCATGTAATCCTTGCAAACAATTAGTTAAAATTTTATGTCATTGTGGCATAAGCACGCTGTATCGAAGATGCGTCCAACTAACATCGGCAACGATAGAGCAACGTGACGAATTGCTCAAATGTGGAAATCAGTGCCCTAAAAATGTAATTGAACCGTTTGAACAACTATTGTATTTGCAAACATGTTCAACGTTAATTCTATTTACTATTATTGGATAATCAATTTTTGTTGCAGTACCCTTGTGGACATCGATGCATCGCCGACTGTCACCCTGGTCCGTGCAAGAACGGAAACGAGTGCAACAAGAAAGTGAAATTATTCTGTTCGTGCAAACGTATAAAGAGAGACATAATCTGCTCGACGGTACAGAAGCAGCAAATTCATATACAATGCGACGACATTTGTAAAAAGTTAAAGAACGAGAGAAGCCAAGCAGAGGCTGTTTTACTGGAGCAAAAACGTCAGGCCGAAGAAATACGCAATCAGGAGGAAATCGAAAAGTTCGAACGGAAATTCAAACCACGTCGCAAGGGAAAGGACAAGTTCGATAAGAAACAGTTACAGAGAGAAACAAGTAACAACTATTGGAAATATTGGATTTTAACAATTTTAATCTGTATAATAGCTATAGGAATATTTTATGCGTGTGTACAAGAGTCGTGAACAATTTTTCGAAATCGCTTACATAGGCTAATAAGCATAACGTTGTTACAAAACTTTTTTCACAATCCGACTTGACAAATTCATTTCTACGTTTTGTTTATTCCGTTTTAATTTAATCCGTTCAGTATAGAGAAGTACTAAACGTATTTTAATATATTTTTGTAATCTTCGCAAGAAATTTTATGAAAATGTATCATTATTATTTTATGCAATTTGTGCCATAGAATTAAAAAACAGTCCAAAGAATTTTATTTTAATATTAAATGGTTGTACGAATATATTTTACAAAATACATCATACAAATTTTTGTTATTCGATTGTCCGTCAAATTTTTCGCGACAGAACAGACGAGATATACAATATCGCTCATAAGCATTCGAACGATCTTTAAAGTTGGGAAAAATACTGGTTTGTTGATATTTACTTTTTACATTTTCAAAATTTTGTATTTACACTATTATGATTATCAGCCCGCCATTTTCTTCGTGGGCTCAGAAACGTAACTAACTTCAGTTCAAATCACACATGCCAGATACGCGTACGTGAGCTCGTGGAGTTTCGGAAAGTCGACAAAGGCAAACTGACGCATGCCCTCTTTCTCGATTCTCCGAAGCTGCCCGAAGTAATTTCGGATCGCCTCGTGGGAGTCGAGAGAGAAAGGCTCACATTTGCCTTCTCGCTCTAAACAACTGAAATCCGACCTCCCGTCAACGGCATACGATTTGGATTCTCGAGCCGAGATTCTCGACTGCCCAGGCATTTTTACTTTCCGACCTATGTAGGCGCACATAAGCAAAGTACCCATAATGAAAAAAAATGTTGTAAAATTTATTTTACGGAAATACACGTTTTAAGACCTCCTGATCATATTTTAATTATTGAAAAAAAAGACATTTTTTTTTATTCCCATGTATGAGCACACATATGTATATTATTAATACGATTGAATATAAATAGCTGAATGAATTTAAATGAAATTTTACATTTAAGTTTTATGTTCTCATTTCAAAGGCGTGTGGACGGATTCAAATACGTGAACACTAAACGGAACGATGTAATTATATTACTTAATATTTACTAACTATTTAACATAAAGAACATAAAAGAAAGACATAAAACGTAAACGTAAAAGATCATAAACGTAAAACTGTGATTGCTCTCGACTAACGTTCGATACAGAGTGACATTCCTGCAGTCAAAGTCGACCCTTCCTTATTCCTATCTTATAATAATGATCTAAACAAAACGCACGTTCGAGACGCAGTCTCTAAAACGTATTTCAGCTTAAACCTAAACACCTCACTCGATACCTACTCTAGCTTAGACTAAACACTGCTATCGACGCAAACGATAACGGTTCTCCTAGCCACACACATACACTCCTTACAGATTATACCTCTTGTTTCATAGTTGTTCCGATATATAGGCATAATGTATAAAAAATCTTTTAAATGTTTCATATAAATCTTAGGACGAATTAAATTTTATATAAAAAAAATTATATAAACTTTTTCTCTATCTTCTCTAGAAAAGAAAACATTAAATGAAATCTTATACATTACATGCTTACTTAAATCGCATTGAAAACGAATACCACAAATGTTTTAGAATAATGTGCAAAATGTGATTGCGATTTTCGCTAAGACAAATTGAAAACTCGTTTCTAACAAGGAAAAGTTGGAATGGTACCAGGTTTTGGGTTAGGTTTTACTTTGAGATATTATTAAAGTTATTACAGATACTTATTTTCAGAAATAGAACTATGTTCACCACTAATCAGCGTGGCGTGAGTGATGAGGTCTTTGCCTGCAAGTTCCGAACTTGTTCTGCTCTGCTGGTTCGAACCCTGCTTGAACTTTTTTTTTTTATTTTTTCAATCATACTTTAAGCGTACACTAAATATGACATTATATTTTTGTCTGACCTTCGAATATTTTTTTTTAAAGTTAAATTTAACCGATTACATTTAACATATGTTATTTTCAATGTACGAAGTACATGAATCTGGATGGTACTTTTCACAAAAACAGTCAAAACATAAAAATTTCAAGCACCACGTACATTTACTGAAAGTTTTGTTTTCACAGAAATTACAAAATTTTGTATTTAACTCTGATGGAAAGGCCGCTTCATTTACATTGATAAAATGTGAACGATTTTCGGATAGTCGTACCTTGTAGCTCGTACTTTTTACCTTATACTTCAGGTAAAAAGGGATATAGCTGGGAAAAACAGTTTTATGACATTACCTGCTAACTTATGTTACTGTTCTACAATGAAACGCTATGTTTTGTACCTTTAAAAATATTCGACTATGTCCTTTTAAAATTTAAGATACAACCCATACTTTGTATTAAACTGGCAAACGGGATCACTTTTCCTTTGTTTCTAGTTAGTTCTATTTAGTTCGTCATAACCAATTGATACGGTTATTTCAAAACAATCGAGGAAAATCATTATTAATTAATTTCTGCAATTATTAATTCTACTGTTTTGTTTATGTTATAAAAGTAAGAACTCTTCTTATTGAAAAATACCACAGCGTGCACAATACTGGTAAAGAGTGGAATCTCATTTTAATTTATTAATTTTCAATCTTAAAGTATTTTGATTTTCAAAAATCGTATTAATAATATACATATGTGTGCTCATACATGGGAATAAAAAAAAATTTCTTTTTTTTCAATAATTAAAATATGATCAGGAGGTCTTAAAACGTGTATTTCCGTAAAATAAATTTTACAAAATTTTTTTTCATTATGGGTACTTTGCTTATGTGCGCCTACATAGGTCGGAAAGTAAAAATGCCTGGGCAGTCGAGAATCTCGGCTCGAGAATCCAAATCGTATGCCGTTGACGGGAGGTCGGATTTCAGTTGTTTAGAGCGAGAAGGCAAATGTGAGCCTTTCTCTCTCGACTCCCACGAGGCGATCCGAAATTACTTCGGGCAGCTTCGGAGAATCGAGAAAGAGGGCATGCGTCAGTTTGCCTTTGTCGACTTTCCGAAACTCCACGAGCTCACGTACGCGTATCTGGCATGTGTGCGTGTGCACCCGGCGGTGCTTTTCTGGCATCTCTGGTTAAATGTTAACTATTGAAAAACCTGTGCTTGAAGTAATTTCGGATCGCCTCGTGGGAGTCGAGAGAGAAAGGCTCACATTTGCCTTCTCGCTCTAAACAACTGAAATCCGACCTCCCGTCAACGGCATACGATTTGGATTCTCGAGCCGAGATTCTCGACTGCCCACTCCAGGCATTTTTACTTTCCGACCTATGTAGGCGCACATAAGCAAAGTACCCATAATGAAAAAAAAATGTTGTAAAATTTATTTTACAGAAATACACGTTTTAAGACCTCCTGATCATATTTTAATTATTGAAAAAAAAGACATTTTTTTTTATTCCCATGTATGAGCACACATATGTATATTATTAATACGATTTTTGAAAATCAAAATACTTTAAGATTGAAAATTAATAAATTAAAATGAGATTCCCCTCTTTACCAGTATTGTACACGCTGTGGTATTTTTCAATAAGAAGAGTACTTACTTTTATAACATAAACAAAACAGTAGAATTAATAATTGCAGAAATTAATTAATAATGATTTTCCTCGATTGTTTTGAAATAACCGTATCAATTGGTTATGACGAACTAAATAGAACTAACTAGAAACAAAGGAAAAGTGATCCCGTTTGCCAGTTTAATACAAAGTATAGGTTGTATCTTAAATTTTAAAAGGACATAGTCGAATATTTTTAAAGGTACAAAACATAGCGTTTCATTGTAGAACAGTAACATAAGTTAGCAGGTAATGTCATAAAACTGTTTTTTCCCAGCTAATATCCCTTTTTACCTGAAGTATAAGGTAAAAAGTACGAGCTACAAGGTACGACTATCCGAAAATCGTTCACATTTTATCAATGTAAATGAAGCGGCCTTTCCATCAGAGTTAAATACAAAATTTTGTAATTTCTGTGAAAACAAAACTTTCAGTAAATGTACGTGGTGCTTGAAATTTTTATGTTTTGACTGTTTTTGTGAAAAGTACCATCCAGATTCATGTACTTCGTACATTGAAAATAACATATGTTAAATGTAATCGGTTAAATTTAACTTTAAAAAAAAATATTCGAAGGTCAGACAAAATATAATGTCACATTTAGTGTACGATTAAAATATGATTGAAAAAATAAAAAAAAAGGATTTGTTTTGGCAGGGTTTGAACCTGCAGAGCAGAAGAAGTTCGGAACTTGCAGGCAAAGACCTCATCACTCACGCCACGCTGATCAGTGGTGAACATAGTTCTATTTCTGAAAATAAGTACCTGTAATAACTTTAATAATATCTCAAAGTAAAACCTAACCCAAAACCTGGTACCATTCCAATTTTTCCTTGTTAGAAACGAGTTTTCAATTTGTCTTAGCGAAAATCGCAATCACATTTTGCACATTATTCTAAAACATTTGTGGTATTCGTTTTCAATGCGATTTAAGTAAGCATGTAATGTATAAGATTTCATTTAATGTTTTCTTTTCTAGAGAAGATAGAGAAAAAGTTTATATAATTTTTTTCATATAAAATTTAATTCGTCCTAAGATTTATATGAAACATTTAAAAGATTTTTTATACATTATGCCTATATATCGGAACAACTATGAAACAAGAGGTATAATCTGTAAGGAGTGTATGTGTGTGGCTAGGAGAACCGTTATCGTTTGCGTCGATAGGAGTGTTTAGTCTAACAAGGGGAGGTCATACCCTGTCAACCTGGGATTTCAACCAAATTTGGCAGAGTTGTTGGGGCTGATGTCCAAACGCATTCTGTAAAATACTAGACGTTTATGGCCAGCCATTTTGTTAAAAAATGGCATTAAAGTTTAAGATTTCGAAGTTGTCGGATCGACGTTTTTTTTTTTTTTAATTGTAGGTCTCGAAGAGGGGAACACAAAAGTCCAATACATTTTTGCCGTAACATCAATAGTTTAAACAAAAATTTGAGTTTTTGTGACGGGATAAATGCATATGTACCGTGTAGTTGGAGCGTATTTTCAACAGTCATGGTAGCCGTGGAGTTAGCGTCGAGGAATTCGGGTTGGAAGACTGGGGTTCGTGTCCCCGGAACTAGAACATTTTGTTTTTTTTCTTTTCTTCGCTTATTTTTGAATTTTTATTTATTTTTAATTTTAATTTTTAATATCATGGAAAAAGATGGCTGTTACAAATAAATAAAATACTATTATGGTTATAAATGTTTATTTTCACACATACTTACAAACATATTCTCATATATATTTACATCTCACGTATAAATAAATACAAAAATTAGATATTTATTTCATACGGGTTTCGCAATGCATTGTATGATTTTTATCATAAAAACAGGAAAAACATAATGGTTTCATACACCAAGTGCATGTTATAAATGCTTGTTCTGTACAGCATTTTTTATTTCTTAGGTCGTGTGGAAAACATACTTGATTCACGTTACAAAAGATTTCTTTTTTATGATTCGGAGGGGTGAGTTTAGACGCATACCATGCATATTTAATCATGTCGGTAAAAATTGGAGCAGATAATTGATAATGGATTATGGAATGTAATTTTATTATATCCTGTCTATTGGTTAATTCTCTGTTTTCGCGGATTAATGTTAGGGCGTTTTGGAGTCTTGAAAGAAAGTTCTTAACCTGTCTAAAAAAATACACGTCACACGGTTGGCAAATGGGTGTACATTTTGGTGGTATCACTTTTAACGTGCAGGTAGCCATATTTTTATCTTCCGGATCATAAAAGATCCTGTCATATAATGCTGGATTTGTTTGTCCACCCCACGAATCGATGACTAATAAGAATTTATTTGCTTTTACGTAAGGTTTTAATATATTTTCCAAAAATAATTGATAGGTATCAGATTGCAATTTCCCTGACTTTGTGCAAGTGACATGTACATTGCCTAATTCCTCTTCTTGTTTTCGAACATCTACTGCTACCCGTGGTCCAAAAAATGCTGTACAGAACAAGCATTTATAACATGCGCGTGGTGTATGAAACCATTATGTTTTTCCTGTTTTTATGATAAAAATCATACAATGCATTGCGAAACCCGTATGAAATAAATATCTAATTTTTGTATTTATTTATACGTGAGATGTAAATATATATGAGAATATGTTTGTAAGTATGTGTGAAAATAAACATTTATAACCATAATAGTATTTTATTTATTTGTAACAGCCATCTTTTTCCATGATATTAAAAATTAAAATTAAAAATAAATAAAAATTCAAAAATAAGCGAAGAAAAGAAAAAAAACAAAATGTTCTAGTTCCGGGGACACGAACCCCAGTCTTCCAACCCGAATTCCTCGACGCTAACTCCACGGCTACCATGACTGTTGAAAATACGCTCCAACTATACGGTACATATGCATTTATCCCGTCACAAAAACTCAAATTTTTGTTTAAACTATTGATGTTACGGCAAAAATGAATTGGACTTTTGTGTTCCCCTCTTCGAGACCTACAATTTAAAAAAAGAAAAACGTCGATCCGACAACTTCGAAATCTTAAACTTTAATGCCATTTTTTAACAAAATGGCTGGTCATAAACGTCTAGTATTTTACAGAATGCGTTTGGACATCAGCCCCAACAACTCTGCTAAATTTGATTGAAATCCCAGGTTGACAGGGTATGACCTCCCCTTGTAAGCTAGAGTAGGTATCGAGTGAGGTGTTTAGGTTTAAGCTGAAATACGTTTTAGAGACTGCGTCTCGAACGTGCGTTTTGTTTAGATCATTATTATAAGATAGGAATAAGGAAGGGTCGACTTTGACTGCAGGAACGTCACTCTGTATCGAACGTTAGTCGAGAGCAATCACAGTTTTACGTTTACGTTTTATGTCTTTCTTTTATGTTCTTTATGTTAAATAGTTAGTAAATATTAAATAATATAATTACATCGTTACGTTTAGTGTTCACGTATTTGAATCCGTCCACACGCCTTTGAAATGAGAACATAAAATTTAAATGTAAAATTTCATTTAAATTCATTCAGCTATTTATATTCAATCGTATTAATAATATACATATGTGTGCTCATACATGGGAATAAAAAAAAATGTCTTTTTTTTCAATAATTAAAATATGATCAGGAGGTCTTAAAACGTGTATTTCCGTAAAATAAATTTTACAAAATTTTTTTTTCATTATGGGTACTTTGCTTATGTGCGCCTACATAGGTCGGAAAGTAAAAATGCCTGGGCAGTCGAGAATCTCGGCTCGAGAATCCAAATCGTATGCCGTTGACGGGAGGTCGGATTTCAGTTGTTTAGAGCGAGAAGGCAAATGTGAGCCTTTCTCTCTCGACTCCCACGAGGCGATCCGAAATTACTTCGGGCGGCTTCGGAGAATCGAGAAAGAGGGCATGCGTCAGTTTGCCTTTGTCGACTTTCCGAAACTCCACGAGCTCACGTACGCGTATCTGGCATGTGTGCGTGTGCACCCGGCGGTGCTTTTCTGGCATCTCTGCATTTAACCATGTGTTACGTCGGGATTCCGTCGGCATTGGCAAAATAATTTCCCTAGACTGCTGCATTTTCTTTACACGTGTATTATAACAAAAAAAGATTGAAGATTAATTTTCGCCACGGTCTTATTCTTTTTTGAGTCAATAACATCATATGTGAGACGAAAATGCATTAAATGATAAGTATATTCTGTGCTTAATCTGTGGTTCTATATTTTATCGAAGAGGTCGCCACGTATATTTTAATGGAGATTTATGAGATGTTAGGTCTATCGTATAATTTGTCCGTGACTCAAATAGAGTTGTTTGGGAGTTTGGGAGTTGTTGTTGGTGAACATTGGCGAAGTTTATTCTTTGAGAGAGATTTTGTCTCTCTATTAACTCTGGTGTGTTGACAGTAAATAAAGATGTCAGTCCCATCAGTTTCGTTATCAACCAGAAACAAAAAGCATTTCTTGGGTGTACCGGCACCTTTGGGATACGTTGCGGGTGTTGGAAGAGGGTAATACAGACAAAACAATATTCTTTAATTAATCTAACCTCCTTTCATAATGCATAACACATTAATTTATCGATGTTTAGAGCTACTGGATTCACAACCAGATCTGATATTGGTCCAGCTCGAGATGCTAATGATGTATCGTAAGTATTTGATGTAATGTAATAATGTAATAGTATGTATAATCATCCATATATTTAGTCAAAATTACCTGTCTCTTTCAATACTTTGCTCATAGGGATGACAGACATGCTCCACCTACAAAACGAACAAAAAAGAAGGAAGAAGAAGAAGAAGACGAAGAGGATTTAAACGACTCGAATTACGATGAATTTTCTGGATATGGAGGGTCGCTTTTTAGTAAAGTAAAATAGAAGTTATTCAAGAAATTAACTTTTTATATTGCTTAAACCTTCTTATTCGATGCATGAATTTTCTATTTTATCTAATAAGGTGTACTTTCTACATCTTTATGATGAACGTCCAACGGACTAGTCGTCACGCTTTAAACAATTTAATTCTTCGCAGGATCCATATGATAAAGACGACGAAGAAGCTGATGCCATTTATGAAGCTATCGACAAGCGAATGGATGAAAAACGCAAAGAGTATAGGGAAAAGAGGCTCAGAGAAGAACTAGAAAGGTATCGTCAAGAACGTCCTAAAATTCAACAGCAGTTTTCAGACTTGAAACGAGAATTGGTAAATGTAACCGAGGAAGAATGGAAAAATGTTCCAGAGGTAGGCGACGCTAGAAACCGGAAACAACGGAATCCGCGGGCTGAAAAGTTCACGCCATTGCCGGATTCTGTGCTCGCAAGAAACTTAGGGGGTGAAACATCCACCAGTATTGACCCATCGAGCGGTCTAGCATCTATGATGCCCGGTGTAGCGACTCCCGGAATGTTGACTCCTACAGGAGATCTAGATCTAAGGAAAATTGGACAGGCTAGAAACACTCTAATGAATGTTAAGCTGAACCAAGTTTCTGATTCCGTGGAAGGACAAACTGTTGTCGATCCAAAGGGTTATCTTACCGATCTGCAAAGTATGATTCCGACGTACGGTGGCGATATCAAGTAAGTTTACAAATAAGTGTTATATCGATAAAGTTTCTCTAAAAATTAAAAAATTCATAAATATTTTCATTTTGTTACAGCGACATCAAAAAAGCTAGATTGTTGTTGAAGTCTGTAAGAGAAACGAATCCCAATCATCCACCAGCATGGATCGCATCGGCCCGTTTAGAAGAAGTCACAGGGAAAGTACAAGCTGCGCGAAATTTAATAATGAAAGGGTGCGAGGTGAATCCTACGTCGGAAGACTTATGGCTGGAAGCAGCTAGACTTCAACCACCGGATACGGCTAAAGCGGTAATTGCACAATCAGTGCGACATATACCAACGTCTGTTCGAATCTGGATAAAGGCGGCCGATTTAGAGATGGAAACAAAAGCGAAAAGAAGGGTTTATCGCAAAGCGTTGGAGCATATTCCAAACTCGGTGAGATTATGGAAAGCGGCAGTTGAGTTGGAGGAACCGGAAGATGCGCGCATTTTGCTTAGCCGAGCGGTTGAGTGTTGCCCAACCAGCGTAGATCTATGGCTTGCTCTCGCTAGATTAGAGACCTACGACAATGCAAGAAAAGTGCTTAACAAGGCAAGAGAGAACATTCCAACCGATAGGCAAATCTGGACTACCGCAGCAAAATTGGAAGAGGCAAATGGAAATAAACACATGGTGGAAAAAATCATTGATCGTGCGATATCCTCGTTGAGCGCAAACGGAGTTGAAATCAACAGGGAACACTGGTTCAAAGAAGCTATGGAGGCGGAGAAGGCTGGCGCAGTTCATACGTGTCAAGTCATCGTTAAAGCAATCATTGGTTTTGGCGTAGAAGAAGAAGATAGGAAACATACGTGGATGGAGGATGCGGAAGCTGTAAAATCGATATTATTTATAATCTATAGTTGTATTTAATTTGACAAAAATAATAATTTATTTGCTTAATTTATTTCAGTGTGCCCAACAAGGAGCTTTGGAGTGTGCCAGGGCTGTCTATGCTTATGCATTATCAACGTTTCCTAGTAAAAAATCAATTTGGCTACGCGCTGCGTATTTCGAGAAAACTTATGGAACACGAGAATCTTTGGAATCTTTGCTCCAAAGAGCAGTTGCCCACTGTCCCAAAAGCGAAGTACTTTGGCTCATGGGTGCAAAATCTAAGTGGTTGGCTGTAAGTAGAATTAGTAGAACTTAAATTACGTGTTAATATTTTATACGGTTTATGTTTAAATGTGCTATTTCTTTTTTTTACAGGGTGACGTTCCAGCTGCCAGAGGTATTCTGTCACTCGCATTTCAAGCAAATCCTAATTCGGAGGAGATTTGGTTAGCGGCCGTAAAGCTAGAATCCGAAAATTCCGAATATGAGAGAGCTCGACGGTTACTTGCGAAAGCGAGAGCGTCTGCACCAACTCCTAGAGTGATGATGAAAAGCGCGAAATTAGAATGGGCTTTGAACAATCTTGACGCAGCGTTACTCCTTCTGAAAGAGGCTCTGGAGGCGTTCGACGATTTTCCTAAGTTATGGTTAATGAAGGGACAAATTGAAGAACAACAAGGAAATTTGGATAAAGCTCTAGACACGTACAATCAAGCTGTAAGTATTCTTTTGCAGTTAAGTTAAATTCAATCGTTGTTCATGGATTTTTGTCCGCCTCGCAGATCAAGAAATGTCCAACTTCGATTCCACTGTGGCGTTTATTGGCACAACTAGAACACAGGAAAGGCCAAGTTACCAAAGCTCGATCGGTTTTGGAAAAAGCGCGTTTAAAAAATCCGAGGAATGCTGAACTCTGGTTAGAGGCTATCAGAAACGAATTGAAAAGTGGTGGTGTTAGGGACATGGCTAATACGCTCATGGCGAAAGCGTTGCAAGAATGTCCTACGTCGGGTTTACTTTGGGCGGAAGCAATCTTTATGGAACCACGGCCACAAAGGAAGACTAAAAGCGTTGATGCTTTGAAGAAATGCGAACACGATCCTCACGTGCTTCTCGCGGTATCAAAGTTAGTATATAAATGGTTTTTTCATCAATTTAGACATAGGGTAAATATTTACTTTAGGAGACACCACTGACTTCAGTGAATGGTCAAAAGACACCTTTGGTAGAAATAATATATTATATATTCTATATCAGCATTTGATGCCACAATATCGTATCAATCTCGAAGTGGTTAATAGGGGTAATGGTGAAAAAAAATATACATTACATGTTCCAGATTGTTTTGGTGTGAACATAAAATTACGAAGTGTAGAGACTGGTTCAACAGAACGGTGAAAATAGATCCAGATTTAGGAGATGCATGGGCATATTTCTACAAGTTTGAACTTTTAAATGGAACAGAAGAGCAACAAGAAGACGTGAAGAAACGATGCATTGCCGCCGAACCTCATCATGGTGAAAACTGGTGTAAAGTATCCAAGAATATAGTGAATTGGTGTTTGAATACAGATCAGATCCTAATATTGGTAGCAAAAGATCTACCAATTCCAATATAATATTTGAGTTGACGAGTATGCACTGTATATATTTTTTAAGAGTTTATGTACGATAGTAAAATAAACATTCTTGTATATATGTTGAGATAAAAATTATTTATAATGGTTGCAAACTGGAATAAAAAAAGTAACGGTATTGCAACCACAGACTAGGTATACTAGTAGATCTTTCACCTTATGGGCTTTCGTGGCCCAATCTGACTGTCATACCGAGGTTCGGTACCGAGCTGAAAATTCTGAGGTGATTTTAGCGTCCTCCTCTCATGGATGGCGATCAGTTGAAAAACTATTCACTGAATTAGTATTGATGAGCAGCAGCTGCAGTGTGTGTGTAAGGTAACGTTGCGAATGACACGAAAATAGTAATGGGGTTTCGAGACCCCTTAAAGATGGGCCAAAAAAATCCATTGGGTGAAAGATCTACCCGTATACGTAGTCTGTGGTGGTAAAAACTAACCTAGTGAAGAAGCTTTATATTTATGATGACCTATGTAAGGCGGATCGCAGCCAATTTGCTAATATTGTTTAGTTTTTAATTAATATTTGCATTACCCAGCTAAGAGTGACACGATTATTAATTAAACGCTAAATAATATTAACCAGGTCTCACCACGTAGGGGTTGCTGCGAGTGAAGACCCAAAGGGAGATGGATCAGATGAATGGACTCCAAGTTCCATCGATCTCCCTTTCGCAATTTTACAATCTGAATGACTAAACTAAAAAGATAGAAGGAACCGAAGCCCCTTCGATTTTCTAGTTTAATTGTGCCAAGTAATTATTTGGTTTAAACGACGGCGGGAGGATGACTAGTGGCCACACTGGTTCGTCGTTTCTAGTGTCGACGTCGATGCACTCAATTATGCCAAATCTAGTCACACTGCGTGCACAAACTTCGACTTTTATGTTTTCTTACGTATGGTGAGGTTAATATATAAACATATGTAGTAGAAATGTGCTGTACTTAATATAATATATGAACGTGTTTTATGTGCAGTAAAATTTTGTTGTTGATAGACATAATCACAAACGAAAGTTCTTTTACTAGTGTGTCAATGTTATGTAAATGTAAAACAAAATGTTAGCATCCTCGACAGAGCACTTAGTCAATTTGAAAAAACCCATGACAGATGCTGTAAAATCACCGTTAATTTTCGAAATATTTTATGAATGTCAAACGACAAAAGCTAGAGCAGGAAGAATGACTCTCGTTCATTACCCCGTGGATACGCCGGTATTTATGCCAGTAGGAACACAAGTAAGTTAAACTGTAAAATATTTATTTAACACTATTCTATTGTTAATGCTAATATTCTAGGGTACTTTAAAAGGCTTACTTCCTCAACAATTAGAACAATTGAACTGCCAAATTATTCTTGCAAATACTTATCACCTTGGAACAAGACCAGTAAGTCAAATCTGCTGTTAAAATAAATTCTTTATATTAAAATGTTAATTGTATGAAATCTAGAATATGAATTTGTTTAAAATTGTTTTCCAGGGCCTTAATGTTATACAAAAGGCTGGTGGATTACATAATTTCATGAATTGGAGAAGGGCTTTATTAACTGATTCTGGTGGTTTCCAAATGGTGTCTTTATTAGAACTTGCTAAAATTACAGAAGAAGGTGTCAAATTTAAATCACCATACAATGGTAGTTAAAATTTAAAAACATATTTATATTTCGCTATGTAAAAAATAAGGAAAAATTCAATAATTCTCTAATATTATTTTTTAGAATCTGATTGCATGCTGTCGCCTGAGCACTCTATACAAATACAAAATGCAATAGGTGCAGATATAATTATGCAACTTGATGATGTAGTTTCTAGTACGCTAACAGGACCAAGGGTAGAAGAAGCAATGCATAGGTTGTTGTCTAAAGTGTAAACCATTTATGACACATGAGTAACTAAATTTTTAATCGTTATTGAATCATGTTTATTACTTAATATGTAATTTTAGGACAACGAGATGGTTAGATAGATGTTTATCGGCACATGAAAGATCAAGTGAGCAGAGTGTATTTCCAATTGTACAAGGAGGTCTTGATCCTAAGCTTAGAACAGAATGTGCTAATAAATTGATTAAACGCAAAGTCAATGGTTATGCTGTAGGTGGATTAAGGTAACAATTCGTGGATTAATGTCAATAACAAAAATAAAAATAAAAATTATTTTGTTATTGGTTGTTATTAGTGGTGGAGAAAGTAAACATGATTTTTGGAAAATGGTACATATTTCCACAGATGTACTTCCAAAAGATAAACCACGTTATTTAATGGGTGTTGGATTTGCCATTGATATAATTATTTGTTCTGCATTGGGAATAGATATGTTTGATTGCGTATTTCCCACAAGAACAGCGGTATCTATGACCATTAATTAATTATTCAAAAGAAACAATAAAAATATTTATTCAAAATGTGATTGATGTCATTTATTAATGGATATGTATTTTTTTCAGAGATTTGGCTGCGCATTAGTACGTACAGGTCAACTTAACTTAAAGCAGATTCAATATCATAATGACATGAGACCAATAGATGAATCATGTGAATGTAATACATGTAAAATATATACACGTGCTTATCTTCATCATATTGTAACGATAGAGACAGTTGCATGTCATTTACTATCCGTTCATAATATTGCATTTCAAATGAAATTAATGCAAGATATTAGACGAAGTATTATGGAACAAAATTTTCCGAAATTTATACAACAATATATGTTAAATTTATATCCAGATAAAAATTATCCTTCATGGATAATTAATGTCTTAGAAACTGTTAATGTTAAATTATTATAAAACGGGAGACGAAGTTAATTTTTATAAATATACTATAAATAAATACTTAATTTTCATAAAAAAATAGACTTTTAATTAATTTTATTTTATATATATCCGATAAAAACACGATTCACAAAATTTATACAAGGTATTTCAATATCTATTATACAACCAAGAAGGGGGTGATTTACATGAAGAATAATTTCATTTAAAAGCAATGTAAGCCTCAAATTTTTAAGTCATAAGTGTTTTTGTTTCAATTTTAAACATATCTATCTATTTGTCAAGATTATTAACTCTATATTAGGCATACATTATTAATAATATAAATAATTTTATCACATAAAATCATCCGAATCATATCCAGTATTCTCTGTGTTTGATATCATGTTGGATGAATTGAATAAGGAATTGTAACTTCTAAAAAATAAATATAAAAATGTTAGTTTTATAGAATTTAAGAAAGAAACATTTTGCAGTAACAAAACAATAACAGAAATTTGCAACTTGCCTCATCTCTGCCTCCTCTTTCCTTTGTTTCTCTTCTGCTTTTTCCTTTTCTTTTTGTTCCCTTATAAGTTTCTTTTTATCTTCTCGTTCGTTTCTGTCTCGCTGTTCTCTTTGTGCTTTAAAATCTACTTGTTCCGAACGTTTAGTTTTATTCAAACGATTAACAATATTATTTATTCGTTTAGAAACATGCATTTTACGAACATCTTTATCTTTATGGAAACCAACTTGTCCTACTACCATGCCCTGAGTCTTTTTTAAATTGGACCACATTGTATATACTACGTCGACATCATTTATTTTATTACCATCAATGCTATTTGCTTTTACTAATTGTGCAGCATCTTCTAAAACAGTGCTTGGTATATCATCTATTGTTTGCCCCTATAAATTACATATAAATATATAATGTACAAAATATTAGTAACATATATTATGATATATACTAGTAACAACAGGAAGAACTTACAGGATGAAGACGTAGATATACATGGGCTGACGAATATTTATCCACGTGAAACCAAACATCTTCCGGCCATCCCCATTTTATAAGATTTTCGTCTATGAAAGCATATATTTAAAATACTATACATTAGGGGAACATAAATTTCTCTAAATAATAATAAACTTTAGTATTTCCAACTCACTCTCGTATTTATCAACTCCCATAAATAATGTTACTGGTGGTTGTACAACTGTAATTTTAAATTAATCATTATTCGAACCTTATTATATTTATTATGCTTATTATTACAATATAATAAGAAAAACTTTGAATGTGTACTATAAATATAAAGTAAATAACACAGTTTATGGTAATACCTTCACTCGTAAAATAATAAACCATTATTACGAAAAAAATTAGATTAATCACGTGTTATGACAATATTTGTCAAACTTCAAGCCAGTACTATAGAAACTTGCGATGTAAAACGTTATAATACTGCACAGTTAATTTGTAAGAGGATCATCGTAAACAAAACCACGAGACTGAAAACAGCCAAACTCAAAACAGCGGGGAGCTACTGAGGGGCGAGGGCATTGGATTTGTCGCGAAGTTACCATGTACGTAACTGTATAGCCATACTGCCACAGCTGACTTTAGTACTAGCACTACTAGCCATGTTGAACAAGAAACAGTAAACTCGCGAGAGTCTAATTTTGCACTTGATAGAAAGAGTACGCATGATTCGTTCTATTATAGAATTGGCTGTGATATGGCGCTAAAATTTGAATTAGTAGATTGGCACTGGGAACGCCACATTTTATCAATGTCATTTCACCAATCGGAAGACTTCTTCCAATCTTGCAATATATTCAATGTCTCCGTGTATATCATGGGTCAAAATGAAGAGGTAGAGTTCTATTATGTTTGAGTTGGGTATGAAGGAAGACAGAGATGCCAGAAAAGCATCGCCGGGTGCACACGCACACATGCCAGATACGCGTACGTGAGCTCGTGGAGTTTCGGAAAGTCGACAAAGGCAAACTGACGCATGCCCTCTTTCTCGATTCTCCGAAGCTGCCCGAAGTAATTTCGGATCGCCTCGTGGGAGTCGAGAGAGAAAGGCTCACATTTGCCTTCTCGCTCTAAACAACTGAAATCCGACCTCCCGTCAACGGCATACGATTTGGATTCTCGAGCCGAGATTCTCGACTGCCCAGGCATTTTTACTTTCCGACCTATGTAGGCGCACATAAGCAAAGTACCCATAATGAAAAAAAAATTTTGTAAAATTTATTTTACGGAAATACACGTTTTAAGACCTCCTGATCATATTTTAATTATTGAAAAAAAAAGAAATTTTTTTTTATTCCCATGTATGAGCACACATATGTATATTATTAATACGATTTTTGAAAATCAAAATACTTTAAGATTGAAAATTAATAAATTAAAATGAAATTCCACTCTTTACCAGTATTGTGCACGCTGTGGTATTTTTCAATAAGAAGAGTTCTTACTTTTATAACATAAACAAAACAGTAGAATTAATAATTGCAGAAATTAATTAATAATGATTTTCCTCGATTGTTTTGAAATAACCGTATCAATTGGTTATGACGAACTAAATAGAACTAACTAGAAACAAAGGAAAAGTGATCCCGTTTGCCAGTTTAATACAAAGTATGGGTTGTATCTTAAATTTTAAAAGGACATAGTCGAATATTTTTAAAGGTACAAAACATAGCGTTTCATTGTAGAACAGTAACATAAGTTAGCAGGTAATGTCATAAAACTGTTTTTCCCAGCTATATCCCTTTTTACCTGAAGTATAAGGTAAAAAGTACGAGCTACAAGGTACGACTATCCGAAAATCGTTCACATTTTATCAATGTAAATGAAGCGGCCTTTCCATCAGAGTTAAATACAAAATTTTGTAATTTCTGTGAAAACAAAACTTTCAGTAAATGTACGTGGTGCTTGAAATTTTTATGTTTTGACTGTTTTTGTGAAAAGTACCATCCAGATTCATGTACTTCGTACATTGAAAATAACATATGTTAAATGTAATCGGTTAAATTTAACTTTAAAAAAAAATATTCGAAGGTCAGACAAAAATATAATGTCATATTTAGTGTACGCTTAAAGTATGATTGAAAAAATAAAAAAAAAAAGTTCAAGCAGGGTTCGAACCAGCAGAGAGCAGAAGAAGTTCGGAACTTGCAGGCAAAGACCTCATCACTCACGCCACGCTGATTAGTGGTGAACATAGTTCTATTTCTGAAAATAAGTACCTGTAATAACTTTAATAATATCTCAAAGTAAAACCTAACCCAAAACCTGGTACCATTCCAACTTTTCCTTGTTAGAAACGAGTTTTCAATTTGTCTTAGCGAAAATCGCAATCACATTTTGCACATTATTCTAAAACATTTGTGGTATTCGTTTTCAATGCGATTTAAGTAAGCATGTAATGTATAAGATTTCATTTAATGTTTTCTTTTCTAGAGAAGATAGAGAAAAAGTTTATATAATTTTTTATATATAAAATTTAATTCGTCCTAAGATTTATATGAAACATTTAAAAGATTTTTTATACATTATGCCTATATATCGGAACAACTATGAAACAAGAGGTATAATCTGTAAGGAGTGCATGTGTGTGGCTAGGAGAACCGTTATCGTTTGCGTCGATAGGAGTGTTTAGTCTAAGCTAGAGTAGGTATCGAGTGAGGTGTTTAGGTTTAAGCTGAAATACGTTTTAGAGACTGCGTCTCGAACGTGCGTTTTGTTTAGATCATTATTATAAAATAGGAATAAGGAAGGGTCGACTTTGACTGCAGGAACGTCACTCTGTATCGAACGTTAGTCGAGAGCAATCACAGTTTTACGATTATGAGCTTTTACGTTTACGTTTTATGTCTTTATTTTATGTTCTTTATGTTAAATAGTTAGTAAATATTAAATAATATAATTACATCGTTACGTTGAGTGTTCACGTATTTGAATCCGTCCACACGCCTTTCAAATGAGAACATAAAACTTAAATGTAAAGTTTCATTTAAATTCATTCAGCTATTTATATTCAATCGTATTAATAATATACATATGTGTGCTCATACATGGGAATAAAAAAAATTTCTTTTTTTCAATAATTAAAATATGATCAGGAGGTCTTAAAACGTGTATTTCCGTAAAATAAATTTTACAAAATTTTTTTTTCATTATGGGTACTTTGCTTATGTGCGCCTACATAGGTCGGAAAGTAAAAATGCCTGGGCAGTCGAGAATCTCGGCTCGAGAATCCAAATCGTATGCCGTTGACGGGAGGTCGGATTTCAGTTGTTTAGAGCGAGAAGGCAAATGTGAGCCTTTCTCTCTCGACTCCCACGAGGCGATCCGAAATTACTTCGGGCAGCTTCGGAGAATCAAGAAAGAGGGCATGCGTCAGTATGCCTTTGTCGACTTTCCGAAACTCCACGAGCTCACGTACGCGTATCTGGCATGTGTGCGTGTGCACCCGGCGGTGCTTTTCTGGCATCTCTGTAGCGGCCTAAACAACCCTTAAGAAAATTTATGACCCTTGTGAGAGTAAACGAAACTCGAAGCGAAGTGTCGCGAGGCCCTGCTGCGTGTCAAGACCATTGAAACTCTTATCGGAAATAACTAATCGGTCACGGTCCGTAATAACTAAACAATAAACTAAAGGAACGATGGAACCTCGAAATCGACGCGGCCTTTAGAAAATAAACTAAGTATCTGAAAAGAAGTGCCTTCCTTTCTCTCTACCTTCCCCAGCTTGATCGCCCACGTTGAAAAATATACAATCGTATGTTTATTCCAATACGCTGGTCCGTTTGAAATTCGTTCTTAACTAAAACGCAGTTACATGATTCTGCACTCGACGGTGAATAATCGGGTTTCAGTTAATTCCCGTTGTGGCGCTATGTGCATTAAACTTACGTTCACGTGATAGCGTAACACTACAATTGGCTCGCAAGTCACTAGTTCGTCACCTCTTACCTGTTGCGGTCGCCGCCTGGCGCCGTGTAGCAGAAGCTCTGGGGGGCGCGAGGTTTAAATCAGATTACACGAATGTAATAGGAAAGGGAGACAAAGTGGAGTCCGCGCCAATTCTACGGTTTAAAAGTAGTTAGAGATTCTTTTAATGACTTCACTTCGGGTCATAGATTAGCCAATAATTTATTGGAGACGGATGTTTGGATAGTCGTGAACTCCCCTTTGATCCCTTCTCCTAGGGGTGTAATTCCAGGACTTGGGCCGTGCGCTATCGATTGCCGGAAACGGGCTGCGTGCAAAAGCCGATAACGGCCACGTGCCGCAGAGGACCGTTCTCGAGGGATCGGGGGTGTGCCGAGGAACGCGCGTGCGAGAGTTTTGCGCCCGGCCCGAATAAAAGAAAAGACGATCGGAAGGGGCCTACGTGTGGGCTGGGCCTCGACCGGCCGGCAGAGCGACACTTGAATCCGGAGATCGAAAGTGAACGGACGTAGCATTGTAACTTAAGCGAGATCGTACTTTTATCATTGGAGTTAGTTAATTGAGTTGATTAAAGAGAGAAGCATTTTGAATTAAGAGAGCGGAAGTGTACGAACGGGTTATAATAATTCCTGCGAAATCTTGGTTGTTTTGTTTTACATTCCTTTATTGAGTTAATTAAAGTTCTATTTACGTGTGTTCAAATCGTTGTATCCATTTATTATTTTCCTTATCTAGCGATCTCCGTTTGAAACTCCCGCGTCCAAGGAGCAGAGTGCCTTAGCACTCCACGGGCAGCGTTCCCCACCGAATTCCCTACGAAGTTTCGGAAATTCCTCGTATTATGTTTTAGGGAATACAACTATCGAAAAGTGGTGTTCTCAACAGTTCTTACTTTGTTACTGTTTAATATTAAGATTACAGTGAAGGCAATTGATAATAATTTATAAAATATTCATAGTGAAGAAAGACTTGTATTTATTATCTTATGAAAATATGTTAAAACCGAAAGCTCTTACACAAGTTCTGAGTCAAGCCAATACAGGTGGAGTAGAAAATACTTTGTGAGTAAAGATATATCATACATTGCAAACATTCTTCATCAAAATTGTGTATATCTTTTTATATAATACAGTATGACATATACATATTTGTCTGCGTGTGTGTCATATATTACTAAACACTCTTATTATTATTATATTTTTAAATTGTAAATATAAGTACTAATTAATATCATTAAACTTTATAATTAAAAACATGTTTTAGATTGTTAAATAGAGATGGTGGTTTATTAGCTTATAGTGGTTATGGGGATAAAGATGCAAGAGTAACTGCTGCAATTACAAGCAATATCTGGTCAGCTTATGAAAAAAATGGACGAAATGCATTTAAGGAGGATGAATTACAATTTGTATTAATGGATTGTGTGGTAATTAACAAATATTTTACTATCAATTAACTATATATCATTTTATACAACTACTGTATATTTTCTATAAGTATCTAAAATTTGAAATATTTAAAATATAGTACAAAAATGCCTTAGCTAACAACAAAATAAATTTATTGAGTTTCTTTTGTCATGTTCTTCAGTATCAGTCAGATATAATAATGAAAGAATTCATTTTGCTGCTTAAAAATCTAAAACTTACATTAATGAAATTATTTTAAGTATCATAAACATAATATAATGTAAAGTCACATGGTATTGATTAAGAGAATATTTTAAGATTGCCATTTCATTTTGTTAATTAATATATCTCAAGCTAATTCAAATTTCATTTTTATAAATAGTTCTGAAGTTTAGTTTAATAGTACTCATTAAAAGTATAAAGTATTTATAAATAAATTGAGTAAAATTTTGCAATGCAAATCCATAATTTATGTTTATTTTATCTATAATAGAATCACAGTACTTGATGCTAATAACTTTATATCAAAACACAAAACTTAATGTAACTGTTTCACTACAGTTATAAATACATTTTTTAGTTGTTAATCAATCTTTTGTAGGAGGGCAAAGTTGTAATCACGGAAGTAGCAAATTTGCTGTTATGTTTATATGCAAAAGAAAATGTAGGATTTGGTTTATTAAGAGAAAAAGCACAAGCTCTAGCAAGATATCTTGATCAGCCACTAAAAACAATAGCCAATATGCCTTGAACATCATATATATATAATACTTTTTGTTATCTATGGTATATTATGTATAATACTGTGCTGATATTCCATACTCCTAATACTTTTTTAGTAATTTTTTGTAAGAATTTATGATTTGTACAACTCTGTAAATAATATATTTTTAATAAATCGAAAGTTTGTTAGTTTAAAAATCTACAATAATAAACCAGAAAATATTTATAAGTCTTTATTGCTATTAATGTTTCTTTTCGTGAATTACTTGGATTATAAAACACCTTCCTTAGAGGTCATGCCCATTGTTTTGAAAGACTGATGTGAAATATATATTACTCATTAAACAACATTTAATCAGTGTAACTATTTGTTTATTTTAAATGAATTACAATTAATATAAACAATTACTTTTGATATATTCTCAAATAAGAATACATATAATACACTATAATCAAAATATATATTTAAAATGACTTACATATAGAAAATCATTTTCTTTAATGCGTGTAACATTGCAAATTTACACTTTCAATACAGAGAATTTGACATTCTTTTGATTATATTCTTACAAAAATTATTTGTTTGAAAAAGAATTGTACATAGCAAAATATTAATATGTTTTTAATATTAACTTATTGTAAATTACACTACAGAACCTATTGCATAGCAATTTATTTTATGTTTCGTACATACAATACAATTAAAATCTGTTTTAAAAGCAAAATGTAACTAAATAAATAGAAGTTTATATTTTGTGATAATCTCATTACAGTGCATTTATATAAAACGACTCAAAAGTTCATATCACCTTTTAACCATGTATTAGTTTTACACAGTAATCTTAATTTTAATAATTCAATTAATATTTATTTTATATATTTCATTATTAAAAAAGGAACTAAAATGACTCTTTTATCAAAGTGTAAGTTTTATGTAAGAAAAACTTATTTATACCATTAAAATATTTACTGTGTTATGTATATTTACTCTTATAAAATGGATGCTATTAATAAAGTTTGTGTGTATACCTATATATATTTATATATATATATATATATATATATATATATAGTATGAAAAGTAATCATTTAACAATTATATGGCAAATAGTACACACCACGTAAGAAATCTTAGTAAACATTGGTTGAAGCACAGTCGTTTCTGACATATAAACATTTTTGTATGTTTGAATGATGATTGACTTACTGGCTTCTACATATCGCACGCGATGTTTACTTCAGTGTTTATAAATCTATATATATCATATATATCTTATAACAGAAGATTTCACCAACAATCCGTCATTTATCATTAACAGTCATAAAGTATTATACTAAATATGTCAGTATATTACTTTATAGTTTTCAATAATTTGTCAGAAACTTGGAATTTTTTAGAGAATTCATGACTCTATAAGAAGAAGGTACCAAACGTGTATGGAAATAGAAGGATATGTGGAACAACTGTAATAATTAAGAAATCAATCATGATATTACATACAGAAATATTTGTATCTAAAAAAGGGTAGAGCTTTTGACCTATGTTTATTATAGTATTTTTTACTTAATATGGTATGTACTATCTACCATATAAATGCTGAATAATTTTTTTTAACATTCTACATATATTCATGTAAGAATTAAAGTAACATTATTATACCGTAATAGTAATAATTATTTATATAATATTGCAAGTGAAGATCATGTTTTGTATAGATTTAAATCATATCTTAAAAATTGAATTATTTAAAAGTAGTTAAATTTGTGTACTTTATAACAATAAAGGAAAAACAAATTATGTTATTTGTGTTTTTTATATTTCTATTAAACACAAAAAGTGTAATGAAGTGTGCAAAAAAAAAAATAAAAATTATATAATTTGAAATAATTCATTCTGTTTACTATTTGTCATTAAATATGCATAATTTAGGTCTAAAATTATTAAAATTGGATATATATTATGAAATACAGTCTTGACCGAATACTTATATAAAATTAAATATTAAATAGACATGTTTACATAGAAATGAACGTGTGTCATTTGAAAGATAATCACAAAATGAGTATACTTTTTATATGTGGAATTATTTTCTTTTACCACCTAGATAGATATATGGTAAACTCCCATTGGTATCACTTATATTTATACACTTTCTCCTACAATCACTCTTGTATCTAACTTAAAACAATCATCAGTATTAAAATTTATTTTTAAATATATATAAATACTACTGTCTTCTCTAACAGTAAACATTAAACAGTTAATGAATTTAGAAATATATCTTATGAAAGTACAAACTCTTTCACATACAGAGAGTTATATCCATATGCTTGATGTGACAATAGTGAATACTAATATCAATTAAATTAATGACATGAATTTCAGATGTAAAACAATATCATATTTGATATTAATAACACTGTACATTGCAATTAATTATCAGTATTGGTCCTAATTCTCCTGATATTTTTCAGTATGAAAAGTGGTGATTATCAGCCAATTGATAAATTTTTAGGATCTGTTCTTATCATTATATTACAAAGTTTCTCACTGTAAATTGTAATAAACTTTTTTAATAATATTTACTTATATCGTGTTAATGTAAAAATGTAATTAGTTAATAGTATCACTGAACTATTTCATATTAATAGCTAGAAAAAGAATTTTTTCTTGTGAAGCTATTATACACATATTTATATGTATCATATATATAGAGTGTCTCAATGTTGATGGTACAATCAGGAAAAGGATTTCTTGATCCAATATTGAATCATCAATATTGAAACACGCTGTATATATGTAGGGTATTTACCTACAAGTAAACCATCTTTTGTATGGGGGGAGGTAATTCTACATGTCAAAATAAAATTGAAATGAAAAATGACAAAATTCCAACATATAAGAAACGAAAATTAAAAAGAGTTTGAAAAATACACAAAACCTGGATACATTTTAACTACTAAAAAAAATTATTTTTTAAATGTGTGAATGTACGCATACATGTAGATAAAATTATATAAAAGTAAAAAGCTTGAAACGTAATTGCGTAATTTTTAATTTTTTTATTTTGGCATGTAGTATGACATCCTAAAAGATTGCCCATCTGTATGTAAATACTTTATACATATAATATATTTTATATTACAACATTCTAACAGTACTTATGACAATTTATACTAGATATATTTTCCTTGCGAATAATATTTTTAAATATGAATATATTGTCTACAACACTTCCTTAATAGGCCTTCAACAATTGACAACCTATGTTAACATCTGTTGCAAAGTGCTTTTATTTTTGTGACAGCAAAATAAACGTATTGCAAATTTTAACGTCTAGAAAATGAAAACTTATTCGATATGCGTGCATCATGGACAAAAGAAGAAAGAAAGAGAGAAAGGTATGAAAAAGTAATATATCTTTTTACATAGTTATACAATCTATTATTTTGATTGTGTTATTTGGAATAAACTGTTGTGCAACAGAAATTGTATGCATTTAAAAAAAATTATTGCTAAATGATTTAAAATATACTCTTTTATCCTTTGCTTGTTTTATAATTTTACATAAGATTAAAAATTTTACATTAAAGTTCTTCTCATTTTTATACATCAGCATGTATTATAAAATAATATAATACATTACTTTTGTTAAAAATTGTATTCTCTTTAGCATAACTTTATATAAGATAATTAAAATTATTATGCAAGATATACAAATATTATTTTACGTTTCATAGTGGCAATGCGAGGATTTCAATTTAGATAATTTTACGATACAGACACAATTAAAGTAAAAATTATTTTTGTACAATTTGGTACAAAAAGATTAACTGTTTACTACTAGAGATAGTATCTATATTCATTGTAGAAATTTGTATGAAAAAGATTGCCTTCTTGAATGCTATTGTCTTTTTAATTATTTAATGAAATTAAAACATAATTTTTACAATAGCTAAGTAACAATTTCCTTAACAGCATATTAATATTGGTAATTGTATGTATTAATATTTTTGTTTTAGTACATTCCTTTTTAAAAAGGGGTTTGTCATAATTTATTAATGGGATAGAAAATTTTAATTTAGTATTAAATTTTCTCCAGTATTACAAAATGTATGATCCCACATTGAATTACTAAAGGCTACACCTGTCATTGCAATCCGTATCTATTCTTGTCAAATGTTAATTAAAAAAAATTCATTCATCAGTGTGTGATACTTTCGGTTCTTAAAGCTTCATCTTATGTTGTTACATTATAGGTACATATCTACAGAAGGTATTATACCTTTCCACATATTTTGTGTTTGTATTACCACCATACAGAAAAAATGGAGTAATGAAAATTTGCATAAACTTAAACTTGTAAATGTAGAAACAAAAGCAGTCTTCATCTTGTCGCTGCACAGTTGATTTAATTAAACGAAGTAAAGAAAGAAAAGGACGGATTTAGAGATTACATGCGAGAACCCTTCTGCTGCAGAACCTAAAATACAATTTAATGATTGAAACTTAAGATAATATTGTAAAACTTTTATGTTAAAAACTATACCTCTAAGTTCTATGAAACTACAAAGTAAATCTATCCAATACATTGTATAAAATTTCTCATAATGTTTATAAATAACTTTAGCATTGTTCAGCCTCTGCATTTGATTATATAGATATCATCTTTACTATGCATTGTGTTAAAATATCTTTACAGATTGTATAAATATATTTTAATACAAAGGTAATGTCTAAGAAACTAAACTAAAAACAAACTGGACACTGTGACATCATTATATTATACATTATTTCACTTTAACCAATATTCTTGAAACAGCAATTTCAAAAAGCTTTTAGTAAGTAATAAATTTTACTATTAACAAAACAGTAACATCTTGTGAATAAAAAATGGAGTATGTGTGAAATAACTCAGTCATGCAATAATGAGTCATGCAGGATACAGGGTAGAAAGTAACCAAACCAATGAAAGAAAAAATTCTTTATTTGATGAATAGCATGCGATACAACAATAACAATATGGTACATATAGCAAATATCAGAGGCAGAACATGCTCATGCAAATTGGCCCCTGAATCGGCACAAATTATAAAAACTTGTATAAAGAGTTTTGATACTTAAAATAGAATTAATTACTGATCAAATTAAGACATAGGTATTTTAATTCACATTACAAAAATGAAAAAAAAAAGAATACTTATATAAGTTTTAGATAAAACAATATCAAATAAATTATCTAATAAAATCTGCTATAAGACACTTTTATATTGTCTTATCTTACAAAATAAAGTATTTGAAATAGATACTATGTGTATTAAATAAAATAACCTATGTGTTGAAATATGAAAATAAAATTGATAGATTAAAGAAACGTGATTTATAGAAAATATCTACTACAATTTTAAAATGTATATGTTTCTAAACTGATCTTCGGTTTCTTAGTAAGTGTTAATGTATTGAAGTTTTAATGATAAAATAGTAACAATTTGTTACTCAATTTATTGTAATGTCTTATTTCATTTAACCCATTCATAATAAGAGAGGCTATAGGTTATATTTAAACAAAATTAGTGATTTCTAAGAAACCAGTATTATGTAACATATTCATATTATGTTAAATCTTGCCCACATATTACTATATATTCTTATTACAAATAGGTTAATGACATTTATACAAATAAACGTAATGATGAAATAAGATAATACTAATGACACACACCAGAGGTTCTTGAACTTTTTTTAAATAAATAAACATTGTCGTAGATTTGTTCTCGTAGATGTAATTATTAATCAGAACCTCTGATATGAGCAAAATATAAACTTAATTATTAACATTAATGGCGTGATTTTATAGTAAGAAGTACAGTATAACAAAAAAAGTTATAAAATCACTACTACAATACTTTATAATTATTTTGTGAAACCATAAAAAATTTATGTGTAATTATTTTGATTGAGATAATAATGTGAAAAACTTGAATGCGATAATGATACCTTAACACGATCCGTTGACTCTTGTTCTTTGCTATTGAGTTGACTGGCCCCATATTCGCGACTGACCACACATAAAAATTCAGCATGATCGTCATTTCCATAATTATATTGAGATCCTATGTTGATTAACTAAAACAGATAAAGACAAATTGTTTAAATTCCTTGAATAAATATTAATAATCTAATTTTATTTAAATTTATGATAACTATTTAATATATAATATAAGGATTGAATATAAAGGGTTGAGAAGTCAATCAGTGTCCATTAATATTAAAAACAAAATAAATAACCATTTTATAAATTACTTTAAAATATATTCATATAATTAAATTTTTACTTTTGTTGTATTGAATTATTATTTTTCATAGATACATCAAAAGTTACATACAAAGTAACATACAATCCTGTAACAACTATTCTAAAAAGAGTGCAGAGATTAATTGTTTGCAGTCAGCAGTTGTGGAAGTATAAATACTTATGCGACTCAATATGTGTGTATGCCTTTATAAAAGATAACAGAAGAAAAAAGAAACTATATTTAAAATAAATATAAATGCATACACATGTCCTATGTAAATATAAGGACATAAATGAGAATACAACTGTGTAATTTAAGGATTCACTTTACTGTAAATCGATAAGGAAAAGACTCATAGTTCACATCATATAATGTCTTCAACTATTGCACAGATAGATCATTATATGTATAGTAAATCCTCTTTGCATAAGTAGTTAAAAAGCAAAAATACCTGCTCAAACCTCCATCCATCAGACATTGTCGATACCATTTGAGTTAATTCATCTTCATGACATTGAATAACTCTATAAACATGTTTTTTTGAATCACGTAGTGGTCTGGTATCCCTTAATAAAATTCTTTCTTTGACTAATCGTATTAATTCTGTAATGTTATAAAATTCTGCTTCTTCTAACACTCCTTCTTCAGTCAAATCTTTATTAATCACCAACTTCCCATGACGTAAATAATTTAAAACAGGGCTAAAGTATGTTGGATCACGGTCTATTAAATATGCTCCAGTTTCATCCTATACAATAAAACAATTGAAAAGTTCATTTATTTAATATGTATTTCCCAGCAGTTGATACACGCTTTCATATAAAACTTTACAATCTACTTTATAATGATATGTGCTTTATTATACTGCATGTAATTAATTTTCAACTATTCTAATATAACAATATACGTTACATGTTATACTAATATTTAATAAATTATACGTAATTTTCATAAGAGTTATAAAAGTCTGCAAAATTTGTAACATTACTGGAACATTGAAGTTTATTTTAAATATACAAAGTTTTTAAAAACAACATATAAAATTAATTTTTATAAAAATTGTCGCTCATTTAGTTATAACAGTGCAAGATACATATTATCTAGAATAAAAATATATTAATGTTTGGGTAATTTCAAAGTTCGCGGTTATCTTAAAACATCAAACTAACCCTGTCTGAGATAAGGTCAGAATCTTCTTGACACAATCTATAGAGAAACGAATTAGGGTCTCTAGCTAGAGTAGTTTTTGCTGTTAAAAAATATGTTCCACCAACATTTAATCGAACCCACTGATTATTACACCGTTTTTGAACATGATTTTCTGTCATTTCGTGCGAATTCGTATCACTGAAATCCGCCATGCTTGCTTTAAAACCAACTTGTTTCGGTACATAGGTTTTGAGACAAGTCAAATACATACCTTAAATATCGCATTAGCGAATATAAAAATTATTTCAGTACGTGTTTCTTAATTTAATTTAAACAGTATGTACTATTCATTAATATATTTTACTTTCATTTAAAAATGCAATAAAGCAATTAAAATTGAAACATTTAATGGCGGGAAAGCAAATAAAAACCATAAACAAGAAAAAAATAGATTTCAACAATTTGTTGCTATTTTTCTACCAAAAAATTCAGATTTATACATGGCGTTAGATGGCGATAAAATGATAGTAAAGAAATTAATAATGTAAGTATAATGTTCGAAAGAATCGAAGAAACTTAATATTTAAATTATTGGTACGTAGTACGAATCTGAACATCCGGCAAGATACAACTAAAGTCCGTGTATGATATCATAACACAGAAGTTAAACAAAACAAGCGATATTGTTTTTCGTTTCAGAAACAAGAACTTGCCTTCTGTTTTTAACGAAAATAATTTAAATCGTTTGTGTATGCAAAGAAAAGAAATTTTATTAAGGGTATGCTTAACTCATTCTTTACGTAAAAATTCCGATCGCAAACGTGCCTGGGTTCGAGGCTTCATATAAATACATCTATATTCAGAAAATTACCGGAAGTCATTGCAAGAGTCTTGTGATGAGGAGTTTGTCGCCCAACGAGGGCAAAATTTAAGAACGTTCACTTAAGCCGAGAATGCCGGTGAAAGTTGACGTAGTACCACCACCGCCCGCAAACTCAAAGCAGCCGGGTGTCACAAAATCTTTATTATACAACGGTTCGCGATTTCAAGGCTCCCAAAAATCTAAAGGCAATAGTTACGACGTAGAAGTAGTTTTGCAGGTTAGTTCTCTGCCTTCGTAGAAATTGCGCCACAAGTATCTCAAATTTCTATTCTACCTTTGACATCTGTCTACTGCGCAATGATTAGTCGTGTGCCTTTTTTTCTTTAAATATTTTACAATTCATTGTATCGCAGTTGATTAATTGCATTGTTTACACGTTCAAAATATTACAGATTTAAAATAACCTATGAAAACAATTTTAACAATATTTCTCCGTATTTTTAAGCGTATTTGTAAATGCTGCGTACAATTCAGCATTCTAATTAATGCATAATATAGTTTCATCATGAGAATTGTACAAAAAAAAAAATAAATTGAAATTTGTAAATAGTACATAAAAAAATTAATTTACTATTGATTTTAATTGCATACGTATTGAAAGTACTATATTCAAAAATATCATCTATACAAAAACGTAATTTTTATGTAGGTGAAATATTGAATATTGTTTTATTGCAGCACGTAGACGAGGAAAATAGTTATTTATGCGGCTATCTTAAAATTAAGGGTTTGACAGAAGAATTCCCCACTTTGACTACATTTTTTGATGGTGAAATTATATCGAAGAAGTATCCTTTTTTAACTCGTAAATGGGATGCAGACGAGGACGTTGATAAAAAACATTGGGTTTGTATTTTATTGTATGTTTGATTTCATATTTCCATTAATCTTTATTGCTACATATTCTTTTATTTATAATTACAGAGTAAATTTGAGTCGTTTTGCCAATATGCCAAAACTTTCAATTCGGACACATTTGATTATGAAGCTCTAAAGGGAACTGATTTTGTTTTTATGAGGTGGAAGGAACACTTTCTAGTTCCTGATCATACCATAAAAGATATCAATGGTGCCTCATTTGCAGGATTTTATTATATTTGCTTCCAAAAATCTGCTGCCACAATTGAAGGTTTTTATTATCATCGCAGTTCTGAATGGTAATATTATTTTATATAATCACACAAATAATATATTTATAAATGCAATTAATTATACGTAAAAATAGAAAGAAATATAGATACCTGTTTTACATAAATTATATCATAATCCATAATGAATTCAATTAATAGCATTTAGAAATATATAGATAATTTGTTTTTAAAAATTTATATAATATTTCAGTATTATATGTAAACATAAATTAAGGATAATACTTCATATAATTTGTTTGTACTAAAATATAGTAATTTTCAATAATGTGATATATTCTCTATACATATAACTACACGCTATTTGTGTACAATATAAATTTAATAGCTAGAATTTTGTGCAAATTTTGAATATATCTTTATTATTTCAGGTATCAATCTCTGAATTTGAAACATGTTCCAGAACATAGTATACAGATATATGAATTTAGGTGAAATCAATAGTTGTTGCTCAGTTATCTCTTTAAATTCATATTTCACCTCTCCTAGCATACAGATCTCATAAAAAACATAATCTTTAAATTAGTTAAACTCAATTCAAAATAAATATCTTTTTAAATTATTTACTTTAAAAGTGAGGTGTACTTCATGAAAGAACTATCTACTTTGACAAAGTATTTCATAGTCTTTTTTAATGTTAATAAACAATGTACAGTGTATATTGTATATTGTTTTTCCTATAAATATTAGACATGTCTTAAACGAAAAAATCGTAATTGAACGAATGACGAGGATTGCTGTGCCTCATTGAGATACGCTTGATCATAAATTAGTTATTAATATTCATTGTAAGATATTTTATCGAAATAAATAAATTGATGCTTTTTGTCAATTAAAATTAACGTTGTTGATTATTTGATATTCTTACATACTATAAAATTGTAATATCGTTTTTAGTATTACATACAACTTAAATGTGCTTTATAGTTTAAGTAACATATTCGTCATTATGTTTAAATTGATCAAATAATATAAAATTACTGTCAAAATTTCAGAGCATGAAATTTAAAAGTGTAGTAAAATTAAGAAAATGAATAATTTTTTACATTTAGATTCTATGTTATAAAATGTTTACTTTTTATGGCTGTACGATTTTAAACAATACAAGATTTATTTATCATATACTACATTTGTATATTTATGAGATCTGTCTGCCTCAAAATGATAGAAGGACGATGAATGAATTGGTGTGAATGTAGGAAGAAAAGAAATCAAACTGAAACATGAAAGTAATTTTAATAATATTACCCAGAAAACATTTCTTTCATTCTGTTCAATTTGTAATCGATTTGCTTAATAACTGTTATCGTATTTCTAATCCAACCAAATTTTGTGTTATCACAAGAACTTCTAAAGTATAGTAAGCTCTTTCGTGATATTCACTTTAAGCTGCACAATTTTAATGAGCCAAATGAACAGGAAAGCATTTTACGAATATTCATGATACAAACAGAACAACAAAATTTGATACAAGTTGTCTGTTTTTAGAACTTGTGATGTAACGATAACATTAATGAAATATGAAATCTGTTATTGTAATAAAGTATTATAATGATTCATTGTAATATGTAACTAAAACTAATAATTTAAACTGATATATTCATTTAGTAAGTTATAGTATAGTTAACATATGAATTATAAACACTGATTTTGAATCTCTTGATTAAACAAAAAAATGAAATTTATTATCTTAAAATGGCAAATCGTTACAAAATATTGAATGTTACCAAAATAGTGAAACTTATCCACTATTTAGAATTTAGTTATACCTATTACTTACAGTGTAAAATAGAAATGCATATTTACTTTAAAATAACATCTCTACGGATTGTGTGACTTACGTTAAAATACTTTTTGTATTTGCATCTTTTAATTGTATTGATTAACATCAGTTGCTGTTTATATCTTACACAAACGAAATGCAATTAGAATTTATTAAATAGAGCTTTTAGACATTAAATACTATGTTAGATTGTGGTTTATAGAAGTCAGTAATGTTTTCTGTAGGTGTTTTCTTAATGTTTATTTATAAGATACTAATTTTAAAGAAATATGTTTTAAAATATGAGTCTATAGAATATGGGAAATGTAATATATTATAGTACATATAATTTGACAACTTTTTGTATTATTTTTATGTATAACATGTTTTTTTAAACAGATAATGAATTAGTTTGTATAGTTTCTTCCATATTAACGTTTACATAAAGAAAATTAACAAAAACTAAAAATTAGTAATGTACTATGATAGATATATAAAAAGAAAAATTTTTAAATTTGTGTAAATGTTTAATAAAATAATATTTTCATGATATCGGTTTCATTTGTTACGGTCAATAAAATTTAGAATTCATTTCATATTTGTCTATCATGTGTGTGTAATTCATAGTAATTCGAATATTAAAACAAATAAAAAAAGTATCGGTTAACGACAATTAAATAAAAGTAAGTGTATAAAAATTATGTAAACATCTGTTGTATTGTTAATTGATTATTAAATACAACATACTTGTAAAAACACTTATATGACCAATGAAATACTTATTTTTAATATAGTATAAAAATAAAATTAAAAAGTTGAAAAATGTATAAAGTTGTTGTGAATCTGTGTATAAATTATAGCATTCTAGCTAAAATGTAATAAAATTATGCTGAAGAAAATAATAATAGATTACTTCATTAAATACTAATTAATTTTCTAAGATATCATCATTAGAGTAAAATGTACTAATAAAGTAAGATATAATAAAAGAAACTCCAAAGTCATATTCGCAAACTGTTTTTTCATGTATATATGTATATATTACAATTTAGTCAAAAATTTTAGTATCCATACCATACAAACATTTAATAATTAACGGAAAATAAATTTTTCAGCATAAACTTGTATTTGTTCCAAATAATGATTGATTATTGATGTTACCAATTGGTGGAGGTGATCCTTTCATTTCTTTTTTCTTAGATAGTGATCTCATGGATCTAGTTAAACGTTTTGACTTTAAAGTTATTCGATTTCTTTGATTCACAATTAAATTTTGCAGTTTTTTATGCCCATCATCTGTAGCTGCCTAAGATACATGATTAGTTATATTATTTATTCAATTATGTTCTTATAGTATTAACAAAATTCAGTGTAACATAAGAATTATTTACCGTAATTTTAGAACAATAATTACATAAGTAATGCGCATTAGTTGACATGGATGTATTTTTATGTAATATCGCTTCAAATCCCAAGAATTTTGTATCAAAATTAACTTTAGCTTTAATTACATCAGCAAATAAATTTTGAGCCATTAACATATTATCAACAAGATTTTCAGTTTTCGTTGTTTCACTTAAATGTTGATTTTTTAACAAAGGCTGCATTGGTTCAGTATTGAAATTATTTAACACGTTCAAATCTTCTGATATTCTAGAACATTGATTTTGTGCATCACATGTTTCTTTAGCATTTGAAACAGATTTTTCACCTTGTAGAAGAGCTATAAAATATTAATAAATTTTGTATGATTATTTAGTTTTCAGAAACTTCGATTATTATTATTATTACACGTATCTGTATTTAATTTACTTGCCAATAAAATTAGTTAAATATCCTGAAAAATCTTTATTACAAGAAAGTAAATGTTGAAAAGCTTCGTCAAGACTTCTCTCAGTGAAATATGTTCTTGCCAATAAAGATTTTTCAGCTGGGTTTTCTCCAACTGTATTAGAATTAAAAATTTTCCATTGTTTACGGGAAATTTCTGCTTGCCATTCTAAAGCACAATCTTCTAATCGTCTATTGACGGAATTCAATAATTCATTAGCTTCTATTAACTGTTGTGGAACAAAAACGTTCCCTTTATTGAAGGGAATGCAAATATTTTTTTGAATTACTGGCCCTTCATCAATTGTTGTCATTTTCAATTATATAAATATATTTTATAAATGATCATTAATTAAATCAGTTTACAAGTTGTATAAGAAAACATGTGTAAAAATATATATTTAAACTAATTTACACTACATTAGTCTTTTATTAAACAATTGAATATTTTTGAATAGCATACCCTGTGATATGTTAGTAATTTGATTTTTAGAAAAATATCTATGAGTACCAAATTGTTCTGTATTAGAAGATTTCTAACTTATTAATTTTGGAATAAATGATAGCAAAATTTTATTTTATATGAAGTTATATTTAAAAATTGAAATCAAAACACTACTTAATATCATGTTATAAATACATAGAAAAAATAAAAGTAGTGAAATACATGTTCTGCTATTGTGAAATAAGTAAAATTTAAGATTTAAGTTGTACAATTGTATTCAGTTGTTACAATAAAAAAATCTTTTATTATTAAAGATAATATTTATTGTTTAATGCAATTTTAAAATGTGTATTTATACATAGAATAGCTAAATATTAAATTACATTACAGTTTTGTCAAAAAAAAGGATTTGTTTAATTGCGTTTATAATGCAAATTACAATGTTAGGAAAACATGACAATAAAATGGAATTTTATGTATGAAATACGATTATAAATTGCTTGATTTGTTTGATATAATATGTTCAATAGTATTAATCTTCTTATTTACAGTATTATATTTGTAAAAAAAGTATGCATCGAGTATAAACATAAATAAGTTTTTTTTAGTGATAATCAATAATCAGAAATTATCCTTTCATTCGCTCTTTTCCAATTACTCGGATGGCCCCTTGCGCTATATTTTTAATATTGGTGAATATCTTCTTATTTTACAGTCAAATATATATGTACAGCAGTAGTGAGACTCTAATGTTCCTTTAACTCAATTGCATTGTCTTATAAGTTTCTATTACTAAAATGTATTAATCAACAATTAAGAACAGTTTAATGCTATAGTTATAAATTCATTTTAGGACAGTACTAAAATTATTTCTGCAAATATTATGTAATGTCTATTGTACATTTAGTAATACAGTAGAACTTCAATAGTTGTAGGAAAACAGGGCTCAAAATTCTTGCACTTATTGGGGTAATCAATCCAATAAGGAACCATCTACCTCTTTGAGTGACCTCTTTAGAATCTTTGGATTTTTACCAAACTTTGTTTTTGTCTCAGATGGAAGATACAGTACTTGTTGATTAGTAATTACCCCCAACACTTATGAATACAATACGAAGAAGAAGAATTACATACAAGTATCAACGTTCTACTGTACATTTAATATACAAATAAGCTCGTCTATGTATATAATTAATAGTAGTCGCTTTTATATATACATATAATTTAATTTGAATCTTACACAGTACAAATACATCCTCCGTTTTCTTGATATCGTAATCTTAAAAAAAAAAACAAATATGAATTGTTATTATATTTCGATACATTTCATACAACAGATTTCCTTGATTTAACGTTAACAACTATTATTTTTAATAGGAGAATAAATAATTAGTATAATTTAAAATGTTGTAATTTAACTAAATTAGCTAAACGAACAAGTAATATTACTGATGTCGAGAGACCATAATTTTTGTAATGAAATTTGTCGAAATATACTGTGAATATGTTCTCTTATATTTACATAATACACAACATATTTTTTTATAAACCTACACTGTACAAATAAAATAATGCTTAATAATATTAAGTTATTTAAATAAGATAAAAATCAAATTAAATAGTACGATTAATATATACTGTTTTCATTACTGTAGAAAATTTTGTTCAATTTTGCACAATAAATAAGTGTTGATAAGAATAATGAAAGAGAAAATTAAATATTTAACATCAATTTTGCATTTACTTTGATAGATACTAATATATGAATGTTTAAGCGATGCAGTAAAATAACTTTTTTCACTTATTATATTATTATTGAAAATTAGTGTATAAAAAGAATGATTTTTGCAAAATGTTATATGTAATAACTGTTGGGAACATTGTTCTTACATGCTAATATCAAATTAGCTGCCCTAAACTATTCATCTTATATTATTCCTAGTCTACACCACAACCACTGTAGACTTAATGAACTTGTACTTTCCACTTCAACATTTCCAGCTTTTTCGATTTAAAAAACAACATTGTGCACTGAAATATGTAAAACGTATTAACGGTTTTTAATTATTAGATAAAAACATCTGCAGCTTATGGAGATTCGGCAAAATATGGGTATATTTTGGATCAATTATTGTGATTCCATAATATATTGCTAATCGTTGAATGAAACTCATACTCCTTTAGACTTTAAATGTTTATAAACGTTTAAGAACTTCATTAAAGATATTATATAAACTGACATTTAAAGTATTACTAAACAGTTGATTGCTTATGCCAAAAGTTAGATACTAGTCTGTATAACAAACAGCACGCTTATAGCGATCCATATGAAATTATTTCTGCTTAAGCTCATTATTATTATTATCATATATTTTTATACCTTGGAAATTCGGAAAAAAATACAACATAAAAAGTATTTTAACGTATAATGACTGTCACATCAAGTGTAAAATTATTACTGTTATCTAAACTTCTTGATGGTAAGTAATCACATTTTCCTATGTTAGATTGTTGACAATTCATATTATAATTATTATTTAAGAAGAAACGTTACAAATTCTTTACCACTTCCAATGGCACATATTTTATGAAAACGCTATACATCAAAATAAGAAGGAAGAACGTTGACATTATGTTGCATGTTCACAAATTAACTGCAACGTTGAAATTACTCTCAAGATATTGTGCAAGAATTACGACCGACGCAACTAGTACGAGAATCTGTTATACTCCCAGGTGAACTACCTGGAGTCGATAGTCCGTTATGACCTATTCCAACGAAACGTAATTTTCGGTGATGGGATCCTAGGCTTTTACTAGAGCTCAATGATCTATTTCCATTATAACGTAATTGCGATGTAGTTGTCATCGCGTAAGATTTTAGGTGAGATTTAATAGATTTAGGCAACGGAAGCTGATCTATACCATAAACTGTTGTTCTTGCTACTATTGCACGGCATGCAAGTTCTTGAAGACTGAGTACTGAAAAATAAAATATTTATACGGAATTCTCTTAAACAAATAATATACATATAAATATATTACCTTTATTGGATCGCCATAGCCTTTCCATACCATTACGATGTAAAGCCATGCGAGAAAGCTCCGAGAAACTTTCACGTATGTTAAAATCACAAAGAGGCGATACCTCGAAAAATGCCATACGATTTTTAGCTGCGTATGCTTCTGCATCACGTTCTCCTACTTGCCTTTTAAAAGCTAAATGAAGGCGATTGCCAACAAGTACTTTTGGTACCCCAGGAGCATGCTATAATATTTGCAGAAAGAAAAATGTTTATTTCATATTATTGGTTAACAATTTTAATTTATTATTTTTATATATTATAAGAAAATATATCAAACATGACTTTTATTTTGATAATAATAATTCACTGAAATACTTTTCATGATTGCAATTTAGAAATATTAATTAATGTCCTGTTTCTGATAGAACACCCTGTATAAGACGTTAGTAAAGACATTAAATAAAATAGTGCAATAAATTTAATATAGAGCTAAAGTGCAATTCAGATGATATACTACATAAAATTAAAAATATTCAATTGCCATGTACCTCTTCAACTTCCTTCAACCATCTGTCAATGCCATCGAAAGACCATTTATTGGTAATGTCATAGACTAAAAGTATACCTTGTGCACCACGAGAATAAGATCTGATTATTGTACAAAATCTACCTTGACCCGACGTGTCCCATAGTTGTAATTTTACTCTTTTCCCATCCAGCAGGATAGTAGTAGTCTTATACGCTAGAAAATACATATTTACTTATGTATTTATTACACATAATTATATAGAATTTACATAGTGTATTAAGTAAAATGTAATGAAAGGATTATTTAGAAATTTTACCTTTAACACGTTCACTGCGGCACAAAACATATGTCCTTTATCATACATTGTTCCGTGCGTGTCATATTTCATTCGACCTTCATTATACGTTAAAAGGATATCTCTGTAATCTTTCTATTAGCTTTATAGAAAGATACAATAAAATTGAAATGTCTACATTGCTATTTTTTTCCCATACCATCGAATATGAAAGTTAAAAAAAGCCACCATTGTAAACGTGTTAAAAGCAACATTTATATGTTTATATATGTATGTGTGTGTACACATCTGTTCTACTATATAGAAACAGATATTGTAAAAAACCATACTGTTGATTTAACAATTTTAAAAAATTGTTATTAATAACTAATGTGTTAATATTAATGAAACGATAAAATATTACAGTTATAGAATTTATAGAATGTAATTATAAAATATTTTATAATATTTATTATGCGCAAAGAAGGAAAAAGGTTAAATGAACTTGATCACAACATAAACGTATTATTTGAAATCAGGGAAATACTAGATAAAACAGTACTAAACTTAAATAGAGATATAAAAGAACGATTTAAAAAGAATAAATACCACTGCCACTGCAAAACGGAGATTCAGCAGCACCATCTTCGAGTCCACTCAAGATCTCTTGCTTTCCGACATCGCTGTCACCCACCAGTAGAAATTTGAGGAGGTAATCGTATTGTTTTTCTTGACGAGGCTTTGTTGTCCTGGCCTCACCTGCAGCCATAATATCCCTGTATTGGAAACCCTGAGCATACTGCAGGCGACCCTATAAGCACTGATCTCCCCTTTAATGTTTTCTGCGTTTAGAATCCGTGGACGGATGAACTTTTCTAATGAATCGTTTTCGTTGATCAAACCATACCGCACGAAACATCAAGTTCCTTCAGCGCATCGACGACGCTTCTTCTTATTGTTTTTTCATCAACAACTGTTTTACTTTTAAGCAAAATCATAACAAAACAAGAACGGTGTCTACTTTCCAGCGTATCATTCGACCTACGTTTAATTACTATTCTGAGGGCCGCTGTCATGAATTTTTCGAAGGTCAAGTACGTTCGACAAATAACCACAAACTAATAAGGCGGTTGTGTAATGGACGACAAATGCTTTGACAAAAATTGACTTGAAAAGGTCAGTTTCCATGTCACTCAATTACACTGTCCAATAAATACAAATCTTTTTTTTGTTCTGCGATGTCTACTAAGTGTTTCTAGTAAGTTTTTTGTCACAAGTCGCAAACACGAGTTCGAAAGCAGAATTGCTCTAACACCCTCAATTTTTAAGAAATACGAATTCTTGTAGAAAGCACGATTTTTGGCAAAAACGAGGTATCAAACACTAAAGCTAGGAAGCTCGAGATAGACTTAAAAAATAGAGGAAAGTCTCCTGAATATGTTAGTATATTCACTATTAAGATTTTTGATTTTGGATTATTATAAATGGTTGTTAGAGTTTGAAAAAGTATCGATGTGCGTAGTTTATATACAATATATTTACATTTTTTAAAAAAGTTTATTATAGTCGAGAAAAATATTTGTTTTTGCATTATTGTGCGCCTGGCTCTACTTGGCACTACTGTAATCGACATCAATAAAACCATGGGTACTAATAACTAAATTGTAAAGAATTTTTCGATTAATTTCGATTACCGACAATCTAACGAAAGTTTAAACCATGTCATACAAAAATTAGTTTTCGTGATTAATTTTGTACGAATAATATTTATTGTTAGAAATTTTATTTAAACAATTCTAAGTTTTATATTGTTTAAAAATTTACAATTTAAATGCTTTATATTCATATTAAAAAAATGAATTTAATGTTGGAGTATGTTTTAAATGTATATAAAATCTAAAAGAAACTATATAAAGCTGTACTTTGCCATTTAGACTTTCATAGGTAATAATTTATACAATTTCGTGAATTTTATTTTTTAACTATTTGAATAACATCTTCGTCGTGCATAACATGCTGCACTCCCACTCTTTGCGGAGAATACTTTGTACTTGTACCCTGAAAAAAATACAATAATTTTTTTAAACATATTCTCAATATTTTGTAAACAATATTTTCATCTACTTTTTAACATTGCTCAATTCGAATGTATTACTTTATTCGTCACTTTTCAAAAAGTATATTAAAACCTTAAATTACAGTAATCTTTTTATATGTATTAGTTATTTGTGAAAATTCCAAAAATGTTTTTAATAAATCTTCGCAGAAATTAAACACCCAGCTCCATACTCCTACAATTATTAAAGTCTGATTATCATTGTATTACTAAAAAACGATGTTTAACTTATCCATTTTCTCCTATATTAAGTAGTTTCTTACATGCCCCAATTGGTTTATAAGTCGTCCCCCCCGTGGTGTCATTCTCCCTACTTTAGAATATATTGACATAGATGGATTATGTAATCCATTCTATACAGATTATTCTACTTACCATAAGAATACAAAAAAAGTCATATGACATGGACCTAAAAATACTTCTTTTTCAAGATATAACGACTGTTTTATAAGGATACTTTATCAAAGAGTTTGTTAGGTGAATGTTCATGACTCTTTTTGACCCTTATAATGAATTGAATATATATACTCCTAAAGTATGGCCATTCATTCCAAATGTACTTCATAGCTGAGTGTTAATAATAATCAAATAGTATTTAATACATCTATAAATTAAATATTTCTTAAGGTATAAGAAACATGATTCTTACCCAAACAAGAGCATATTTAAATTGCTGAGCAAGTGTGCGATGAATGGCGTGACACACGTGTTCCACGGTAACACCTCTTCTTAATATTAAACCATCATCAAAATCGGGTGGTTGTCCAGGTTTCTTTGTGTATACTCTTATTAAGGATAAGTATTCCCATAGTGTTTCAAGCAAGAAGTCCAAATTCAACTTCATATTACAACTACATGGAAAATTACATGAAACATTACATTTATCGTTATTCCGATTCTTAATTATGTAAAACTTTGTTATTAAGATAACTTTTCTATATAGAATATAAGAATACATGCCAGAAACTTTACCTAACTACTACACTATTAGGTTGCCTAGCAATTCTGTCCACTTCTTCTATTGATATTTGATCTATTTTGTTATGTACATAAAGACATGGCAAATATACTCTGTTGGCATTGATCACATCGATCAATTCGTCTGCAGTACAGTCTTCGCGGAATAAAACTTCTGCATTAAAAATCTTGTATTCATGTAGAATCATTTGAACTAATTTCTCATCTACTTTTGTCAGTGGACATGTCGAATTAAAGGCCAATCCACCTCCTTTCTTTATTTTAAAATATATATTCGGCTTTTTCTTATTAAGTCGTATACCAACTGATTCCAATTCTTTTTCTAAAAGTTGTCTTTGTACATCTTGTTTAGTAGCATCTAACATCATAAGGACTAAATCTGCTGTTCTAGCAACAGCAATCACCTGTCTACCTCTTCCTTTACCCTAAAATATTTATTCATATGTATGAAAATGAAATAAAATCACTATATTAGCTACAATAAAATGTTATAATATATTTATCAAAACTTAATATTCTGATTACCTGTGCTGCGCCTTCAATTATTCCAGGAAGGTCAAGAAGTTGAATATTCGCCCCTTTATATTCAATAACACCAGGAATACAAGTTAAAGTAGTAAATTCGTAAGATGCTGCTTCAGATTCTGTATGTGTTAAAGTACTTAATAAAGTAGATTTTCCCACTGAAGGAAAACCTATTAAAGCTACTCTTGCATCTCCAGATTTCAATACATCAAAACCCTCTCCTTTCTCAGATTTCTTTCCAGGTTCTAAAAGTTGTGATCTATATTTTGCAAGTTTTGCTTTCAATAATCCTAGATGGTATTCAGTTGCTGAAAATAAAACATATATATTAAATTAAATATTAAATAACAATAGAATCATTTTATTGTATCAGTATTTATTAAAATTGTATACTTTATACATATATTTTTATAAATTATAATTGAGCTACATTATATTTAGAAATTATTATCATATAAAATTTAATTTCATTTATAAAAAGAAATTTAAGTATCAGTTAAACAATTCTATATTCTTAATAATAACAAATTTATTATAATTATTATATTATATAAATTTCTAATACCTGAAATAAATATTTTTTTTTCAGCTTATTATCATATTTACAACCTTTATATGTAGTTATTATAGCAATATTTCATTATCACTATACTAATAACCATAGACAATAATAAAAAGGAATATGCATATACATTCGTTTTTAAATTAGCTTTATTAAAAAGTCGTCATATCATGTAAAATAATTATGATTCTATACAATTTTGTTTAGAAATATACAGCAAAAGTATTTCAGTAAATATGTAATATTCCATCATTCTTTGCATATGCCATCAAAGTATGAATGAGTACTTAAAAAATATGGTTAGGGAAGAAATTTTAATTTTCTTGAAATATGTACAAACCTTTATTTTTTTGTGTTCGAGCAATTTCTTTTTCAATTTCAGATATTTTCTCTAATATGCCCATTCTGTATTTAAAAAGCTAAACAAATTTACATTTGCAAAATAGATACACACCGTTGCGCGCGGTGTGCGTAATAATATACGACAATTTTGTATGGATGCATCAATGTATGTACGCATGATAACCTACATATATTTAGTTATATTTACCATAAACAATGAAGTGTAGTGAAGGAATTCGTACTACAGCCAAGCTCGTCATATCCTTTCTTCTTTTTGATTGGCTCTGTCATTTCCTGCTAACCTTCCGCTTATTTACGGCAGATATTTACAGTTTATGATATGCATTACATGTACAAAAATTGTATAAATATTATAATTAAAATAAAAGTCTTTTTGAAAGTTTATTACTTATAATTAATATATGTGAAAATGTAATGTTGCGTCCCGATCTGCGGTCTAGGTGGATAAGGAGGTAGGTTAGTGTCTGTGGAGCGCTGATCGTTCTGCTCGGCGAGGCGCGCAAAATAAAACACTTAGAAATTTTCCGTAGTATCCCCAAACAAATTTACTTTATTTCGTAGATTGACAACTTGGCCGTGTTTTAGATGTTTGCTGTTGTTACGTTATCACGTGAACGTAGGTTTAATGCACATAGCGCCACAACGGGAATTAATTGTAACCCGATTATTCACCGTCGAGTGCAGAGTCATGTAACTGCGTTTTAGTTAGGAGCGAAATCCAAACGGACCGGCGTATTGTAATAAACAATACGATTGTATGTTTTTCAACGTGGGCGATTAAGCTGGGGAAGATAGAGAGAAAGGAAGGCACTTCTTTTCAGATACTTAGTTTATTTTCTAAAGACCACGACACATCGGAGTTTCCGTCGTTCCTTCTTTTTGTTTATTACGGACCGTGCCAAATTAGCTATTTCCGTTAAGAGTTTCAATGGTCTTGACACACAGCAGGGCCTCGCGACACTTCGCTTCGAGTTTCGTTTACTTTCACAAGGGTCATAAATTTTCTTAAGGGTTGTTTAGGCCGCTAGCCTCGTTTTCTCTCTCGACTCCCACGCTCTCTCTCACGCGCGCCCGCTCCAACATGGCCGCGTAACCTCCACCTCCACTCGGCTCGGGGGTGGATCATCGATCGAAGACGATCCGGATGGATGGGGCAAGGCACAAACCCCGATTGGACCAGGACAATCCAGAGGGAGGATCGAGGAATATTCCGGAGAAGGGATGAACACCGAGGACGACGAGAAGATTTCCGCGGAGGAACAGATCGATTTTGAAAGTCAACCGAGTTGTATCTAAAAATCAAGACGAAGACGAATAAACTTTTACCATTCTTTTTCGAACATACTTAGTAGTTTGATTTTTGCGCGCCTCGCCGAGCAGAGCGGTTCAGCGCTCCACGGGCACCAACCCACCGTCCTTTTTCCCTAAACCGCGACCTCGGGACGTAACACTGTATTCTTTCGAGAGTTGATCTGCCCTGCGAATTCTGATTTTACCATAAGCAACCCTCGGTGGTGACAGCAACCAAGGTGACAGCGACGAACGTTGCTCAGCGGAGGGAAGACTGAATCTAGTTCTAATAAATTCCCGTCGCGGCGCTATATGTACTAAACCCGAATTCACGCGATAGCGTAACACTATCTAACTCGACATTAGATTTTAAGTTGGTAGTGTTGGTACTCTACTGTAATGAATCCGTTTTAATTTGAATCAGCGATGATAACTGTTGCTGTACAATTTAAAACAAACGAATTATCGAGAACAAGTATAATTATGTGAAAAGTGAAACATTGTCCGTTATCATGGAAGAAATTTTTCAAATACTTCACGAAAGTAATTTAAATAATGAAGAAGAATCGGAGGATATTGCTGAAAGCGGTTCCTTGCAAAATTTAAAAAGGGATACTGAAGAATTGCTTGCGAATGCAAGGTGCACTATAGGAAGTGTTGAATACGCAAGTTTGAACAAAATGTTGGCCATCTGTTATTTAAAGGTGTTATCGTTGTATTAATATTATCTTATGCATTGACAAGCTTACTTAATAGATATATATATGCGTACATACATACATAAGATACTAATAAATTTATAAATATCGTTTACAGATGGGTAATGAACTTGAAGCTATATGTCGATTAATCGAGTCGCACGCAGTCATACTTCGTCAACAAATATTGCACAGGTGTGTGAAGACAAAGATGCAAGAACTGATTTTAAATACAAAAAAATTCTATGGACTTAGGTCTTCCTACGTAGAGTTTGATATAAACTTGCCAAATAGTGTTGATAATGTAAAAGCAAAGCTCTTTGATTTACCCACAGGTGAAATACACTAAACAAATACATATTGCACAAATATTATCCAATATGTTAATCTATTATTCATTTTTGTTTAATGCATAGAATGGTATGTGATTCAAATTACTGCTCAATATAAGTCTCCAGGTATTTCTGAAAATCGCAAATCCATATTTAACGAAATGCAAGCTGTGCATATTATCGTACTACCAACAGGAACTAAAGAGACGGAACCTTTGTGTATAACATTACCAAAGCCAAAATTTCATTATCCCTATGACATTTGTGATGAAATCCAGAAAATACTTTCTAATAATAGATCAGAACTCGAGGCTACTTATGCAAACCATGAATTATATTGGAAAATGCGCAATCGGCAAAATGATAGCATGAGGGTACTTACAATATCAATAAGTAAAATCTTAATAAGTCTAATATTTTTTGTATGAATGTGTGCATATAAATATATTGTAGACAGCTATACACGCATTGGAATACACGTGGTTACGAGAATGGAGGATCTTATTTATGGCAGATCCAATAGACAAACATGATTTAGTAACAGACATTGTACAAATGATTGATAAACTTATATCAGACAACAAAGTACAGTAAGTAAGCTTTCAGATTGATAAATTTTTCATTTTATTGACCAATATACTTGAGGTTACATATTATAGATGGAACATACCAAAACGATCTGTGTGGTTACTGAAAAAAATAGCACTTGGTGCATGTTTTCTTACACGCGAAGAAATAGCATATGCGGTAAAGTATGTGCTTTCTGGTTATGACAAACTTGCTGATAATATTATACTGTCCATATATGGCAAATTGTCATGTATACAAGAATTAAAAGATGCAACTAGAAAGACATTGGTTTTAATTGTCGACGAAGTGCGTATATCATCTTGTTGCATGTAACTAATAGGATAAATTATGTTGATTTATTTCATAAGTTTTCTAAATAACTTTCAGCATATGGATTACATACCCTTTGAATCTATGAAAATCTTACAATGTCATCCCATTACTCGTTTTCCATCGCTGCACGTTGCGCACGCATTATTTAAGGAACACGAAAGTACCATGAAAAATGGCTGTAAAATAATTACAGTTAAAAATGATATGGGCACGTGTATTGTTAACCCATCAGGAAATTTATGTAAAATGGAAAAACGCATCCGACTTTTTATTGAACACTGGTTACCAAACTGGAAAAGTTCGTACGGTGTTGAACCACAAGAAATTTTCAAAGATACTTTAATTAATCGTGATATATTAATGTATGATTATTTAAAATATTGATATTTCATTATTCATACAATGTTTATAGTACTCTGTTTTAATAGGTACAATGGGCATGGTAATGGGATACAATATTTACCAGGAGAACAAATTGAAAGACTTAAGGTGAAGTCAATTGTTTTATTATTTGGTTGTAGTAGTGTAAAATTACTTGAAGTGGGAGGACGTTATCCACCGCACGGTGTTTCAAATCGGTATTTAATAGGAAGCAGGTAATAAACTCTAAGATTTAAAAATTATTGCGTGATTTAACATATAATTTAAATTGAATTGTTAGACAAATCAAGAAGTGTTTTCCAGTAATTATTTTATTTTTAGTCCATGCGTACTCGGTATGTTATGGGAAATTACAGATGTTGATATTGATAAAATGACTACAAATTTCATTAGTAGTTGGATTCCATCGCCATTAAACAGACCATGGGCTGATGTCGACATTAATATGTGGCTTGCGGGTATTTTGAGTTAGTACAAACACTTACACCGTTTTTATTTATTTATCTTTCAATTACTTTTATTACCATAATTCTATTCAAATTTTTTAATCTAATTTTTCAATTAGAATTTCCAAAGAATTCACAAAAGGTCGGTCTAAATATTCCTCTGGAACCTGAGATGTTGAGAGCAGTGGCAAAGTCTAAATATGCCTGTTCTCAGTATATGACCGCGGCAGCAATAGTGATACGAGGATTGCCAATAAAGTTGATTTAAATTGTAAATGTAAATACGATACAGATGAATGCAAATATTTTATATTAATTTATATAGACTACAACTTAATTACAAATGCAAAATCAGACTCTCGCGGTTTTGTTGCCTCTCATTCAGCGTGGCTTGTGTTAGAATCGACTGTGGTAGTAATACTGCATGAGCTACACTGTGGGTGGACACTAGAAACACCACATTCCGTTCTTTAAATTGTGGCTCAAATGTTTTCCGAGATATCTGCTGCAAAAAATCGTCAATCCTAACACCTTGTAGGCTGTAACCTACGTATAGGGATATGGGGCCTAGGAAATAACTATACGTGGCTTTGCGGAAAGTACTGTTTATTCGCCTGTCTTCCAGGCTGGCTTGAAGAAGACTCCCTGACTCAGTGTGGCCAGATCTGGCATAATTGAGTGCATCGAAATCGACAACAGTGACGACGAACTTCCTTAGCGTCTAACGGAATGGTGGGGATAGCAGGCATACACTACCGCACGAGCCACGTGTACGTGAGCTCGGCACTTCGCACAACTTCGGCAAATCGATAAAGAACGCTAGTGTGAGCCTTTCCTTCTTGCTCTTGTAAAAGAGAAACAGCTGAAATACGACCTCGCGATAATCGGCATACGATTCCAAGTCTCGACTGCCCCAGCATTTTTACTTTCCGACCTATATGTAAGGTATAAGGAAATTTATAAAGTATCATAATGAAAAAAAATTTTGAAATTTCTTTTTAGCGGAAATACACGTTTTAGGACCCCCTGATTATATTGTGACTATTGAAAAAAAAGACATTTTTTTTGTTCCTCAATGACTAACAATAAGTGAATTGCAATAACGAAAAAAAAATTTCGAAATTTTTTTTTAGCGGAAATACACGTTTTGGGCCCCCCTGATCATATTGTGACTATTGAAAAAAACGATATTTTTTTTTGTTCCTATGCTATTAACATGAATGCGTCTAAACGGCTGAATGAATTTCAATGAAACTTAACATTTAAGTTTTATGTTCTCGTTTTAAGGTCTCATTATATTTTAAGCGTGATCAGTTCCCATATAATGATGATTATACGTCTGTAGTTTTATAATTATTTCGATACATATACATCATTTCTAACAAATTTTTAAAACGATTTATATAAATCTTAAGAAGGATTAAGATCAAATATACTTTTCTCCTATCTTTCCTAGACAGGAAAAATTAAACGAAATCTTATGCCTTGCATACCTACCTAAACCACATAAAAAACGTATTCCACAAATATTTTAGAATAATGTTGTTCAAAGCAGTCTTACTCGTAAAGGGTTAATTAAGGGTGTAACGGGAATGTGGTTTATTATTCACAAAACAAAGATAAAACTTTTACACTTGATTTTGCGATACGGTCGAGGGTTTACACGTACGGTTTTGTCACGGCGCGATTTAAAATCTAACTGGCGGAGGTAGTTTTGGTGATAGCCGAACGCGTAGTTTGGTCGTTACTACGACTCGCGGATCGACTTTCTTTGGAGAAGGAGTGTGGAAGTGCCGTGGTCCGCGTAGGCAACGTCTTCTTCCACGAGGAGTGATGAGAGAGGATCTGTAGAGGTGCCGTCGGAGACGTCTTCCTCTAGAGTGTTGGACAAGCTTTTGGTACCGGTCACTGTATAGATCTCGGTTTCCTCGGCTTGGGCGTTGGGATGGTTTGCGATACAAGGTTGTGGAGTGCCGAACACCGTAAGCGTCGTCTGCTCGTAACCTCTGTAGCCTAACCTTGACTCGTTTGATTTTTTTTTTTGTCCTTTTCTCTTGTGTGACTGCAATACCTTGGGCTGCGCCTTATAACCTGCACTTAGAAATGTATAGTTAATGTCTGTGTGTAATTTTGGTGGGGTGGTTTTATTGAGTTAATTTCATGTGTTAGGATCGAGGGAAAAGTTTCAAAAACCTCGATGCATTGGTATGTCGTGCGACAGTGGAGATTGGGTGTTAGATATTTGGGATGAGTTTGGGTGTTTTCATGAGGATCTTTAGTGGGAATTCTGCGCGATTGTAGTTTCCTAGGGAGGATACTAGGGGGTTTGGGTGCTGAGTGTTATTTTCCTGGGCTTTAGTGGCTAATGTCATGATGTATTCGTGCAGGAGTTCTGTTTTTGCTTCTCTGTGGAGTAGTGCTGTGGAATAGGATCGGGGTTTGTTGAATATAATCATGAGGTATTTATTTTGGATTTTTTGTAGTGTAGCTATGTGTGTCCTTGCGGCGGTGCACCATACTGGTGCGCCGTAAGTTAGGATGGGGCGGATGCAGGTTTTGTAAAGTCGGATTTTTAGTGGGATAAGAAGCGGGCTGTTTCGAGCTAGGAACGGGTAGAGAATGCGGAGGATCCCTAAGCTTTTGCAGGCTGTCTTTGGTATTATGTTGCCATTTTAAATTGTTGTCAAACCATATTCCTAGGTATTTTACTTTGGAGGACCAGTTGATAGGGTGATTGCTTACTATTAATTTGTCAGGGTTCTTTAGCCTTTTTGGGGTGAAAAAAATTGTTTCTGTTTTGGTTGGATTTAGCGCTAGCTTCCATGTGGTGGTGAATCGGAGGATGTTGTCGAGGTGGTTTTGTGTGTGCTTGGTTGCCAGTTTGATTTGCCACAAGGAGGAGTAGATGGCTGTGTCGTCTGCGTACAGGGCTAGTTTTGTGTTGGTGCTTTTGGGAATGTCGTTGATGTAGATGTTGAATAGGATGGGTCCCAGGACTGATCCCTGGGGTACACCCCGGTGTGCAGGAGTCTGGGTAAGGAGATGGAACCATTGTAGGAGACTGTCGTGAGCCTGTCCGTGAGGTAATTTTGGATTATTTTAATTAGGTGGATATGGAGGTTGATGTGGTGCAGTTTGAGGAGGAGGCCAGTGTGCCAGACGGTGTCGAAGGCCTTCTGGAGGTCTAGTAGAACTAGGACCACCGTCCGGTTCTTGTTCACCTCCAGCGCAATGCCCTCCTGTAGCCTTAGGGCTTGCTGGACGGTGGAGTGTTTGGCTCTGAAACCAAATTGTTCTTGAATTAGGATGTTGTTGGAGGAGAGGTGTGCATTGACTTGGATGAGAATTATTTTTTCCAGGATTTTGCCGAGTAGGCTCAGCAGGCTAATTGGCCTGTAGTTGTATGGGTTTAGTGCGGATTTCTTGGGTTTGGGAAAAGGTATTATGCGAGCTGTTTTCCAGGCAGTGGGAAAATAGGCTAGGTGGTATGACTGCCTGAAGATGTAATAGAGTTGGAGGGTCATTCTGGGAGGAAGGTGTTTTAGTTGGATGGCTGTTATTTTGTCAGGGCCAGGGGATTTTTTGTTTTTTAAGTTCTTAATCAGTCTGAGAATTAGTTGGGGGGTGATGGCTGTGGTGTTTGAAGGGGGGGTGTTGGTGTTGTTTAGCTTGTGGATGAACTGCTCAGTTTCCTGATCGATGGAAGAATTGTTAAGTATGCTGGGTGGGAGGTGGAAAGCTCTGACAAGTGATTCCGTTTTGTCTGCGTTAGTGTAAGCTATGGTGTTGCCGTCGTTGAGTGGTGGAATTGTGGTTTTGGTTTGTTTTAGGGATTTGTATGTCGTCCAGAGTCTGTTGGGATTGTTAGCTATTTGGGAGATTTTGTGCTGCCATGCTGTGTTCTTTAGTTCGCGGATCTTGGATTGGATTTGGCTGGTGAGAGTGTTTCGGAGATGTCTGTGTAGTGGGTTGGCTGTGTTTTAGTATTTGCGTCTGTATCTGTTGCGTAGTTTTATGAGGTTCAGTAGCTCGGTGTCTGGTTTTATAGTTTTGTGGTAGGCATGCGTGGTGGTGGTTGCTCTGTTGAAGTTTTTTCTTATTGAGGTTTGAATTTTGGTTATTTCTCTGTCTATTTCCGGGGTAGAGTTTAGGTGCGGGTTTATGGAGTAGTTGTTCCCCTGGGAGCGGAATAGGTGCCAGTCAGTAGTGGAGAGGGTGCAGTTTGTGAATTGGGTGTGATTGTTGGTGTGCTGGAGGATTATTGGGAGGTGGTTGGAGGGGAGGTCGTGTATTGTGTGGCATTCGGAGTAGTGGGTGGAGTTGGTTAAGAAGATGTCTATGTTGGATGGTCTAGCATGAGGCTGTTTGTGGGAGTAGGTATCACTGTTGAGGATGTGGTAGGAGTTTTTGGTCATGTGGGTGTACAGTGCTTTGCCGTTACTGTTGGTGGTGATGTTGTTCCAGCAGGGGTGCTTGGCATTGAAGTCACCCCCGATGATGAATTTTTGGTTGTGGGAGGTTAGGGTGTCCAGGTCATGCTGGGAAAAACGTTTGTTTGGGAGGAGGTAGGCTGCTCCGAGAATGATTTTAGGGTTGGTGGTGAGTTTGATGAATATGCCCTCTACTCTGTCCAGGAAGGGTTGGGGGAGAGTGTCGTACTTGAGGTTCTGGTGGATGATGATTACTACTCCTCCATGTGGTGTGTGTCGGTCTTTCCTAATTACATTGTATCTGGGGAAGCGGATGTCATCGGTGGGTTTGAGCCAGGTTTCAGTGATTAGGGCTAATTGAATTTGTTGTTGTTCGAGGAATATTTGGAGTTCAGAGGTTTTGTTGATGATGCTGGTTGCATTCCAGAGAAGTATCTTGGGGGGTAAGTTAGCCATTTATGAGTTCGGTGGCTTCAAGGAACGCTTGAAGTTTCTGAACTTTAGTGTTGCATGTGCTGAGTTTAGTGTACAGAAAGTCGAGGGCTGCGGCCATGCTATTTATGTCCAGGATTTCATTAATGGCTTGAGCCTTAGCGAATAAGCTTGAGAGGTCCGGTTGTGTAGTCTGTCTGTTTTGGGCGGTGATACTGGCATATGTTTTTCTGGGGGTTACTGTGGGAAGGCTTTGCTGGGGGGGTGTGAGTGTTATTGGTGGGGGCACGCTGCAGGGAGTGGGGTTGGATGTTGGTGATGTTTTGCTCACTTGTGGTGGGGGGTTTTGTGCAGTGGAACGTTTCTTGAGGAATGCTAATAGGGAAGGGCACTGGCTATAGTTGGCCGGATGGGAGCCTCCGCAGTTGCAGCATGTGGCTGGGGTTGTGGGGGGTTTGGTGCACTCTTGGGTGCTGTGTTTGCCCGCGCACTTTAGGCAATTGTGTGCTTTGGTGCAGTTGGAGGAGGAATGTCCGAATGCCTGGCATCGGTAGCACTGAATGTAAGGGCGGGAGCTGTTATATTTTTCCCAGTATGCTCGGGTGTGAGCTACATTTCTAACATGGTTTATTTGCTGCAGGGTGGTGCCTTTAGCAAAAATTACCTTGTATGTCGCGAGGTAGCTGGGTATTTTTCGTTTGAGTTCTGAGCAGCAGAGGGCGTTTAGGTCCTTCGCCTGTATTTCCGCTAGAATTTCGTCCGTCGGGAGTTTGGGGAGTCCTTTGAGGACTACGGCAATTGTTTTTTCCGCTGTCAGGGAGTATGTGTGATATTGTATGTTGCTGTCGGTTAGGAGGTTTTTGGTGGCTAGGAAGTCGGGTGTAGTGGCCAGGGTGACTTTGGCTTGATTTGAAAGGTATTTCACCTCAAACTTGTTGTCGATGGTAGATTTTATCAGGTCACAGAGTCCGTTGTGGTCTTTGATGTGCGTGTGAATGAATATCGGCGGCGGCTTACCTTGGGCTGCAGATGGAGTTGGGTCGTTAGGGGGCGTTACCTGCTCCTTGGGGCTGGGTTGTGAGTTGGCGTCGTTGCTGATGTCAAAGATGTCCGCCAGGGCGGCGAATCTGTTACTGATGGGCGTTGGCTGGGTGGCAGGGCGCGTCGGTGCTCCGGAATCGTCGGCGGATGCTTCCTTCGATGTCCTTTTTGTTCGGTGTAGGATGAATCCGTCCGCGGAGATATTGGAGTATGTAGATGTTGTTGGTTTGGACGTGTCCATGTTCGTGCTTGTGGTGGCGGCGGTGGAGATTGGTGTTGCTCTACTTGAGTCGGAGAGCGAGGTTGCTCTCCTCCTAACTGTTATTGGCGCGTATGGTTCACCTTCCCATCGCGCTGCCTGACGATGGAGGTGTTTAGTTTTGTTTGGCCCTGTGGCCAGCTTGATTCTGGAGGGCACCTCCTGGTGTTGCCTTTTGGGCCTCGGTCCAAAATGGTTCGGCACTTCACTGGCTGGCGCTTCCACTGGTATTATTACGCTGTCGTTCGCTTTTCGTTATTCGCTGCTCTGCTCTGTCGTTGCTCAGTCGCTGCTCGGTCGCTTTCGCTACGGGGTGGTCCGTTCCTCACGGAGTCCCAAGGTCGAGTCCTCCCTCGTTTGATTTTGCTGTTTTTCCTGTTTTAGCTGCAGTACCTGGGGCCGGGGGCCCTATAACCTGCATTTAGAATAATTATTAGTGTCTGGTATATATTTATGTAACGTGGGGTTTTGGTATTTCATGCATTCGGGCTCGAGGGAAAACTTTCAAAAACCTCGTTTTCATGCTTCATGCGGTTAGCTTGATAGTGGGGGTTGTTAGTTCAGGATGAGTCTGGGTGTTTTTATCCGCGTTTTTAGTGGGATGGTGCTGGGATCATAGTTCCCTAGCGTGGCTATTAGGGGATTTGGGTGTTGTGAGTTGGTGATTTGAGTTGCTGCGGCCAGCTTCATGACATGCTCGCGGATGTATTCAATTTGTGCTTCCTCATGCAACGAAGCCGTTGTGTAGCGATTTTCCGGAGATAGGGGTTTATTTAGAATGATGCGGAGATACTTATTTTGTATTTTCTGGATCCTGGTCAGGTGTGTGTTTGCTGTGGTGCACCAGATTTCTGCTCCGTATGTCAGGATTGGTCGTACGCAGGTGTAGTATATGCGGAGTTTCAGAGAGGTAGAGAGTGGGCTGTTCCTGGCTATGAGGGGATAAAGCATGCGTAGGACTCCGATGCCTTTGCAGGCTCGGTCTTGTGTGTTATGTTTCCACTGTAGTTTAGTGTCGAACCAGATTCCTAAATATTTAACTTTGTTAGACCATGTTATGGGGTGGTTGTCTATGGAGAGGTTGGTGGGGTTGGGATTACGCTTGTAAGTGAAGAGGATTGCCTCTGTTTTGGAGGGGTTTAAGGTAAGCTTCCAGGTTTGGGTATACTGAAGTATGCTGTTGAGGTGGTCTTGTGCGTATTTAACTGCTTGGTTTGGAGCCCATGAGGAGGAGTAGACAGCAGTGTCGTCAGCGTAGAGTGCGATTTTAGTGTTGTGGCTTCTGGGGATGTCGTTTATGTATATGTTGAATAGTGTGGGGCCTAGGACTGACCCTTGCGGGACTCCTGTGTGTAGAGGTCTGGGTTCGGATTTTGTGCCATTGTGGTATATAGTCATTGATCTGTTGTGTAGGAAACTTTGGGATATCTTGATTAGGTGTTTGGGGAGGTTGATGTGCTGTAGTTTTAGCAGGAGTCCATTGTGCCAGACAGTGTCGAAGGCTTTCTGGAGGTCTAGTAGGACTAGAGCCACCGATCTGTTCTTGTTCACTTCTAGCGCAATGTCTTCCTGCAGTCTGAGAGCTTGGTGGATTGTGGAGTGTTTGACTCGGAAGCCAAATTGTTCTGGGATTAGGGAGTTGTTTTCTGAGAGGTGGGTTTGTATATGCATCAGGATGATTTTCTCTAGGATTTTGCCTAGAAGGCTAAGGAGGCTGATTGGTCTATAATTGTTGGGGTCGGTATGAGCTTTCCCTGGTTTGGGGAGGGGTATGACTTTGGATATTTTCCAGGAGCTGGGGAAGTAAGCCAGGTTGTAGGATTGCCTGAGGATGTAGAAAAGCTGGATGATCATTCGGTTGGGTAGGTTTTTGAGTTGGAGTGCTGTAATTTGGTCTTGTCCTGGAGATTTCTTGTTTTTCAGGTTCCTTATTAGTCTGCGGATTAATTGTGGGGTGATGGATTGTGGGTTGAGTGGAGTGGTGTCGGAGGAGGCTAGGTTCCGAGCAAGAAGATCGGCTTCCTGGTCTATGGGGGGTGTTATTTGGTTGAGGGGGTGGTAGGTGGAGTGTTTTGGCTAGGAGTTCCACTTTATCGGAGTTGGTGAATGCCGTGGAGTTGTGGCTGTGAGAGGAGGTATGGTGTGTTTGTTATTTTTCAGGGCTTTGTAGGTTGACCAGAGGGTGGAGGGGTTGGAGTCGATTTGGGAGAGCTTGTGGTTCCAGGAGGAGTTTTTGAGGTCCCGAATCTTGGTTTTAATTTGTCTTGTGAGGGTGTTTTTGAGGTGTCTATGCAGGGGATTAGCGGTGTTCTGGTATTTGCGCCTGTATCGATTTCGGAGTTTGATGAGGTTGATGAGTTCTAGGTCTGGCTTGATGGTTTTGGAGTAAGCATGAGTGGTGGTAGTTGCTCTATTGTGGTATCGTAGGATTGATTTCTGGATTTTGGAAATTTCTTGGTCTATGTCCTGTGTGGAGTTAAGGTGCGCATTGATAGGGTAGTTGCTGCCTTGGTTGCGGAATTGGAGCCAGTTGGTGGTGGAGATTGTGCAATTTGTGAAGTTAGTGCTGTTTGTGTTGTGCTTTAAGATGATTGGGAGGTGGTTGGAGGGTAGGTCGTGGATGGTGTAGCATTCGGTGTAGTGGGAGGAATTTGTTAAGAAGATGTCTATGTTCGAGGGTCTGGCCCGAGGCTGTTTGTGAGAGTATGTGTCGCTGTGTGCAATGTGATACGAATTTTTTGTCATATGTGTATAAAGTGTTTTGCCGTTGGTGTTTGTGCACGTGTTGTTCCAGCAGGTGTGTTTGGCGTTGAAGTCGCCCCCTATTATGAATTTATGGTTGTGTGTGGTTAATGCGTTGAGGTCTTGCTGTGTGAAGCGTTTGCTGGGAGGTAGGTAGGCTGCGCCTATGATGGTTTTAGGGTTATTGGATAGTTGTATGAATGTGGCTTCTACGTTGTCCAGGAACGGCATTGGGAGTGGATCGAATTTTAGGTTCTGGTGTATTATGATGGCTACTCCTCCTTTTGGGGTTGGGCGGTCATATCGGATGATGTTATATCTGGTGAGTCGGATGGAATCAGCTGGCTTTAGCCAGGTTTCTGAGATGAGGGCTATTTGGATTTGGTGATGTTCAAGGAAGAGTTGGAGTTCTGGGATTTTGTTGAGGATGCTGGTGGCGTTCCATAGGATTATTTTGGGGGGGAGATTAGCCATTTATAAGCTCGGCGGCTTCTAAGAAGGCTTGGAGTTTCTGTACTTTTGTTTGGCATGTTACTAATTTACTATAAAGGAAATCTAATGCGGCTCCCATACTGGAGATGTCTAAGAGTTCGTTAATGGCTTGCGCCTTGGAAAAGAGGCTGGTGAGGTCCGGTTGATTTGGAGTTCTCGGTTTGGGGGTGGAGTTTGAGGTTACGTTGGCGTACGTTCTCTGGAATGTTGGAGCTTGGGATGGCTTTGTTGGTTGGAGGAGGGTTGCGGGTGGTGTTGGGAGGCTGGCTATTGTGGGGGTAATTTGGGGAGCTTTGAGTGGGTAAGTTTATTGGATCTTTTTTGTAGGAAGTTTAGAAGTGAGGAACACTGGCTGTAGTTTGCCGGGTGTGCGCCCTTGCAGTTGCAGCAAGTGGCTGGGGGTGGTTGGGGGTTTGACACAGTCCTTGGTTTGGTGGGGTCCTGCACACTTTACGCAGGCGGGGTTCTTAGTGCAATTGACTGATGAATGTCCGAAGGCTTGGCAACGGAAACATTGAATATAGGGTCTGGAGCTATTGAATTTTTCCCAGTAGGCTCGGGTGTGCCCAAGGGACCTGATTTGATTAATGTGCTGAAGGGTGGTACCCTTAGAGAAGACTAGTTTGTATGTTGCAAGGTAGCTGGATTCCTTTCTCTTGAGCTCCGTGCAGGAGAGAGGGTTGAGGCCTTTGGCTTGAATTTCCTGGATAATTTGGGACGGGGGGAGCTTGGGTAGGCCTTTGAGGACAACTGCCATGGTTTTCTCATTGGAGAGGGTATAAGTGTGGAGTTGAATGTTGTTGGATGTTAGTATGGATTTAACTGCCTGGAAGTCGGAGGTGGTGGAAGTGGTGATTTTTACCTGGGTTTTGAGGTACTTAACCTCAAATTTATCTTTGGCTGTGTCCTCTAGAAGTTTGCACAGTCCCGAATGGTTGACAATGGTGGAGTGAATAAAAATAGGTGGAGGCTTACCCTGAGTTGAGTTTGTTTGATTTGGAGGTGGAGCAGAAACCTGAGCACTGGGGGGCTTGGTGGTGCTGGCGGCGATGGTGGTAGAGCAGCTGGGGTTGGGGTCTTCTGCGGCAAAAATGTCTGCTAGGGCCCCGAACCTGTTCCTCGTCGCGACAGGGGGTGGAGCAATGGCGGCTGTAGTGGCAGCAATGGCCGCCTCCTTCACTGTATTTTTTGGGCGTGGTAGCGTGAATCCTTCCGCGCTTGTTCTTTGGTCGGCCATTATTGGCTCTGCCGGGGATGAAGCTCTTATTGAATCTGATAGTGACAAGGCTCTTCTCCTTACTGTTGGTGTGTAAGGTTCGCCATCCTGCCTGGCGGCTTGACGGTGGCGAAAGTATGTTTTTTCCGGCCCGGCGGCCAGCTCTGGTCGTTGGGCCTTGCCTTTTTGGTGGGTGGGTGTATTCCGTATATCCTGCTCGAATGTCTGGTCGGGGTGCCTAAGTCGTGATCCTTTGTTTGATTTGGAAATCTGTGGGCTATTTCAAGGAAAAGGACGGACCATGGAGAGAAGGGTTTTTCCTTTGCGCGGTACCTGCAGTCGCTCTGTACAGTGCCGCGTACGGGGTTTTTCCACCTCAGGGGCGTCGTCGTCGCAGGTTCCTAAACGGGGCGCCGCGTTACAATGATGTTTACATTTAATTTTACACGTTACAAGGGTTAATTAAAATGAAAAACCACTCTTAGCCAGTACCGTGCACGCTACAGAAATAGATTACTACTGACTTTTCCCACTATGTTTTTTAATAACCGTATCAAATTGTTACACACAATCAAATGTTATATATTTGACTTAACTTTACATAACAAAATAATTGTAACGATAGGTAAAACAATAACGTGCACGCTACCGTTCAATGGAAACCACGGGAAGGTGGTGGTCACTTCCATCAGAAGGGAAATGTAAAAAAATGTTATTTCTTTGTAACATTATCACATGCCATATATTAGAACGTCTATATTCTTCTTTCCTTTTTTTTTGATTCCTCTCTAAATTCATTTCTGCAAAATGAAATATATTAAATTGACGTCTATATACTGCTATCATTCAATAGAACTTTATTTCTAATTATTGCCTTTTAAAAACCTATGGGAACTGGGCTATACAGGGTGTTCGGCCACCTCTAGCAAAAATTTTAATGAGCGATAGTAGAGGCCAAAATAAGACGAAAATCAAGAATACTAATTTGTTGATGGAAGCTTCGTTAAAAAGTTATTAACAATTAAATTCAAAAATTTCAAATCGTTCTGGAAAAATTATTTTCGGTTGCGGGGGTCAACTACAATCATTTTTGGTGAGTACACATACCTCCGAAATCCTATCTACTTTCGAGAAAAAAAATCGAGTAGGTGCTGAAATTTTTCGGCGAAAAAAAATTTTTCAAATCGTTTTAAAAAAATTATTTTCGATTGCGGGGATCAATTACAATCATTTTTTATCATTACACATACCTCCGAAATCGTACGCACTTTCGAGAAAAAATTCCTTACTGAAAATCCAATTAGGTGCCTAAATTTTTCAACGGAGAAAAAAAATTGCAAATCGTTGTGGAAAAATTATTTTCGGTTGCGGGGGTCAATTACAATCAGTTTTTGTCATTAGACATACCCACGAAATCCTGCCCACTTTCGAGAAAAAAAATAGAGAAGGTGTGAAATTATTCGAGAAAATTAAAAAATTGCAAAACGTTGTGGAAAAATTATTTTCGGTTGTAGGGTTCAATTACAGTCATTTTTGGTGAATAGACATACCCCCGAAATCTTGCGCATTTTCGAGAAAAAAATTCAGTAAGAGCGGCACTTTAAACGTTAATAACTTGTTAACGAAGCTTCCACCAACAAATTAGTATTCTTGATTTTCGTCTTATTTTGGCCTCTACTATCGCTCATTAAAATTTTTGCTAGAGGTGGCCGAACACCCTGTATATACAGGGTGAGGCATTTTAAACAGGTCACCTGAATAACTCGCTTGTTTTTGAAGATAGGAGAAAATGCATTAGACCAAACTTATTTGGTATCGGGGGGCTCATAATCTGGTATTACCAATTTTTTTGTAGGTGGAGGCGTCAAGGAGATATGAAGGTCAACTTTGTTTTTTTAAATGGAACAGTATATTTTATTACTTACATTCTGATAGAGTGTTTCAAGGCGAATACAATGACCTATTATTAAGGTCATTCAAGGTCACCCAAAGTCAACTGCAATAGAAAATAAATTGTGTCAAAGCACTCTTCGAACACTTGGATACTTTGATACTGCTATTACAAGTGTTCAAAATGGCGACCTTGAACATGGATACATAGTCTAAATCGTTGCAATACTGATGACACTGCCTGGCAAATTTCATTTGTATCTATTACAGAGCAAGCTCTTCTTATACGTTCTTGCATGTCAAGTTTGGTAGTTGGTTTTTCGCGGTACACTTCTGCCTTTAATTTTCCCCACAAATAAAAATCGAGAGGTGTCAGGTCTGGGGATCGTGCCGGCCATTTGTTACTTCCTGATCGACCTACCCAAGAATCTCCAAATTTTCTATTTAGAAATTCTGTAACATTGCGTGCTGAATGAGCAGGGCATCCGTCTTGCTGGAACCACATGGATTGTCGTATGTCCAGTGAAGTGTCTTCTAACAATTCTGGCAAAACGTCTTCTAAGATTCTCAGGTACTTACTACTATTTAGCGTGCCATCAATAAAATATGGACCAATTATTTTATTATGAAGAAGACCGCACCAGACGTTTACAGACCAAGGTCTCTGTTTGTCGACTTCTCTCAACCATCGTGGATTATCTACCGACCAGTAGTGCATGTTGTGACGGTTAATTGCTCCATGGTTTGTAAATGTGGCCTCATCGGTAAATAACAATTTACTCAAGAACATTTCATCGTCTTGTAGTTTTTGTAAGCCCCATTCACAAAATTGTAAACGTTTTGTATAATCATTTTCAGTTAATTGTTGATGAAGTGATATGTGGAACGGATGAAATTTGTTAATGTGTAATATTCGTAAAATACTTCGTTGACTGATGCCACTTTCGCGTTCCAGTTGTCTTGTACTAACATGTGGATCTTGTATTACAGCTGCTACAATATTTATCGAGTTTCCATCATCAGTTGCTCGTTTGGCAAGATTACGTGTTTTGTTATCCACAGTTCCAGTTTCTTGGAACTTTTTTATAATGTTTGTAAAGACAGAAAGTGAAGGTCTATTATTACGATCGGGAAATCTTTCACTATACACACGTACCGCTTCCCTCATAATTCTATGACATTCACCATAAATAAGAACCATTTCTACTTTCTCTGCTATCGTGTAACGCATTTTAGAAAACTAAACACTTAGACTGAATAAATGTTACGAAGCTGTGCTCTAGTCGGTAGTAAAATTACCAATAATGTTTGAGGATACGGATAAGCGTACAATGTGATTGAATGTTTGTTTATCTTTTGTGACCCGTGTCACGCAATACACACACGTGATACACAAGTATTCGAAATGTACTCTGACACAATTTATTTTCTATTGCAGTTGACTTTGGGTGACCTTGAATGACCTTAATAATAGGTCATTGTATTCGCCTTGAAACACTCTATCAGAATGTAAGTAATAAAATATACTGTTCCATTTAAAAAAACAAAGTTGACCTTCATATCTCCTTGACGCCTCCACCTACAAAAAAATTGGTAATACCAGATTATGAGCCCCCCGATACCAAATAAGTTTGGTCTAATGCATTTTCTCCTATCTTCAAAAACAAGCGAGTTATTCAGGTGACCTGTTTAAAATGCCTCACCCTGCGCGTTTTTAGTGGGATGGTGCTGGGATCATAGTTCCCTAGCGTGGCTATTAGGGGATTTGGGTGTTGTGAGTTGGTGATTTGAGTTGCTGCGGCCAGCTTCATGACATGCTCGCGGATGTATTCAATTTGTGCTTCCTCATGCAACGAAGCCGTTGTGTAGCGATTTTCCGGAGATAGGGGTTTATTTAGAATGATGCGGAGATACTTATTTTGTATTTTCTGGATCCTGGACAGGTGTGTGTTTGCTGTGGTGCACCAGATTTCTGCTCCGTATGTCAGGATTGGTCGTACGCAGGTGTAGTATATGCGGAGTTTCAGAGAGGTAGAGAGTGGGCTGTTCCTGGCTATGAGGGGATAAAGCATGCGTAGGACTCCGATGCCTTTGCAGGCTCGGTCTTGTGTGTTATGTTTCCACTGTAGTTTAGTGTCGAACCAGATTCCTAAATATTTAACTTTGTTAGACCATGTTATGGGGTGGTTGTCTATGGAGAGGTTGGTGGGGTTGGGATTACGCTTGTAAGTGAAGAGGATTGCCTCTGTTTTGGAGGGGTTTAAGGTAAGCTTCCAGGTTTGGGTATACTGAAGTATGCTGTTGAGGTGGTCTTGTGCGTATTTAACTGCTTGGTTTGGAGCCCATGAGGAGGAGTAGACAGCAGTGTCGTCAGCGTAGAGTGCGATTTTAGTGTTGTGGCTTCTGGGGATGTCGTTTATGTATATGTTGAATAGTGTGGGGCCTAGGACTGACCCTTGCGGGACTCCTGTGTGTAGAGGTCTGGGTTCGGATTTTGTGCCATTGTGGTATATAGTCATTGATCTGTTGTGTAGGAAACTTTGGGATATCTTGATTAGGTGTTTGGGGAGGTTGATGTGCTGTAGTTTTAGCAGGAGTCCATTGTGCCAGACAGTGTCGAAGGCTTTCTGGAGGTCTAGTAGGACTAGAGCCACCGATCTGTTCTTGTTCACTTCTAGCGCAATGTCTTCCTGCAGTCTGAGAGCTTGGTGGATTGTGGAGTGTTTGACTCGGAAGCCAAATTGTTCTGGGATTAGGGAGTTGTTTTCTGAGAGGTGGGTTTGTATATGCATCAGGATGATTTTCTCTAGGATTTTGCCTAGAAGGCTAAGGAGGCTGATTGGTCTATAATTGTTGGGGTCGGTATGAGCTTTCCCTGGTTTGGGGAGGGGTATGACTTTGGATATTTTCCAGGAGCTGGGGAAGTAAGCCAGGTTGTAGGATTGCCTGAGGATGTAGAAAAGCTGGATGATCATTCGGTTGGGTAGGTTTTTGAGTTGGAGTGCTGTAATTTGGTCTTGTCCTGGAGATTTCTTGTTTTTCAGGTTCCTTATTAGTCTGCGGATTAATTGTGGGGTGATGGATTGTGGGTTGAGTGGAGTGGTGTCGGAGGAGGCTAGGTTCCGAGCAAG